GAGTGTCTGATTGTCGAAAAGCCAGCCCCTCCGGCCATTTCCCCGCGGGGATTTGGCTGGGGGGGCTTTTTTACGTTTGGAGAGCCTTGGGCCGAAATTGACCAAACGTAGAAAAGCCCCTCCAGCCAAATCCCCTCGGGGAAATGGCCGGAGGGGCTGGCTTTTTAAAATCAAAGAAAGTGCGAAATAGTTTTTTTAATCTTAGCTGAGATTGATATTTTACTTTTGCCCGAAACTGAGGACGATTTCTCAAATATTTTTAAAAGTCTGCGATCGTGAGAGCGTTGGCTATACCCTTAATAAAGTCCTGATGGAGTGAAAAATATCAGTGGCATACCCTTAATTTTTAAATTCGGGTTGATTAAAAAGTCGCTGATTTTATTTAATGGCGATTTTAATTTCAACCATATTTTCTTTTGCCCAAAGCTGAGGAAGATTTCTCAAATATTTTTAAAAGTCGGCGATCGTGAGAGCGTCGGCTATACCCTTAATAAAGTCCTGACGGAGTAAAAAATATCATTGGGCATACCCTTATTTTGCCAGATTTGCTCACAAGAAGCTCAGAAGTAGAAATAAAGTTCGATGTCGAGAGTTGATATAAATGCTCCTTTTATTAATGCCAGATGAATATGTAGTGTTAAAAGAAATGAAAGTGGGCTGATCTCAGCGTTGTATTAATTTTAATTCAACCAAGCCAAACCACATGTTTCGGGGTGGTTTAGAAAACATGCAGCTACTGTTCTTTCAAAGGGTAAGTAAATGATGTGAAAATATGATGATATGACGTACGTGGCGAGCTGAATTACCGACCGACCGAGAGCTTCAGAAATTGTGCTTTTCTTGGCTGAATTTCGCGACTCCACATCGTCTCGTCCTTGCGATGATTTCATGAATCCCCTGAATTTCGAGGAAATTTCGATTCACGACTTTCGAAACTTACGCGCTGGAGATGTTTCCAATATTGCCGGAGATATTGTAGAGGATCGCTCTTGAACGACGTCGCCATTCTTTGAGATCGCGCTAGAATCAACCTTTTAAAAGCGTTCCATTTTGAACTGTTTTACCCCCTCGCGCTCGCGGGCGAAATTGATCTTCGGATTCGACTTGGAAATGTCCTTGACGGATATGAGAAAGAAAACGACAGTGCCAGTCTCGTTTTTGATTGGCACTATAAAATCAGTTAGCTACTGTCAGTCCTTTCTTGGCAGCTACCGATATCAAGCTGGCAACTTTGACTTGTTTGATCACGGCTTTCGCGATCGCTGTAAAAGTGAAACTTGACTTCGACGCGGTACTCTTCCTTGTTTCGCAGGGCGCGCTCGATCCTCTCCTTGATGTCCTGCCGAGTGTCCTCGCCGTAGACGAACCTTATCGCGCAAGATCGACGCATAACTGTTCGTGGGTTAATTCGCTAGTTGTGGAGTACCCTAAAGCTTGCTCCAGGAGCTAATTAACCGAGCCTTTGCAGCGCGGAAGGCCGCTGAGCTCGCAGAAGCCATCTGAGCAATAGACGATCGGGTACTGATCTGGAATCTGCGCATTTCCAAGCACGAAGTTTGAGTCTAAGAGACGATCATCCCTCTTTTCTAATTTTCGAGAAAAAACTTACGCGATCCGTCAAATCTCTCTGCGATCGTGTCAAGAAACGTGTTTTGCGGTGCGAGCAGGCCTTTTCTCATTTCTCTGCCTAAGAAAAATTTTAACCCAATGAAAAATTTCTGCCAATTTTTTGGCCAAACTCTCAAGAAGGCATGGATACAGCCAAAATGCCCTAGAAAACGATATTTACTGTGTTAACCTTCTGCACACTTGGGAAATTGGAAGCACAGCCGTGAGGCCATTCTATTTTGATTTTTCTTTTTTCAGTCGGCGGTGGGTACTCTCTTCAAAATTAATCAAAACTCTTCGCGTGGAACACGTGCAGCTGATTTATTCAAAACCTGACAGAATAATAAATTCCGTAAACTACCCCAAAAATAAAACACTTAATACTTAGTTCTTCCAGTGCTCGGATTCACAAGCCTGTCTACTATTTACAGGAGACTGCTAAATTTGATAAAAATCGAACTCATTTGCTCTTATAAGTCCAGACAGCTGTTTTGAGAGGTAACTTATTTTCTCTTGAAAAAAAAGAAGAAAAAAATTAGCTTTTGAAAAAAGGATGGCGAAAAGGATGGACTGGCAGTCAGCAATCAAAGTGAATGGATAAAGAGATTCTTAATTGTGAAAAGAAATCGGCCAGCATTTTAATAGACTATTCACGAGTTCCACTTTGCACATTTAAAGAGATCCTCGCGCGACGGGAAGCTTCCGCTCCTTTCAGAAGCGATTCTCTGGGGATGAACACTCAAATTCAATGCCTCGCGAGGCGAACTTCGCGGTACTTTTTTAAAGGAATATTTTTATTTTCGCTGAAATTATGATATCTTTTGAAAAATCTTTCCTTGGAAAACAAAAATTTAATTCAATGCAACTTTTCAACTTTAGGACCAACTGGTTGATCATTTTTCTTAAATTTCTCTTTGAAATTTTTTCTCAAAAAAGTCGAAAAATATTTGAAGCATATTTTCAGATCAGGCCTGGCTTGCTTAAAATATCCCGGTAGCCGAATCGGCGGATCATTCCCAAGTTCGTTAAACGCATCATTAAACCGCATTAACTGTACTTCCAATTTTGCCCGTGGATGACTTACTCTTTTATAAATTCGCTTCCATGGGTTCTTTTTCAATTTTCAATTTGCAAGTTCTCGTTTTCAAGTTCACATTTGGCGCTGCGTTTTGTCTTCCTTTGCTGGCTATTAAAATTCAGCAGCGAAAAAACGCGAGCCAGAGGAAGATCCAAAGGATGGCGCTAGATGCGCCCAAATAATGCCTCTTTTGCAATTACGATCCTCCTCCCCATATCTAGGGTAAATCACAAATATTTGAGCTCTTATTTGGACTTTGTAGAAGAGGCATACAATATCTTTTTATAATCCCCAGAAGCTGAGGATCATTTTGACTATTGATAGTGGGGGGTCATCTCGTACCCTGAGGGCATTTTGGTACCCCGGAAGTCCCAAAATATGGCCAACTTCGGAAATTCAAATTTTTGAGGCCGTAACTAAGCTTTTTAGACTGAGCTATCCATACCAGCTTGTAGCTCAGGCTCTGACAGTCATTTTGAGGGGTAGAAAAATATGTCCCGGGCTACTCTAGAAAGTGGTGGAGGTGGTGCAAAGCTGGGGTCAAGACCGGAAATCCAGCTAAAATGAACTCTTATCTGATTTAAATACAGTAACACTTTAAAAAGCAACTGTAAATACATAATTGGTCACCAGAGGTCAAGTTGGGGTTACTTGGGGTCATCTAGGGTCAAGTTGGGGGTGTTTTTATTAAAGACGTATTTTTTAAAAATCTTGACCTTAAATGACCCCGAGTGACCCCAAGTTGACCTCGGGTGACCAATTATGTATTTACAGTTGCTTTTTCAAAGTGTTACTGCATTAAAATCACATAAGAGTTCATTTTAGCTTGACTTCCGGTCTTGACCCAGCTTTGCACCACCTCCACCACTTTCTAGAGTAGCCCGGGACATACTTTTACCCCTCAAAATGACCGTCAGAGCCTGAGCTACAAGCTGGTATAGATAGCTCCGTCAAAAAGCTTAGTTACGGCCTCGAAAATTCGAATTTCCGAAGTTGGCCACATTTTGGGACTTTCGGGGTACCAAATGCCCTCAGGGTACGAGATGACCCCACTATCAATAGTCAAAATGATCCTCAGCTTCTGGGATTATAAAAGGTATTATATGCCTACTCTACTTAGCAAGAAAAAAGTGGAAAATATTAGTGATTTACCCTACCCATATCCGATAAAAATCGCGCCTCTGGGAATCGAACTGCTCGAATGATGATTTATTCTGCTTTTGCAGCCACTGCTGGAGAAAGTTACAGCTGCAATGAAAATTTAATTTTGAATTGTTACAGTAACTAATTTCAAGTCTAAGTTAAAAGCAGACATGCGGGAATAATATTTTGAAGGGTAGATTGAGGTCGGGAAAAGAAAGACGACACAAAGTCGTCGCTTTTATGGCAGGAAAATTACTGTATTCCGCGAGAATTCATTGTCAGTCGATAGACATTTTCGACGATTTGGTCGGCAACAATACTCGATCTTTTTGCTTGATATTGGACGGTACAAATCTGGGGAATTCAGTAACTACAGTATTTTTCACTGAAATGGGATGAGATGAACAAGCATGAGAATCCGGACAATCCGCTATTTCTTTTGCCAAATTCCGGATGATCCCGCCACGTTCATGTGCTCCTTCCTTTTTTCGAAAAAATGCTGAAACAAGATCCCGATTTTCATAATCATCGATAATCCCCTTTCAACGAGTTCAGATTTGAACGACGAAAGCCCACTATTTGACAGCCGACCGCATTTTTGGAAGCCTTTCGGATCATTTTGGAATAAGTTAGTGCCTTTGACAAGGTAAAATCTGAACTTTCCGTAGGATTCGTCTGACTACCAGTCAAAAGAAGAAGAATTCGCTCTTACAATCAACAAAATCAACACTTGCAATCAAGGAGAAATCAAGGCGATGGAAGATTCCCTGTGAAAGGTAATCGGAATTAAATTAATCCCATTTGGCTAGAGGTGGCTTCTGAAATTGAGGCTGCGGCAGGTATCTAATTGCGGCGGCGGCTGTTTATTTATAATCGAATATTCATCCCAGCAAAGTCTTTCTCGAGTTAACACAAATAAACCTGCCACTGTTTATATGCACGGACAGACTGCAAGCGAACATTCTTCCTCGCTATCTGACAAGAAAACAAGTGCTATTTTGAATTTGCATCGATGATGTTCTCAGGTGAGCTCAGAATTCATCTGTTCTCGAAGGTTCGCAAATGAAGCTTTTTATTAAGAGCGAAAAGATTTATTGAACAGAAAAGTTGAATCAGGAATCAAATCAATTGAAGAACTGCGAAATAAAGAAGCAAAGGAGTTGAATAACAATCACTCAAGCTCAGATAGACAGAAGTACGATTTCTGAGTTCCCTTGAAAATAATAACAAACGATCTTGGTGTAGTTATTATACCTTTCTTGTTGTAGAGCGGGAAGCAACCATAGACGCAAATTTGGCATGTTCGATCGTCGTTTTCTGCGTCTTGGTAAGCGAGTAAGAAAAGGCGCCAACGAATGAGTCTCCAGCGCCGGTCGTGTCGACCACGTCTACTTTTTCAACAACTGGGTGCAATGTCAGCTCTCCTTCGCCTAAAAATTCATCATTTTTTAAGCAACAATCAAAATCTAGACACTGACTTTTGACGGCAAATCCGTCTCCACCGAGAGTGACAATTACACTTTTGAGTTTGTATTTCTCCTGTAGAGTTGTCGCCGCGTCTTCAATAGTTTCTTTTCCACTTAGTTCCAGAGCTTCTGTCTGATTCGCGATGAGAAAGTCGATCTGTTCAGAGAACGTCTCGAAGTCTTCCCTGCTCGGGCAAGGCGCGGGTGAGTAGATTGTCTTTGCTCCAGCTGCTCTTCCAAGTTGTAGAGCTCTTTTGGTCGTACTCACAGGAATCTCGTTTTGGCAAATGACGATTTTCGTGCCCTTGAAAGCTTCCTCATCTAAATCTTGAGAATCTTGAAATCTTTGATTGAGTAATCGACCGGTGCATATTCGAAGCAAGTTGAAGTTTTTAGCGAGAAATATGTCGACAAGAGGAAATACCAATGTTTGAAATGAAAAAGGCGGACAGTAGTTTATGAATGATTCAAGGAAGTTTCTTCTCGCGCGAAAACGGAGATTTTTGGCAACGTCTTTCGCTAATTCAGCTTCGTCTATCACTATCTGAGCAAACTCGTGCAGAAATAGGGCTGATTCTTTCGATTGTGACACATTCGCGAACGTGAGATCAAGTAACGCACAAGTCTTCTTGACATCTCTCTGGCGTAAAAGGCAACAAGCGAGATTCTCCAAATTTTGCATAAAATTTTGATGCTTCAAATTCGTCGGTAAAGCTCCTTTATTTACATTTGCAAAGCGAGTTGGTAGATTCCAGATAAAATTGAGGAAATCAACGAAGACTTTCTGCTCCACGCTACTTAGAGCTATTCTTTCAAGGACTTCGTATGATGAGCAGAAGCCAACGAAGTCGGATAAAACTGGAAAGATCAATGTCGAGTCGGCAAGAATATTCTTCAGAGAGCAAATGACTTGGATCATTTTCGCAGGAGAGGATGAAATAAGATCAGCGCAAAGTTTTTCCAGCGCGTCAGAGTCTGAGCTTTTCCCATTCTTTTTAATTCCAAAATGTTCCGGAAGTTTTGTCAAAACATCCAACATTCTTATATTGGGCATTATAAATTTAAGAAATAAATTATTAAAAGTAAAGATTGTTAAGAAAATAAGAAAGAAAGTTTTGTTTTTATCAAGAACTGTGGCGGAGTGCAATGAATGATTTGAAATCAGCTTTTGAAAAGCTCAATTTAGACATATTTTTCCATAGAGGTTCCTCGAGCTCTGGAATTTCGAAAGGTAGAGAAGCGCTGAGTAGATTAGATGGAGAGTGTGACCCTTCCTCACTCGTGTCGAAGACAAGATCGAAGGATTCCGTACTAAAATGACTATTTCTTATTGTTCCTTGTCAAGGGAACTTACCAGTCTACTGTAAGATCACAGTACGCATCCAAGACGGCTGAGTCTAGCGAACACGAGCTTCGACCAAGTTGCTCCAATAAGAGCACTAGTTCTTGATTTTTCGGCGTGTTAACCATTCTCAGATAATACAGGACTCGTTCGAGGATAACCCTTTCCGGCTTCAGCATGTAATATTTTGATGCCTCTAAGAATGATTAAAGCAGCTCGAATTTTCGATAAAATATACCTAGTAAAAAGATCCGAGTATTTCTGGAAAGAGTCCAAACATTATCTGACATTTCTGCTAAAATACCAATCACATTCAGCTCTGCCGAATGAGTGCGATGGAGAATTTGAAACACCGGAATAATTATGTTCTCGTCTATGTCTTCAAGGACAACTCGCATGGATTTCTCCAACACTCTTTGGGTTATCAGTTTCATGAATGTTTCAGGGTCCCATGTTTTGAATTGGTCCAGGAAAAATGATTGAATAGTTGATTTACAAGTAGTTTGACAGTTGATAATTTCTTCGTCAACGAGAATATCACTGTCTTCTCCTGATTTATTGAATAATTCATCAGAAGTAATTGGCAGATAGGCCTCTTCCTCTGGTAACCGGGTTTTCTTAAAATCAGGAGACAAAGCAGCTATTTCTTCGGTAGGGCCGAATTGAAGCATTAGTTTTATATACAAACGATAAATTTTTGAACGCAAGTTTTCAGTTTGATTGGTGATTTTTAGCCGTTGAAGAAGATGAAGATGCTGTGCGCCAAGATGAATAGCTAGTTGAAGGTCTTTTTGAAGATTTGAAGAGCGATTTCTGCTGGAGATACTTTGTAGAAGATACTGGAAGATGTAACTGAAGGAGTCGCAAAAAGTGCTCAAATATATTTCCAAATGCGCGAGACATGAATCTTTCGTCAAAGTAGCCCGAAGAGATGCCAGCTTTCTCCAGTAGAGACGTATCATCGGTGTTGCAGCGTCCCGCTCCATCGGCCTCTTCGGGAATTCTATGTCCAGACTTTCCTGGCAGTTGAAAATCATCAGAATTGAAGATAAACAAGACTTTTGCAAATAAGCTTCAACAAGAGATAATGAAGATTTGAGCTGATCATGTACGTCTCGAATCCAGGAGGGGAGGATCTTTGAGAGCTCTTCAAGTTTCTTGATCACTAGTCTCAAACTATTCGACAGAATGACCATATTTTTGGTCGTCGTCAAAGGTAGAACTTCTTTTATCATCCACGAAATACGCTTGCTCGCTTGAATATATTTAAAATCTTAAAAAGACTGACTCTTCACCTGATAAAGCTGTCCTTTCGAGAGAAATATTTGCCCTCGAAAAAGCAATAGGTGAGATTTCATTCAAAAAGAATTCAAATCGCTTGAAAATTATTGGCGGAAAATCATCTGAAGAATTCTTGAACGTCTTGCAGTCATCCTGCAAGATCCAAAACTCGATTTCTTCTTCTGAAGAGCTTTCCAAAGGTACCAGTTTACTTATTGGCGTATAGTTCGGCGACTCTTCAGAAAATATTGATATGACAGCGGCGAGTTGATACAGTTTTGCCTATGGGATGAGGCCGTTACCATCGACAGAAGCTGACAGTAGCTCTCCGATGGATTTAGTTTTGAACAGCTTGCTCTGCGATGAGAGCAATTTACTGGAAGCGGACTCGCTGAATTGAATGACGTGCTTCATGTAACTGTTAGATATCGGATTCGTTTTCGTAAAATCACTGGAAAAATGCTTCAGCACGAATTCATCCGTAACAAGCCAGAAGCCGACAAGAAGGAGAAAATATTCTGGAGCAGGGCGATCACGAATAGCATCAGCAATAACTCGCTCTCTACATCGCTGATAGACTTTGCAAACTTCGCCGTGAGGAGAAAATTGTTTCAGACCTTCAAGAATGACAAGGATCTCGAAGACACGCTAAAAGCATTTATAAATTTATCCAAAACTTTAAAAAACGCACATGTTTTTCTGAAGCTCTTAAAATGCAGCCTAAGCTCGAGTTCGACAGGTCCTGCGGGATAAAAACTAACTGCTTCAAAACTTGTTCACGCCCGCAATCTGTTTCTGCTGATTTTTCATCTTCGTTTTGAAAGGAATATCCTTTTTCAGTTCCTTGGGCAACACCATTTTGTTGAACACGCGTTTCTTTCGTTGGACAGGTTTGTAAAGCGAGTCTGATCGCTGCTTGAGCTTGATGTCCCGCTCTTTTCGGATTTCTCCAGCGGTTTACAGTCCTTGCCAGTCGGATTTCTTTGACTCCTCTTATTACCAATAGAATCAGAGAGGCATTAAAAAGGATTAATTACCTGTAACAAGTTTGTGACCGGCAGATACATCGACGGAATCGCCAAGTTTACCCAAGTCTTGCAGAAGATAATATCAGAGTATTGCACTCGATCTTCGAAGGTAATTCTGACAACGCCTTCCGGCTTTCTCAGTGACTTTTTGATGATGTCTCCGATTCAAGAAACAGAGCAGTTTCCTGGGCGTGAGAAAGTTCGCCGCGCGGCCCGCTGATTGGCCGTCATTTCAGTTCAAAAAACTGTGGCGGTGGCCACGCCCAGGAAACTGAACAACAGCGCCACTTTGAGCGCAGCGGATCAGAAACCAAGCCCGGCCGAGATGGAAAAAGATCACCAAGAGCTGAAAAGTTCGAAATGGCCGAAATTCATCATAATTGATAAAAAAAGGGAGGATTTAGGGGTTTTCGGACACGGAGAATTTGAATTTGGGATAATTTTTTCAAATAAATCAAGATTTACGGAAAAAAAAAATAAGTTTTAAAATTGAAATCAAGGAGGAATTTGTAAAATGATTTATAAAAACAAAAGCCCCTCTGGTTGCTTCCTTTTCGGGAGTGACTGGAGGGGCTGAGTTTTTTTTTCATCAAAATAAGACTGTTTTCATGCTTTTTCAGACATAAAAGGCACAGTTTTTTCTAAAAGAAGTTTATTTTTAATGAGAAGAGCAGAATATAAGTTTAAATGTCGTCGACTTGGTCGCCATTGATCCAGGAGTGGAGGGTGATGGTGTAGCTGCTTGCTCGTGCGAATCTAGCATGGTTATCGCGGAAGTATTCCTGGATCTGGATCTTCTTAGAGGACGCGTGAACAGCCTCTCGCATCAGTCGATCAGCTTCGTCGTCGTTATTTCTTACCGCAGCCTTGACATCTTTTCGATGTTTGTCCAGCATGTGCTTGAGTAGCTCGGGCTCGTCCAGCATCAAAAAGCCGCACTTGCAGCAGTAGAAGTCGGCGAAGACGGCCTTGCAGACGTGGTTAAACCACAGTTCGTCCAGCTTGAAAAGAACAGCTTGCTCGTTGACGTCGTGAAAGATATCGGGGTTGATCAATATTGCAAGTTGCTTTCCAAGATCGCCCTCGTTCATCATGAGCTTTGTGCGGTCGAGATAATGAAGGGCAAAAGTTGAGTCTTGTTGAAAATTTGAAATCCTTCGTCGAAGATATTGCCTAGAAGTGCGAAGAAATCTAAAAGGATATGATTAAAATCTTTAAAGGAAAAATAAGAATCATTACCTCTCATGTTGCAATTCGTCGAATGTATATTGAGGCGTGTAGTCCCAGTTGTGATCATCAAGCCGGTGACGTATCGCTGCGATTGCTGCTTGTTTTGTGTGCCCAATCATCTCGGAAACGATGGTTCGGCCACCTTTGATAATTGAAAATAGAAGAGCAGGAAGAAGAAACTCGACGATTTTCCAGGAGTTTACCTAAAGAAATTGTTATTTTGATAATTTATTATAAATTAAACTTACTTGTTGACTTTGACAGTTTGCCTTGTGCTTTTCCTTGAATCCTTTGGCCGTCTGGACATTGTCAATTTCTTATATCTTCGATTCGATCCAACCAGAGGTCTTCTTGATAACAATATGATGGAATGCCGTATTCTTCATCGTCTCCTTAGCTTCTGCCTTGTACTCGCCAAAGTCGAAATTCTTGAGTCCAAGGAAATGTCTGAAGAGCATTTTCAACAAGAAACCATGCGCGAAAATCAGTATTGTCTTGTCAACTTTGGCCTCTTCGATAAGCGACCGGAGAAAATTCACAGCTCTGTATTTGACGTCGGCGTCTGCTTCCATTTCCGGGCTGTTCCAGTCAACTTCGCTCCTCAACTTGCCCTCGAGTTTGCCCATTCCCTTTTCTTTGAGCAAGTCGTCGCAGATTATGCGTTCTTCCCCGATGTCATTCGTAGCGATTTTAGCTGTTTCCAGAGCGCGAGAAAGGGGCGAGGAGTAAACGAGATCAGCCTTGGGAAGAACTTTCGCCTCGGCCAAGCGCTTTGCTCATTTGCAGATCAGAAATAAACTGAAAATAAACTTGGCGTTCATGAGTGGAAGCACTTTCTTGATCTCTGCCCATTTCGCTCAAAGGAATATCGAGCTAAAAATCTTTACTTGCAGAAATGACTATTGCGTCTTTTACCTGCCCTTGCAAAATGCCAGCTTTATTGTACGATGTTTCGCCGTGCCGGATCAAGTACAAATTTAGGACAACCATTCTAGAGCACTTGATATTTGTGAGTTTTGCATTTAAAAGACAACTTGAACTGTATTTAAAATTAACTCAGTTTGCGCAAGCTCGAATAGCTTTCTCATCGTCGTCAAGCCACTGTAAGACTTGTGGAGTAAAATAAGAAAGAATCATTTCTGCGCCAGCTCTTCTACACGCCGTTAGACTTTCGAGCACTCCCTTCTTCAAATCAATCGCTCCAGCTTTGGCGCCGTGGACGAGTAGCGCGTACTCGCCAGACACCTGATAAGCAGCCACTGGAAAATTCGGAAACTCTTGCTTCGTTCGGTAGATAATATCTTTTATCGGTTTTCATGATTTACAAATTGGATATTTAATTTATAGCGAGAACAGTCCCTAGATAGGCACCGGCCGGTTTTACCATTAAAATATCTGCACCTTCGTTCGCATCTCTATCGTTGCATCTCATCGCCAAACTTGATGCTCCTGGTGGAAGCTGAAAAATAAAGTAGAAAATTAGCTAATGTGAATGCTAACCTGATAATTTCTTCTATCGCCAAATTTAGGAGCAGAACCAGCTGCTTCTCTGAAAGGCCCATAAAATGCTTCACCCGAGTTATTATCAATTCCGCTCTATTTTCAAAGCTTACTCTTTAGTTATTCGATATTTAACCCGCAACAGAACAAAATTTAGCCGAGTAGGACATCACGGCAACTCGTGAGCCAAGCTTGAGTTCCCGAAGTCTGCTTTTGATCGCTCCTATCCTTCCATCCATCATATCCGAAGGAGCCACGCAGTCAGCACCTGCGAGTCCATAATTGCCTGCGATCTCGGCTAGTCTATCGATGGACTTCTGGTTGTTCATGCGATCATCTTCGAAAATCCCACAGTGCCCGGTTTCGGAGAAGGGACAAATACAAACGTCAGCCGCGACCCACAGCTATCATTACTGTAATTTACAATTATAATGCATAGATAATGGGCGTTTATATGAATAATAACTAAAAACTGACCTGTGGATATTTTGACTTGATCAATTTAATAGCTTCAATGGTAGGGCCCGTCTCGCAATCTGCGCTAGATCCGACAGCATCTTTAGTCGATTTGACATCTACGCCAAAAATGATAACTGAGCGAAGACCTTTGGCGACTTGTTGGGAAAGGAAGGGAATGAGATTGTTGATTCCATAGCGACTCACTCCGGGCAGCGCATTTATCGGTTCCAGGGCGTCAGGGGAGCTATTCGTTACGAAAAGCGGCAGCATAAGATTTACAGGCGAGATTTTGGAGTCAAATGCAGCGAGCTCTCGCAAAACTCCATGGCCATATGAAGAATGCAGAATGTGTCCGACTGGTGGCTCGTAACCGCTCATTCTGAAAAAAAATCCGTCAAGGAGAAGTAGACTCATGAACTAGAATAGATTCAAAAGGTCAGTCGCAGCAAGTGAAAGGCGTGGGCAATCAAGCGATTGGCATTCTTCTAGCCACATTTTCCAAGTGATGTCCATCCAGATTTCTTGTTTAGTTGAAGCGATGCTCAGCAGACAAACTTGGTAAGATTTGATTATTACAAGTTTCAAATTCGTGTCATCTAAAGATAGAGTTTTATAAGAAAAGCGCTGACAAATTACCAATTCTTCTAAAAGTCGCGAGAAAATCTATGGAAGGAAGGACGTATTTCTCGATTTCGGGAATATTATCCAAGAGAGAAATGATCTGGCCGACGAATGCAATCATTCTTGACAAGACGTCTTTATCGCACGTCTCCAACATCAACGTTCGTTTATTCGAATCCCAGCTGCGCAAGAAAGGAAAAAGAAAATATCCAGCGGCAGGATAAAACCGAGACTTGAGCATCTTCTCGCTTTTTGGGCGGCTTCCCCAGCGCCGTGATTGTGATTCAACTTTTGCGGAAAGCGCTAATTTTTCAAAGGCGATCTCTTCTTCAAGTTCTTCGAAGGGATTGTCCGCCAATTGCTTTACGGCCTTCGATAGAGAGGCAAGAATGATCTGCCGTTTTTCTAGAGGCATTGACTCGGCATAAAATTCACCTAAAAATTAGAAAATGTTCGTACCAAAAACTATTATTACCAACAATCGCAGGAGCATAAAATTCCGGAGCCACAACTGCCAACGATTCTAGAGCATCACCCACGAGAGCAGCATCATTATCGTTAACAATTTCAAAATAAACGATCCCTTTCAAAATCTCTTCCACAAGCTCCTTCGAAGAAACCTGATTGACCTTTGCTAAATACGGAATTGTTTCCAGCGCGGCGAGTTTGCGTTTAGTCTTCTCCGTTTTTGACATTGATTGGGGTAGATTTCTCTCGACCAAAATTCCACTGGCTTCCATAAGAAAGCGGGGACTGTATTTTGAAAGGTTCGGCGTTTCGAATTCGAATTGTTCGAATTCCAAGTCGTCGGAATCAAGACTTTCTCGATCATCATCATCATCATCATCGTCACAGTTTCCAGCATTGATTCTTTCATCTTCGACTTTTTGTTGGTTACCGTTCAAGAATTCGATTGTTCGCTCTCTGCTATCTTCGTGAACTTTATTTTGATCCGCTTGAAGGTCTTTATTCGTGATTGGAAAGTCAAGTTTGGCCTCTGAATCAAATACTGAGATGATCTTCTTGGCAGAAAGCATTCCAATATCTCGATTGTCGGACGCCGACTGAGCAAAGTGGTTTTGAAGCCCAAAGAAACAGTGTTGATAATCTCCAATCGCATTTCATCCGGACATTTAGGAAGATAGTCGACTGAGAAGGCAATGATTTTCGAAACTTGGATTCTTTGATCGACAGAAACCTTGATAACAATGTTTTCGTCCGCCCAGTAGTCAACTAAATGTTTCCATGTCTCCAGACCTGCGATAGCAACAATTCGTCCCATGTGAAACTGGCCATTTTGATTGAGTAATCGACCGGTGCATATTCGAAGCAAGTTGAAGTTTTTAGCGAGAAATATGTCGACAAGAGGAAATACCAATGTTTGAAATGAAAAAGGCGGACAGTAGTTTATGAATGATTCAAGGAAGTTTCTTCTCGCGCGAAAACGGAGATTTTTGGCAACGTCTTTCGCTAATTCAGCTTCGTCTATCACTATCTGAGCAAACTCGTGCAGAAATAGGGCTGATTCTTTCGATTGTGACACATTCGCGAACGTGAGATCAAGTAACGCACAAGTCTTCTTGACATCTCTCTGGCGTAAAAGGCAACAAGCGAGATTCTCCAAATTTTGCATAAAATTTTGATGCTTCAAATTCGTCGGTAAAGCTCCTTTATTTACATTTGCAAAGCGAGTTGGTAGATTCCAGATAAAATTGAGGAAATCAACGAAGACTTTCTGCTCCACGCTACTTAGAGCTATTCTTTCAAGGACTTCGTATGATGAGCAGAAGCCAACGAAGTCGGATAAAACTGGAAAGATCAATGTCGAGTCGGCAAGAATATTCTTCAGAGAGCAAATGACTTGGATCATTTTCGCAGGAGAGGATGAAATAAGATCAGCGCAAAGTTTTTCCAGCGCGTCAGAGTCTGAGCTTTTCCCATTCTTTTTTAATTCCAAAAAATGTTCCGGAAGTTTTGTCAAAACATCCAACATTCTTATATTGGGCATTATAAATTTAAGAAATAAATTATTAAAAGTAAAGATTGTTAAGAAAATAAGAAAGAAAGTTTTGTTTTTATCAAGAACTGTGGCGGAGTGCAATGAATGATTTGAAATCAGCTTTTGAAAAGCTCAATTTAGACATATTTTTCCATAGAGGTTCCTCGAGCTCTGGAATTTCGAAAGGTAGAGAAGCGCTGAGTAGATTAGATGGAGAGTGTGACCCTTCCTCACTCGTGTCGAAGACAAGATCGAAGGATTCCGTACTAAAATGACTATTTCTTATTGTTCCTTGTCAAGGGAACTTACCAGTCTACTGTAAGATCACAGTACGCATCCAAGACGGCTGAGTCTAGCGAACACGAGCTTCGACCAAGTTGCTCCAATAAGAGCACTAGTTCTTGATTTTTCGGCGTGTTAACCATTCTCAGATAATACAGGACTCGTTCGAGGATAACCCTTTCCGGCTTCAGCATGTAATATTTTGATGCCTCTAAGAATGATTAAAGCAGCTCGAATTTTCGATAAAATATACCTAGTAAAAAGATCCGAGTATTTCTGGAAAGAGTCCAAACATTATCTGACATTTCTGCTAAAATACCAATCACATTCAGCTCTGCCGAATGAGTGCGATGGAGAATTTGAAACACCGGAATAATTATGTTCTCGTCTATGTCTTCAAGGACAACTCGCATGGATTTCTCCAACACTCTTTGGGTTATCAGTTTCATGAATGTTTCAGGGTCCCATGTTTTGAATTGGTCCAGGAAAAATGATTGAATAGTTGATTTACAAGTAGTTTGACAGTTGATAATTTCTTCGTCAACGAGAATATCACTGTCTTCTCCTGATTTATTGAATAATTCATCAGAAGTAATTGGCAGATAGGCCTCTTCCTCTGGTAACCGGGTTTTCTTAAAATCAGGAGACAAAGCAGCTATTTCTTCGGTAGGGCCGAATTGAAGCATTAGTTTTATATACAAACGATAAATTTTTGAACGCAAGTTTTCAGTTTGATTGGTGATTTTTAGCCGTTGAAGAAGATGAAGATGCTGTGCGCCAAGATGAATAGCTAGTTGAAGGTCTTTTGAAGATTTGAAGAGCGATTTCTGCTGGAGATACTTTGTAGAAGATACTGGAAGATGTAACTGAAGGAGTCGCAAAAAGTGCTCAAATATATTTCCAAATGCGCGAGACATGAATCTTTCGTCAAAGTAGCCCGAAGAGATGCCAGCTTTCTCCAGTAGAGACGTATCATCGGTGTTGCAGCGTCCCGCTCCATCGGCCTCTTCGGGAATTCTATGTCCAGACTTTCCTGGCAGTTGAAAATCATCAGAATTGAAGATAAACAAGACTTTTGCAAATAAGCTTCAACAAGAGATAATGAAGATTTGAGCTGATCATGTACGTCTCGAATCCAGGAGGGGAGGATCTTTGAGAGCTCTTCAAGTTTCTTGATCACTAGTCTCAAACTATTCGACAGAATGACCATATTTTTGGTCGTCGTCAAAGGTAGAACTTCTTTTATCATCCACGAAATACGCTTGCTCGCTTGAATATATTTAAAATCTTAAAAGACTGACTCTTCACCTTTCTCTGCCTAAGAAAAATTTTAACCCAATGAAAAATTTCTGCCAATTTTTTGGCCAAACTCTCAAGAAGGCATGGATACAGCCAAAATGCCCTAGAAAACGATATTTACTGTGTTAACCTTCTGCACACTTGGGAAATTGGAAGCACAGCCGTGAGGCCATTCTATTTTGATTTTTCTTTTTCAGTCGGCGGTGGGTACTCTCTTCAAAATTAATCAAAACTCTTCGCGTGGAACACGTGCAGCTGATTTATTCAAAACCTGACAGAATAATAAATTCCGTAAACTACCCCAAAAATAAAACACTTAATACTTAGTTCTTCCAGTGCTCGGATTCACAAGCCTGTCTACTATTTACAGGAGACTGCTAAATTTGATAAAAATCGAACTCATTTGCTCTTATAAGTCCAGACAGCTGTTTTGAGAGGTAACTTATTTTCTCTTGAAAAAAGAAGAAAAAATTAGCTTTTGAAAAAGGATGGCGAAAAGGATGGACTGGCAGTCAGCAATCAAAGTGAATGGATAAAGAGATTCTTAATTGTGAAAAGAAATCGGCCAGCATTTTAATAGACTATTCACGAGTTCCACTTTGCACATTTAAAGAGATCCTCGCGCGACGGGAAGCTTCCGCTCCTTTCAGAAGCGATTCTCTGGGGATGAACACTCAAATTCAATGCCTCGCGAAGCGAACTTCGCGGTACTTTTTTAAAAGAATATTTTTATTTTCGCTGAAATTTTGATATCTTTTGAAAAATCTTTCCTTGGAAAACAAAAATTTCTCAACTTTTGAACCAACTGATGGATCATTTTTCTTAAATTTCTCTCTGAAAATTATTCTCAAAAAGTCGAAAAAATTTGAAGCATATTTTCAGATCAGACCTGGCTTGCTTAAAATATCCCGGTAGCCGAATCGGCGGATCATTCCCAAGTTCGTTAAACGCATCATTAAACCGCATTAACTGTACTTCCAATTTCGCCCGTGGATGACTTACTCTTTTATAATTTCGCTTCCATGGGTTCTTTCAATTTTCAATTTGCAAGTTCTCGTTTTCAAGTTCACATTTGGCGCTGCGTTTTGTCTTCCTTTGCTGGCTATTAAAATTCAGCAGCGAAAAAACGCGAGCCAGAGGAAGATCCAAAGGATGGCGCTAGATGCGCCCAAATAATGCCTCTTTGGCAATTACGATCCTCCTCCCCATATCCGATAAAAATCGCGCCTCTGGGAATCGAACTGCTCGAATGATGATTTATTCTGCTTTTGCAGCCACTGCTGGAGAAAGTTACTGCAGCAATGAAAATTTAATTTTGAATTGTAACTAATTTCAAGTCTAAGTTGAAAGCAGACATGCGGGAATAATATTTTGAAGGGTAGATTAAGGTCGGGAAAAGAAAGACGTCGCTTTTTATGGCAGGAAAATTACTGTATTTCGCGAGAATACAGTCGTCAGTCGATAGACATTTTCAACGATTTGGTCGGCAAGAATACTCGATCTTTTTTGCTTGATATTGGACGTACGAATCTGGGGAATTCAGTAACTACAGTATTTTTCACTGAAATGGGATGAGATGAACAAGCATGAGAATCCGGACAATCCGCTATTTCTTTTTGCCAAATTCCGGATGATCCCGCCACGTTCATGTCCTCCTTCTTCTTTTCATTTTTTCGAAAATCCTGAATACAGAAACAAGATCCCGATTTTCATAATCATCGATAATCCCCTTTCAACGAGTTCAGATTTGAACGACGAAAGCCCACTATTTGACAGCCGACCGCATTTTTGAAAGCCTTTCGGATCATTCTGGAATAAGTTAGTGCCTTTGACAATGTAAAATCTGAACTTTCCATAGGATTCGTCTGACTTCCAGCCAAAAGAAGAAGAATTCGCCATGACTCTTACCATCAACACTTGCAATCAAGGGGAAATCGAGGCGATGGAAGATTCCCTGTGAAAGGTAATCGGAATTAAATTAATCCCATTTGGCTAGAGGTGGCTTCTGAAATTGAGGCTGCGGCAGGTATCTAATTGCGGCGGCGGCTGTTTATTTATAATCGAATATTCATCCCAGCAAAGTCTTTCTCGAGTTAACACAAATAAACCTGCCACTGTTTATATGCACGGACAGACTGCAAGCGAACATTCTCTGTTGCTATCTGACAAGAAAACAAGTGCTATTTTGAATTTGCATCGATGATGTTCTCAGGTGAACTCAGAATTCATCTGTTCTCGAAGGTTCGCAAATGAAGCTTTTTATTAAGAGCGAAAAGATTTATTGAACAGAAAAGTTGAATCAGGAATCAAATCAATTGAAGAACTGCGAAATAAAGAAGCAAAGGAGTTGAATAACAATCACTCAAGCTCAGATAGACGGAAGTACGATTTCTGAGTTCCCTTGAAAATAATAACAAACGATCTTGGTGAAGTTATTTTATACCTTTCTTGTTGTAGAGCGGGAAGCAACCATAGACGCAAATTTGGCATGTTCGATCGTCGTTTTCTGCGTCTTGGTAAGCGAGTAAGAAAAGGCGCCAACGAAGGAGTCTCCAGCGCCGGTCGTGTCGACCACGTCTACTTTTTCAACAACTGGGTGCAATGTCAGCTCTCCTTCGCCTAAAAATTCATTATTTTTAAAGCAACAATCAAAATCTAGATTCTAGACACTGACTTTTGACGGCAAATCCGTCTCCACCGAGAGTGACGATTACACTTTTGATTTTGTATTTCTCCTGGAGAGTTGTTGCCGCTTCCTGAATAGTTTCTTTTCCACTGAGTTCCAGAGCTTCTGTCTGATTCGCGATGAGATAGTTGATCTGTTCAGAGAACGTCTCAAAGTCTTCCCTGCTCGGGCAAGGCGCGGGCGAGTAGATTGTCTTTGCTCCAGCTGCTCTTCCAAGTTGTAGAGCTCTTTTGGTCGTACTCACTGGAATCTCGTTTTGGCAAATGACGATTTTGGTGCCCTTGAAAGCTTCCTCATCTAAATCTTCTCCAGTAAAACGCATGTTTGCTCCAGGGACAACAACGATCGAGTTTTCGCCGTTTTCCATCGAAACTGTTATCGGAGCAACGCCAGTCGAGCAATCAGCTTTTGTTATTATTTTCGAGCAGTCCGTTCCGGTTTTAGCGAGCTCTTCAACATACCACGATCCATTTTGATCATCTCCTACTGCACCTAACAGTCCGACTTTTCCTTCGCCAGATAGAAGAGCTCCGCTGGAATCATAAAAAATATTCACCCTTATTTTATGTGAGTTATTCTGACTCAATTCCTGCCTGGACCGCTTGATTCGCTCCTTTACCGCCCAGACCAGTCTCGTATCGTTCGCCTAGAAGGGTTTCTCCTGGTCCTGGCAGCCGAGAACAGTAAGCGATTTGATCAACATTCAAACTGCCGGCAACGAGGATGTCCCAGACCATTCTGAATTGAAAACATAGAAGACTCAGGTCAATTACTTAGAGACTTTAAAACGAGTCCAAGAAAGAAGCTCCGCATTTTGCTCGGCGAGTACATTGAAAACAATAGATTGGCCGCCATTGAGTGGCTGATAGAGAAGACGGTTCTCGTCGGCAGCAAGATCGTCAATGAACAAAGGGCCTTCAGGAATATCTCCAGTGACGTCTGGAAGCTCTAACACGCAGTGCGCGGCTAGATCAGCACTCAACTCCGAGCTACCGCCAGAAAGACTAAAATCAAAGATAAATAAATGAAATTTTATAAAGTAATACCTGACAAGCGAGCCATAAGTGCCATTATTTGGATATTCTTTGTTGAAATTTCTAACGTAAAATCCTAAATTTGGACCCGCAACAACCTAAAAATATTCATAAAATATCCATATACTATTTTCTTTACAGCCTCTGTTCCTTCCGGTTTACCTTTCCCGATTTAATTTGAATATTTTCTTTCAAAAGTCCAATAGCTTGCGCAAGTGAATCCTTGACGCCATCTAACTCGACGATTGCCTCGCCGGTGAAGTCTCCAGCTTCTTTGGCAAGGAGAGTGCTAGTGACAGTGTTGACCAGCTTGTTGAATTCGGGCGTCTTCGACACAGGCTCCGATTCACAATTGATGATCACCATCGCACCCTTATTTCCTTCTGTAGCCACTCCAACACATCCTTCTGGAGTCTTTCGCGAAGCTAAGAATATTCGAGTTCGGCTTCCGTTTCAATATTCACCAAGAGATTCCATCTTCTTCATTCCCAAAGCCTTCGCTTCCTTTTCCAGATGAATGACCGCCTCTTCGAAATTCCAATTTGTCGCCTGCAGAGCTGATCGACAAGTTCCAAGAGGAAGCTGGGACTCTTGACGGAGGCGCATGATCAATTTTTTCGTATCGACGGCAGCCGTGCGTCGGATAAAAAGGGAGCCGCAATAACGAAGCATTCTGAAATGGTCATTTTTAACATTTTATCGAACCAATTTTATTGTTCTTCTTCTAAATGCTTGGCATTATTAACTGCAATTGCTTGCCCTTCCCAAGCTCTCATTCTCCCGTATCTCTTCGATTCGATCCAACCAGAGGTCTTTTTGATGACAATATGATGGAATGCCGTATTCTTCATTGTCTCCTTAGCTTCTGCTTTGAACTCGCCAAAGTCGAAGTTCTTGAGTCCAAGAAAATGTCTGAAGAGCATTTTCAACAAGAAACCGTGCGCGAAAATCAGTATTGTCTTGTCAACTTTGGCCTCTTCGATAAGCGACCGGAGAAAATTCACAGCCCTGTATTTGACATCCGCGTCTGCCTCCATTTCCGGGCTGTTCCAGTCGACTTCGCTTCTCAACTTGCCCTCGAGTTTGCCCATTCCCTTTTCTTTGAGCAAGTCGTCGCAGATTATGCGTTCTTCCCCGATGTCATTCGTAGCGATTTTGGCTGTTTCAAGAGCGCGAGAAAGGGGAGAGGAGTAAACGAGATCAGCCTTGGGAAGAACTTTCGCCTCGGCCAAGCGCTTTGCTCATTTGCAGATCAGAAATAAACTGAAAATAAACTTGGCGTTCATGAGTGGAAGCATTTTCTTGATCTCTGCCGATTTCGCTCAAAGGAATATCGAGCTAAAAATCTTTACTTGCAGAAATGATTTTTGCGCTTTTACCTGCCCTTGCAAAATGCCAGCTTTATTGTACGATGTTTCGCCGTGCCGGATCAAGTACAAATTTAGGACAACCATTCTAGGGGACATTACAGTGGTGAGTTTTGTATTTGAAGGACAACTTGAACTGTATTTACAATTAACTCAGTTTGCGCAAGCTCGAATAGCTTTCTCATCGTCGTCAAGCCACTGTAAGACTTGTGGAGTAAAATAAGAAAGAATCATTTCTGCGCCAGCTCTTCTACACGCCGTTAGACTTTCGAGCACTCCCTTCTTCAAATCAATCGCTCCAGCTTTGGCACCGTGGACGAGTAGCGCGTACTCCCCAGACACCTGATAAGCAGCCACTGGAAAATTCGGAAACTCTTGCTTCGTTCGGTAAATAATATCTTTTATCGGTTTTCCATGATTTTCAAATTAGATATTTAATTTATAGCGAAAACAGTCCCTAGATAGGCACCGGCCGGTTTTACCATTAAAATATCTGCACCTTCGTTCGCATCTCTATCGTTGCATCTCATCGCCAAACTTGATGCTCCTGGTGGAAGCTGAAAAATAAAATAGAAAATTGTCTGATGTGAATGCTAACCTGATAATTTCTTCTATCGCCAAATTTAGGGGCAGAACCAGCTGCTTCTCTGAAAGGCCCATAAAATGCTTCACCCGAGTTATTATCAATTCCGCTCTATTTTCAAAGCTTACTCTTTAGTTATTCGATATTTAACCCGTAACAGAACAAAATTTAGCCGAGTAGGACATCACGGCAACTCGTGAGCCAAGCTTGAGTTCCCGAAGTCTGCTTTTGATCGCTCCTATCCTTCCATCCATCATATCCGAAGGAGCCACGCAGTCAGCACCTGCGAGTCCATAATTGCCTGCGATCTCGGCTAGTCTATCGATGGACTTCTGGTTGTTCATGTGATCATCTTCGAAAATCCCACAGTGCCCGGTTTCGGAGAAGGGACAAATACAAACGTCAGCCGCGACCCACAGCTATCATTACTGTAATTTACAATTATAATGCATAGATAATGGGCGTTTATATGAATAATAACTGAAAACTGACCTGTGGATATTTTGACTTGATCAATTTAATAGCTTCAATGGTAGGGCCCGTCTCGCAATCTGCGCTAGATCCGACAGCATCTTTAGTCGATTTGACATCTACGCCAAAAATGATAACTGAGCGAAGACCTTTGGCGACTTGTTGGGAAAGGAAGGGAATGAGGTTGTTGATTCCATAGCGACTCACTCCGGGCAGCGCATTTATCGGCTCCAGGGCATCGGGGAGCTATTTGTTACGAAAAGCGGCAGCATAAGATTTACAGGCGATATTTTAGAGTCGAATGCAGCGAGTTCTCGCAGAACCCCATGGCCATATGAAGAATGCAGAATGTGTCCGACTGGTGGCTCGTAACCGCTCATTCTGAAAAATAATCCGTCAAGGACAAGTAGACTCATGAATTAGAATAGATTCAAGAGGTCAGTGGCAGCAAGTGAAAGACGTGGGCAATCAAGCGATTGGCATTCTTCTAGCCACATTTTCCAAGTGATGTCCATCCAGATTTCTTGTTTAGTTGAAGCGATGCTCAGCAGACAAACTTGGTAAGATTTGATTATTACAAGTTTCAAATTCGTGTCATCTAAAGATAGAGTTTTATAAGAAAAGCGCTGACAAATTACCAATTCTTCTAAAAGTCGCGAGAAAATCTATGGAAGGAAGGACGTATTTCTCGATTTCGGGAATATTATCCAAGAGAGAAATGATCTGGCCGACGAATGCAATCATTCTTGACAAGACGTCTTTATCGCACGTCTCCAACATCAACGTTCGTTTATTCGAATCCCAGCTGCGCAAGAAAGGAAAAAGAAAATATCCAGCGGCAGGATAAAACCGAGACTTGAGCATCTTCTCGCTTTTTGGGCGGCTTCCCCAGCGCCGTGATTGTGATTCAACTTTTGCGGAAAGCGCTAATTTTTCAAAGGCGATCTCTTCTTCAAGTTCTTCGAAGGGATTGTCCGCCAATTGCTTTACGGCCTTCGATAGAGAGGCAAGAATTATCTGCCGTTTTTCTAGAGACATTGACTCGGCATAAAATTCACCTAAAAATTAGAAAATGTTCGTACCAAAAAACTATTATTACCAACAATCGCAGGAGCATAAAATTCCGGAGCCACAACTGCCAACGATTCTAGAGCATCACCCACGAGAGCAGCATCATTATCGTTAACAATTTCAAAATAAACGATCCCTTTCAAAATCTCTTCCACAAGCTCCTTCGAAGAAACCTGATTGACCTTTGCTAAATACGGGATTGATTCCAGCGCGGCGAGTTTGCGTTTAGTCTTCTCCGTTTCTGACATTGATTGGGGTAGATTTCTCTCGACCAAAATTCCACTGGCTTCCATAAGAAAGCGGGGACTGTATTTTGAAAGGTTCGGCGTTTCGAATTCGAATTGTTCGAATTCCAAGTCGTCGGAATCAAGACTTTCTCGATCATCATCATCATCATCATCGTCACAGTTTCCAGCATTGATTCTTTCATCTTCGACTTTTTGTTGGTTACCGTTCAAGAATTCGATTGTTCGCTCTCTGCTATCTTCGTGAACTTTATTTTGATCCGCTTGAAGGTCTTTATTCGTGATTGGAAAGTCAAGTTTGGCCTCTGAATCAAATACTGAGATGATCTTCTTGGCAGAAAGCATTCCAATATCTCGATTGTCGGACGCCGACTGAGCAAAGTGGTTTTTGAAGCCCAAAGAAACAGTGTTGATAATCTCCAATCGCATTTCATCCGGACATTTAGGAAGATAGTCGACTGAGAAGGCAATGATTTTCGAAACTTGGATTCTTTGATCGACAGAAACCTTGATAACAATGTTTTCGTCCGCCCAGTAGTCAACTAAATGTTTCCATGTCTCCAGACCTGCGATAGCAACAATCCGTCCCATGTGAAACTGGCCATTTTGATTGAGTAATCGACCGGTGCATATTCGAAGCAAGTTGAAGTTTTTAGCGAGAAATATGTCGACAAGAGGAAATACCAATGTTTGAAATGAAAAAGGCGGACAGTAGTTTATGAATGATTCAAGGAAGTTTCTTCTCGCGCGAAAACGGAGATTTTTGGCAACGTCTTTCGCTAATTCAGCTTCGTCTATCACTATCTGAGCAAACTCGTGCAGAAATAGGGCTGATTCTTTCGATTGTGACACATTCGCGAACGTGAGATCAAGTAACGCACAAGTCTTCTTGACATCTCTCTGGCGTAAAAGGCAACAAGCGAGATTCTCCAAATTTTGCATAAAATTTTGATGCTTCAAATTCGTCGGTAAAGCTCCTTTATTTACATTTGCAAAGCGAGTTGGTAGATTCCAGATAAAATTGAGGAAATCAACGAAGACTTTCTGCTGCACGCTACTTAGAGCTATTCTTTCAAGGACTTCGTATGATGAGCAGAAGCCAACGAAGTCTGATAAAACTGGAGAGATCAATGCCGAGTCGGCAAGAATATTCTTCAGAGAGCAAATGACTTGGATCATTTTCGCAGGAGAGGATGAAATAAGATCAGAGCTCAATTTTGCCAACGCGTCAGAATCCGAGCTTTTCCCATTCTTTTAATTCCAGAAAATGTTCCGGAAGTTTTGTCAAAGCATCCAACATTCTAGTTTAAGGTATTCAAGTTTTATCAAATTAAGAAATGAATTATTAAAAGTAAAGATTGTTAAGAAAATAAGAAAGTTTTGTTTTTATCAAGAACTGTGGCGTAGTGCAATGAATGATTTGAAATCGGCTTTTGAAAAGCTCAATTTAGACATATTTTTCCATAGAGGTTCCTCGAGCTCTGGAATTTCGAGAGGTAGAGAAGCGCTGAGTGGATTAGATGAAGAGTGTGAGCCTTCCTCACTCGTGTCGAAGACAAGATCGTAGGATTCCGTACTAAAATGACTATTTCGTATTGTTCCTTGTCAAGGGAACTTACCAGTCTACTGTAAGATCACAGTACGCATCCAAGACGGCTGAGTCTAGCGAACACGAGCTTCTACCAAGTTGCTCCAATAAGAGCACTACTTCTTGGTTCTTCGGCGTGTTAGCCTTTCTCAGATAATACACGACTCGTTCGAGAATAACCCTTTCCGGCTTGAGCATGTAATATTTTGATGCCTCTAAGAAAGGTTGAAGCATCTCGAATTCAGACAAAACAAACCTAGTAAGAAGATCCGAGTATTTCTGGAAAGAGTCCAAACATTATCTGACATTTCTGCTAAAATACCAATCACATTCAGTTCTGTCGAATGGGTGCGATGGAGAATTTGAAACACTGGAATAATTATGTTCTCGTCTATGTCTTCGAAGACGACGCGCAAGGATTTCTCCGCTACTCTCTGGGTAATGAGTTTCAAGAATGTTTCTGGGTTCCATGATTTGAATTCGTCCAAGAAAAATGATTGAATAGTCGATTTAGAAGTGGTTTGACAGTTGATAGTTTCTTCGTCAACGAGAATATCAATATCTTCTTCTGATTTATTGAATAATTCATCAGAAGTAATTGGCAGATAGGCTTCTTCCTCTGGTAACCGGGTTTTCTTAAAATCAGGAGACAAAGCAGCTATTTCTTCGGTAGGGCCGAATTGAAGCATTAGTTTAATATACAAACGATAAATTTTGGAACGCAAGTTTTCAGTTTGATTGGTGATTTTTAGCCGTTGAAGAAGATGAAGATGCTGTGCGCCCAGATGAATTGCTAGTTGAAGGTCTTTTTGAAGATTTGAAGAGCGATTTCTGCTGGAGATACTTTGTAGAAGATACTGGAAGATGTAACTGAAGGAGTCGCAAAAAGAGCTCAAATATATTTCCAAATGCGCGAGACATGAATCTTTCGTCAAAGTAGCCCGAAGAGATGCCAGCTTTCTCCAGTAGAGACGTATCATCGGTGTTGCAGCGTCCCGCTCCATCGGCCTCTTCGGAAATTCTATGTCCAGACTTTCCTGGCAGTTGAAAATCATCAGAATTGAAGATAAACAAGATTTTTGCAAATAAGCGTCAACAAGAGATAATGAAGATTTGAGCTGATCATGTACGTCTCGAATCCAGGAGGGGAGGATCTTCGAGAGCTCTTCAAGCTTCTTGATCACTAGTCTCAGACTATTCGACAGAATGACCATATTTTTGGTCGTTGTCAAAGGAAGAACTTCTTTTATCATCCACGAAATACGCTTGCTCACTTCGATAAATTTAATCAAACTAAAAAAGACAGAATTTCTACCTGATAAAGCAGTCCTTTCAAGAGCTATATTTGCCCTCGAAAAAGCAATAGGTGATATTTCATTCAAAAAGAACTCAAATCGCTTGAAAACAATTGGCGGAAAATCATCTGAAGAATTCTTGAACGTCTTGCAGTCATCCTGCAAGATCCAGAACTCGATTTCTTCTTCTGAAGAGCTTTCCAAGGGTACCAATTTACTTATCGGGGTATAGTTCGGCGACTCTTCAGAAAATATTGAGATGACAGCGGCGAGTTGATACAGTTTTGCCCATGGGATGAGGCCGTTACCATCGACAGAAGCTGACAGTAGCTCTCCGATGGATTTAGTTTTAAACAGCTTGCTTTGCGATGAGAGCAATTTACTGGAAGCGGACTCGCTGAACTGAATGACATGCTTCATATAACTGTTCGATATCAGGTTCGTTATCGTAAAATCACTTGAGAAAGATTTCTCAAATATTTTTAAAAGTCGGCGATCGTGAGAGCGTCGGCTATACCCTTAATAAAGTCCTGACGAAGTAAAAAATATCATTGGGCATACCCTTATTTTGCCAGATTTGCTCAAAAGAAGCTCAGAAGTAGAAATAAAGTTCGATGTCGAGAGTTGATATAAATGCTCCTTTTATTAATGCCAGATGAATATGTAGTGTTAAAAGAAATGAAAATGGGCTGATCTCAGCGTTGTATTAATTTTAATTCAACCAAGCCAAACCACATGTTTCGGGGTGGTTTAGAAAACATGCAGCTACTGTTCTTTCAAAGGGTAAGTGAATGATGTGAAAATATGATGATATGAGTCATGACGTACGTGGCGAGCTGAATTACCGACCGACCGAGAGCTTCAGAAATTGCGCTTTTCTTGGCTGAATTTCGCGACTCCACATCGTCTCGCCCTTGCGATGATTTCATGAATCCCCTGAATTTCGAGGAAATTTCGATTCTCGACTTTTGAAACTTACGCGCTGGAGATATTTCCAATATTGCCGGAGATATTGTAGAGGATCGCTCTTGAACGACGTCGCCATTCTTTTAGATCGCGCTAGAATCAACCTTTTACAAGAAGCGTTTCATTTTTGAACTGTTTTACCCCCTCGCGCTCGCGGGCGAAATTGATCTTCGAATTTGACTTGGAAATGTCCTTGACGGATATGAGAAAGAAAACGACAGTGCCAGTCTCGTTTTTAATTGGCACTATAAAATCAGTTAGCTACTGTCAGTCCTTTCTTGGCAGCTACCAATATCAAGCTGGCAGCTTTGGCTTGTTTGATCACGGCTTTCGCGATCGCTGTAAAAGTGAAACTTTACTTCGACGCGGTATTCTTCCTTGTTTCGCAGGGCGCGCTCGATCCTCTCCTTGATGTCCTGCCGAGTGTCCTCGCCGTAGACGAACCTTATCGCGCAAGATCGACGCATAACTGTTCGTGGGTTAATTCGCTAGTTGTGGAGTACCCTAAGGCTTGCTCCAGGAGCTAATTAACCGAGCCTTTGCAGCGCGGAAGGCCGCTGAGCTCGCAGAAGCCATCTGAGCAATAGACGATCGGGTACTGATCTGGAATCTGCGCATTTCCAAGCACGAAGTTTGAGTCTAAGAGACGATCATCCCTCTTTTCTAATTTTCGAAAAAAAACTTACGCGATCCGTCAAATCTCTCTGCGATCGTGTCAAGAAACGTGTTTTGCGGTGCCAGCAGGCCTTTTCTCATTTCTCTGCCTAGAAAAAATTTTAACCAATTTTCAAATTCTGCCGAATTTCCGGCACAACTCTCAATAAGGCCTGAATACAGCCAAAATGCCCTAGAAAAGGATATTTACTGTGTTAACCTTCGGCACACTTGGGAAATTGGAAGCACAGCCGTGAGGCCATTCTATTTTGATTTTTCTTTTTTCAGTCGGCGGTGGGTACTCTCTTCAAAATTAATCAAAACTCTTCGCGTGGAACACGTGCAGCTGATTTATTCAAAAGCTGACAGAATAATAAATTCCGTAAACTACCCCAAAAATAAAACACTTGATACTAAGTTCTTCAAGTGCTCGGATTCACAACCCTGTCTACTTTTTACAGTAGACTGCTAAATTTGATAAAAATCGAACTCATTTGCTCTTTTAAGTCCAGACAGCTGTTTTGAGAGGTAATTTATTTTCTCTTGAAAAAAAAGAAGAAAAAAATTAGCTTTTGAAAAAGGGCTGGCGAAAAGGATGGACTGGCAGGCAGCAATCAAAGTGAATGGATAAAGAGATTCTTAATTGTGAAAAGAAATCGGCCAGCATTTTAATAGACTATTCACGAGTTCCACTTTGCACATTTAAAGAGATCCTCGCGCGACGGGGAGCTTCCGCTCCTTTCAGAAGCGATTCTCTGGGGATGAACACTCAAATTCAATGCCTCGCGAAGCGAACTTCGCGGTACTTTTTTAAAGGAATATTTTAAAAATTTTAAATGTACCGCTCTAATTATCTTATTTTTTGAAAAATCTTTCCTTGGAAAACAAAAATTTAATTCAATGCAACTTTTCAACTTTCCGACCAACTGATAGATCATTTTCTTAAATCTCTCTTTGAAAATTATTCTCAAAAAAGTCGAAAAATATTTGAAGCATATTTTCAGATCAGACCTGGCTTGCTTAAAATATCCCGGTAGCCGAATCGGCGGATCATTCCCAAGTTCGTTAAACGCATCATTAAACCGCATTAACTGTACTTCCAATTTTGCCCGTGGATGACTTACTCTTTTATAAATTCGCTTCCATGGGTTCTTTCAATTTTCAATTTGCAAGTTCTCGTTTTCAAGTTCACATTTGGCGCTGCGTTTTGTCTTCCTTTGCTGGCTATTAAAATTCAGCAGCGAAAAAACGCGAGCCAGAGGAAGATCCAAAGGATGGCGCTAGATGCGCCCAAATAATGGCTCTTTGGCAATTACGATCCTCCTCCCCATATCCGATAAAAATCGCGCCTCTGGGAATCGAACTGCTCGAATGATGATTTATTCTGCTTTTGCAGCCACTGCTGGAGAAAGTTACTGCAGCAATGAAAACATAATTTTTAATTGTAACTAATTTCAAGTCTAAGTTGAAAGCAGACATGCGGGAATAATATTTTGAAGGGTAGATTGAGGTCGGGAAAAGAAAGACGACAGAAAGTCGTCGCTCTTTATGGCAGGAAAATTACTGTATTTTGCGAGAATTCATTGTCAGTCGATAGACATTTTCGACGATTTAGTCGGCAAGAATACTCGATCTTTTTTACTTGATATTGGACGAACGAATCTGGGGAATTCAGTAACTACAGTATTTTTCACTGAAATGGGATGAACAAGCATGAGAATCCGGACAATCCGCTATTTCTTTTTGCCAAATTCCGGATGATCCCGCCACGTTCATGTCCTCCTTCTCCTTTTCATTTTTTCGAAAATCCAGAATACAGAAACAAGATCCCGATTTTCATAATCATCGATAATCCCCTTTCAACGAGTTCAGATTTGAACGACGAAAGCCCACTATTGGACAGCCGACCGCATTTTTGGAAGCCTTTCGAATCATTTTGGAAAAAATTAGTGCCTTTGACAAGGTAAAATCTGAACTTTCCATAGGATTCGTCTGACTTCCACCCAAAAGAAGAAGAATTCGCCATGACTCTTACAATCAACAAAATCAACACTTGCAATCAAGGAGAAATCAAGGCGATGGAAGATTCCCTGTGAAAGGTAATCGGAATTAAATTAATCCCATTTGGCTAGAGGTGGCTTCTGAAATTGAGGCTGCGGCAGGTATCTAATTGCGGCGGCGGCTGTTTATTTATAATCGAATATTCATCCCAGCAAAGTCTTCCTCGAGTTAACACAAATAAACCTGCCACTGTTTATATTCACGGACAGACTGCAAGCGAACATTCTTCCTCGCTATCTGACATGAAAACAAGCGCTATTTTGAATCTGCATCGATGATGTTCTCAGGTGAACTCAGAATTCATCTGTTCTCGAAGGTTCGCAAATGAAGCTTTTTATTGAGAGCGAAAAGATTTATTGAACAGAAAAGTTGAATCAGGAATCAAATCTATTGAAGAACTGCGTAATAAAGAAGCAAAGGAGTTGAATAACGATCACTCAAGCTCGGATAGAGGGAAGTATGATTTCTGAGTTCCCTTGAAAAATAATAAGAATCGATCTTGGTGAAGTTATTTTATACCTTTCTTGTTGTAGAGCGGGAAGCAACCATAGACGCAAATTTGGCATGTTCGATCGTCGTTTTCTGCGTCTTGGTAAGCGAGTAAGAAAAGGCGCCAACGAAGGAGTCTCCAGCGCCGGTCGTGTCGACCACGTCTACTTTTTCAACAACTGGGTGCAATGTCAGCTCTCCTTCGCCTAAAAATTCATTATTTTTAAAGCAACAATCAAAATCTAGACACTGACTTTTGACGGCAAATCCGTCTCCACCGAGAGTGACGATTACACTTTTGATTTTGTATTTCTCCTGGAGAGTTGTTGCCGCTTCCTGAATAGTTTCTTTTCCACTGAGTTCCAGAGCTTCTGTCTGATTCGCGATGAGATAGTCGATCTCTTCAGAGAATGTCTCAAAGTCTTCCCTGCTCGGGCAAGGCGCTGGCGAGTAGATTGTCTTTGCTCCAGCTGCTCTTCCAAGTTGTAGAGCTCTTTTGGTCGTACTCACTGGAATCTCGTTTTGACAAATGACAATTTTCGTGCCCTTGAAAGCTTCCTCATCTAAATCTTCTCCAGTGAAACGCATGTTTGCTCCGGGGACAACAACGATCGAGTTTTCGCCGTTTTCCATCGAAACTGTTATCGGAGCAACGCCAGTCGAGCAATCAGCTTTTGTTATTATTTTCGAGCAGTCCGTTCCGGTTTTAGCGAGCTCTTCAACATACCACGATCCATTTTGATCATCTCCTACTGCACCTAATAGTCCGACTTTTCCTTCGCCAGATAGAAGAGCTCCGCTGGAATCATAAAAAATATTCACCCTTATTTTATGTGAGTTATTCTGACTCAATTCCTGCCTGGACCGCTTGGTTCGCTCCTTTACCGCCCAGACCAGTCTCGTATCGTTCGCCTAGAAGGGTTTCTCCTGGTCCTGGCAGCCGAGAACAGTAAGCGATTTGATCAACATTCAAACTGCCGGCAACGAGGATGTCCCAGACCATTCTGAATTGAAAACATAGAAGACTCATGTCAATTACTTAGAGACTTTAAAACGAGTCCAAGAAAGAAGCTCCGCATTTTGCTCGGCGAGTACATTGAAAACAATAGATTGGCCGCCATTGAGTGGCTGATAGAGAAGACGGTTCTCGTCGGCAGCAAGATTGTCAATGGACAAAGGGCCTTCAGGAATATCTCCAGTGACGTCTGGAAGCTCTAACACGCAGTGCGCGGCTAAATCAGCGCTCAACTCCGCGCTACCACCAGAAAGGCTTAAATAAATGATAAATATATGAGATCTTAAAAGTGTTACCTGACAAGCGAGCCATAAGTTCCATTATTTGGATATTCTTTGTTGAAATTTCTAACGTAATATCCTAAATTTGGAGCCGCAACAACCTAATAAATACACTTTCTCCACAGCCTCTGATACTGCCGCTTTACCTTTCCCGATTTAATTTGAATATTTTCTTTCAAAAGTCCGATTGCTTGCGCAAGTGAATCCTTGACGCCATCTAACTCGACGATTGCCTCGCCGGTGAATTCTCCAGCTTCCTTGGCGAGGAGAGTGCTAGTGACAGTGTTCACAAGTTTGTTGAATTCGGGCGTCTTCGACACAGGCTCCGATTCACAATTGATGATCACCATTGCACCCTTATTTCCTTCTGTAGCCACTCCAACACATCCTTCTGGAGTCTTTCGCGAAGCTAAGAATATTCGAGTTTGGCTTCCGTTTCAATATTTACCAAGAGATTCCATCTTCTTCATTCCCAAAGCCTTGGCTTCCTTTTCAAGATGAATGACCGCCTCTTCAAAATTCCAGTTTGTCGCCTGCAGAGCTGATCGACAAGTTCCAAGAGGAAGCTGCGACTCTTGACGGAGGCGCATGATCAGTTTCTTTGTATCGACAGCAGCCGTGCGTCGGACAAAAAGAGAGCCACAATAACGAAGCATTCTGAAATGGTCATTTTTAACATTTTATCGAACCAATTTTATTGTTCTTCTTCTAAATGCTTGGCATTATTAATTGCAATTGCTTTCCCTTCCCAAGCGCTCATTCTCCCGTATCTCTTCGATTCGATCCAACCAGAGGTCTTCTTGATAACAATATGATGGAATGCCGTATTCTTCATTGTCTCCTTAGCTTCTGCCTTGTACTCGCCAAAGTCGAAATTCTTGAGTCCAAGGAAATGTCTGAAGAGCATTTTCAACAAGAAACCATGCGCGAAAATCAGTATTGTCTTGTCAACTTTGGCCTCTTCGATGAGCGACCGGAGAAAATTCACAGCCCTGTATTTGACGTCGGCATCTGCTTCCATTTCCGGGCTGTTCCAGTCGACTTCGCTTCTCAACTTGCCCTCGAGTTTGCCCATTCCCTTTTCTTTGAGCAAGTCGTCGCAGATTATGCGTTCTTCCCCGATGTCATTCGTAGCGATTTTAGCTGTTTCCAGAGCGCGAGAAAGGGGAGAGGAGTAAACAAGATCAGCCTTGGGAAGAACTTTCGCCTCGGCCAAGCGCTTTGCTCATTTGCAGATCAGAAATAAACTGAAAATAAACTTGGCGTTCATGAGTGGAAGCATTTTCTTGATCTCTGCCGATTTCGCTCAAAGGAATATCGAGCTAAAAATCTTTACTTGCAGAAATGACTATTGCGTCTTTACCTGCCCTTGCAAAATGCCAGCTTTATTATACGATGTCTCTCCATGTCTGATCAAGTATAAATTCAGAACAACCATTCTAGAGCACTTGATATTTGTGAGTTTTGTATTTGAATGACAACTTGAACTGTATTTAAAATTAACTCAGTTTGCGCAAGCTCGAATAGCTTTCTCATCGTCGTCAAGCCACTGTAAGACTTGTGGAGTAAAATAAGAAAGAATCATTTCTGCGCCAGCTCTTCTACACGCCGTTAGACTTTCGAGCACTCCCTTCTTCAAATCAATCGCTCCAGCTTTGGCGCCGTGGACGAGTAGCGCGTACTCGCCAGACACCTGATAAGCAGCCACTGGAAAATTCGGAAACTCTTGCTTCGTTCGGTAGATAATATCTTTTATCGGTTTTCATGATTTTCAAATTGGATATTTAATTTATAGCGAAAACAGTCCCTAGATAGGCACCGGCCGGTTTTACCATTAAAATATCTGCACCTTCGTTCGCATCTCTATCGTTGCATCTCATCGCCAAACTTGATGCTCCTGGTGGAAGCTGAAAAATAAAGTAGAAAATTGGCTGATGTGAATGCTAACCTGATAATTTCTTCTATCGCCAAATTTAGGAGCAGAACCAGCTGCTTCTCTGAAAGGCCCATAAAATGCTTCACCCGAGTTATTATCAATTCCGTTCTATTTTCAAAGCTTACTCTTTAGTAATTCGATATTTAACCCGTAACAGAACAAAATTTAGCCGAGTAGGACATCACGGCAACTCGTGAGCCAAGCTTGAGTTCCCGAAGTCTGTTTTTGATCGCTCCTATCCTTCCATCCATCATATCCGAAGGAGCCACACAGTCAGCACCCGCGAGTCCATAATTGCCTGCGATCTCGGCCAGTCTATCGATGGACTTTTGGTTGTTCATGTGATCATCTTCGAAAATCCCACAGTGCCCGGTTTCGGAGAAGGGACAAATACAAACGTCAGCCGCGACCCACAGCTATCATTACTGTAATTTACAATTATAATGCATAGATAATGGGCGTTTATATGAATAATAACTGAAAACTGACCTGTGGATATTTTGACTTGATCAATTTAATAGCTTCAATGGTAGGGCCCGTCTCGCAATCTGCGCTAGATCCGACAGCATCTTTAGTCGATTTGACATCTACGCCAAAAATGATAACTGAGCGAAGACCTTTGGCGACTTGTTGGGAAAGGAAGGGAATGAGGTTGTTGATTCCATAGCGACTCACTCCGGGCAGCGCATTTATCGGCTCCAGGGCATCGGGGGAGCTATTTGTTACGAAAAGCGGCAGCATAAGATTTACAGGCGATATTTTAGAGTCGAATGCAGCGAGTTCTCGCAGAACCCCATGGCCATATGAAGAATGCAGAATGTGTCCGACTGGTGGCTCGTAACCGCTCATTCTGAAAAATAATCCGTCAAGGACAAGTAGACTCATGAATTAGAATAGATTCAAGAGGTCAGTGGCAGCAAGTGAAAGACGTGGGCAATCAAGCGATTGGCATTCTTCTAGCCACATTTTCCAAGTGATGTCCATCCAGATTTCTTGTTTAGTTGAAGCGATGCTCAGCAGACAAACTTGGTAAGATTTGATTATTACAAGTTTCAAATTCGTGTCATCTAAAGATAGAGTTTTATAAGAAAAGCGCTGACAAATTACCAATTCTTCTAAAAGTCGCGAGAAAATCTATGGAAGGAAGGACGTATTTCTCGATTTCGGGAATATTATCCAAGAGAGAAATGATCTGGCCGACGAATGCAATCATTCTTGACAAGACGTCTTTATCGCACGTCTCCAACATCAACGTTCGTTTATTCGAATCCCAGCTGCGCAAGAAAGGAAAAAGAAAATATCCAGCGGCAGGATAAAACCGAGACTTGAGCATCTTCTCGCTTTTTGGGCGGCTTCCCCAGCGCCGTGATTGTGATTCAACTTTTGCGGAAAGCGCTAATTTTTCAAAGGCGATCTCTTCTTCAAGTTCTTCGAAGGGAAGGTCCGCCAATTGCTTTACGGCCTTCGATAGAGAGGCAAGAATGATCTGCCGTTTTTCTAGAGGCATTGACTCGGCATAAAATTCACCTAAAAATTAGAAAATGTTCGTACCAAAAAACTATTATTACCAACAATCGCAGGAGCATAAAATTCCGGAGCCACAACTGCCAACGATTCTAGAGCATCACCCACGAGAGCAGCATCATTATCGTTAACAATTTCAAAATAAACGATCCCTTTCAAAATCTCTTCCACAAGCTCCTTCGAAGAAACCTGATTGACCTTTGCTAAATACGGAATTGTTTCCAGCGCGGCGAGTTTGCGTTTAGTCTTCTCCGTTTTTGACATTGATTGGGGTAGATTTCTCTCGACCAAAATTCCACTGGCTTCCATAAGAAAGCGGGGACTGTATTTTGAAAGGTTCGGCGTTTCGAATTCGAATTGTTCGAATTCCAAGTCGTCGGAATCAAGACTTTCTCGATCATCATCATCATCATCATCGTCACAGTTTCCAGCATTGATTCTTTCATCTTCGACTTTTTGTTGGTTACCGTTCAAGAATTCGATTGTTCGCTCTCTGCTATCTTCGTGAACTTTATTTTGATCCGCTTGAAGGTCTTTATTCGTGATTGGAAAGTCAAGTTTGGCCTCTGAATCAAATACTGAGATGATCTTCTTGGCAGAAAGCATTCCAATATCTCGATTGTCGGACGCCGACTGAGCAAAGTGGTTTTTGAAGCCCAAAGAAACAGTGTTGATAATCTCCAATCGCATTTCATCCGGACATTTAGGAAGATAGTCGACTGAGAAGGCAATGATTTTCGAAACTTGGATTCTTTGATCGACAGAAACCTTGATAACAATGTTTTCGTCCGCCCAGTAGTCAACTAAATGTTTCCATGTCTCCAGACCTGCGATAGCAACAATCCGTCCCATGTGAAACTGGCCATTTTGATTGAGTAATCGACCGGTGCATATTCGAAGCAAGTTGAAGTTTTTAGCGAGAAATATGTCGACAAGAGGAAATACCAATGTTTGAAATGAAAAAGGCGGACAGTAGTTTATGAATGATTCAAGGAAGTTTCTTCTCGCGCGAAAACGGAGATTTTTGGCAACGTCTTTCGCTAATTCAGCTTCGTCTATCACTATCTGAGCAAACTCGTGCAGAAATAGGGCTGATTCTTTCGATTGTGACACATTCGCGAACGTGAGATCAAGTAACGCACAAGTCTTCTTGACATCTCTCTGGCGTAAAAGGCAACAAGCGAGATTCTCCAAATTTTGCATAAAATTTTGATGCTTCAAATTCGTCGGTAAAGCTCCTTTATTTACATTTGCAAAGCGAGTTGGTAGATTCCAGATAAAATTGAGGAAATCAACGAAGACTTTCTGCTGCACGCTACTTAGAGCTATTCTTTCAAGGACTTCGTATGATGAGCAGAAGCCAACGAAGTCGGATAAAACTGGAAAGATCAATGTCGAGTCGGCAAGAATATTCTTCAGAGAGCAAATGACTTGGATCATTTTCGCAGGAGAGGATGAAATAAGATCAGCGCAAAGTTTTTCCAGCGCGTCAGAGTCTGAGCTTTTCCCATTCTTTTAATTCCAAAAAATGTTCCGGAAGTTTTGTCAAAACATCCAACATTCTTATATTGGGCATTATAAATTTAAGAAATAAATTATTAAAAGTAAAGATTGTTAAGAAAATAAGAAAGAAAGTTTTGTTTTTATCAAGAACTGTGGCGGAGTGCAATGAATGATTTGAAATCAGCTTTTGAAAAGCTCAATTTAGACATATTTTTCCATAGAGGTTCCTCGAGCTCTGGAATTTCGAGAGGTAGAGAAGCGTTGAGGAGATTCGATGGAGATGGCGAGTCTTCTTCATTTGTGTCGAAGACAAGATCGTACGATTCCGTACTAAAATGACTATTTTGTATTGTTCGTTGTCAAGGGAAACTTGCCATTCTACTGTAAGATCACAATACGCATCCAAGACGGCTGAGTCTAGCGAACACGAGCTTCTACCAAGTTGCTCCAATAAGAGCACTACTTCTTGATTCTTCGGCGTGTTAGCCTTTCTCAGATAATACACGACTCGTTCGAGAATAACCCTTTCCGGCTTGAGCATGTAATATTTTGACGCCTCTAAGAATGATTAAAGCAGCTCATATTTTCGATAAGACATACCTAGTAAAAGATCCGAGTATTTCTGGAAAGAGTCCAAACATTATCTGACATTTCTGCTAAAATACCAATCACATTCAGCTCTGCCGAATGAGTGCGATGGAGAATTTGAAACACCGGAATAATTATGTGCTCGTCTATGTCTTCAAGGAAAACTCGCATGGATTTCTCCAACACTCTTTGGGTTATCAGTTTCATGAATGTTTCAGGGTCCCATGTTTTGAATTGGTCCAGGAAAAATGATTGAATAGTTGATTTACAAGTTGTTTGACAGTTGATAGTTTCTTCGTCAACGAGAATATCACTGTCTTCTCCTGATTTGTTGAATAATTCATCAAAAGTAATTGGCAGATAGGCCTCTTCCTCTGGTAACCGGATTTTCTTAAAATCAGGAGAGAAAGCAGCTATTTCTTCGGTAGGGCCGAATTGAAGCATTAGTTTTATATACAAACGATAAATTTTTGAACGCAAGTTTTCAGTTTGATTGGTGATTTTTAGCCGTTGAAGAAGATGAAGATGCTGTGCGCCAAGATGAATAGCTAGTTGAAGGTCTTTTTGAAGATTTGAAGAGCGATTTCTGCTGGAGATACTTTGTAGAAGATACTGGAAGATGTAACTGAAGGAGTCGCAAAAAGTGCTCAAATATATTTCCAAATGCGCGAGACATGAATCTTTCGTCAAAGTAGCCCGAAGAGATGCCAGCTTTCTCCAGTAGAGACGTATCATCGGTGTTGCAGAGTCCCTCTCCATCGGCCTCTTCGGGAATTCTATGTCAAGACTTTCCTGGCAGTTGAAAATCATCAGAATTGAAGATAAACAAGACTTTTGCAAATAAGCGTCAACAAGAGATAATGAAGATTTGAGCTGATCATGGACGTCTCGAATCCAGGAGGGGAGGATCTTCGAGAGCTCTTCAAGTTTCTTGATCACTAGTCTCAGACTATTCGACAGAATGACCATATTTTTGGTCGTTGTCAAAGGAAGAACTTCTTTTATCATCCACGAAATACGCTTGCTCACTTCGATAAATTTAATCAAACTAAAAAAGACAGAATTTCTACCTGATAAAGCAGTCCTTTCAAGAGCTATATTTGCCCTCGAAAAAGCAATAGGTGATAATTCATTCAAAAAGAATCCAAACTGCTCGAAAACTATTGGCGGAAAATCATCTGAAGCATTCTTGAACGTCTTACAGTCATCCTGCAAGATCCAGAACTGGATTTCTTCTTCTGAAGAACTTTCCATGGGTACCAATTTACTTATCGGGGTATAGTTTGGCGATTCTTCAGAAAATATTGAGATCAGAGCGGCGAGTTGATACAGCTTTGCCCATGGGATGAGGCCGTTACCATCGACAGAAGCTGACAGTAGCTCTCCGATGGATTTAGTTTTGAACAACTTCGTTTGCGATGAAAGCAATTTACTAGAAGCGGACTCGCTGAATTGAATGACGTGCTTCATGTAACTGTTAGATATCAGATTCGTTATCGTAAAATTACTGGAAAAATGCTTCAGCACGAATTCATCCGTAACAAGCCAGAAGCCGACAAGAAGGAGAAAATATTCTGGAGCAGGGCGATCGCGAATAGCATCAGCAATAACTCGCTCTCTACATCGCTGATAGACTTTGCAAACTTCGCCGTGAGGAGAAAATTGTTTCAGACCTTCAAGGATGACAAGGATCTCGAACACACGCTAAAAGCATAAATTTATTTATCCAAAATTTTTATAAACGTACGTGTTTTTCTAAAGCTCTTAAAATGCAGCCTAAGCTCGATTTCGACAAGTCCTGCGGGATAAAAACTAAATGCTTCAAAAGTTCACTCTCAAACTCATGGATTTCAGACAGTTCAACAGATTCACTCATTTTCATCTCATTCTAAATAATATCAAAACCAGATGAGCTTATTTCAAATGGAAAGCAATTCGAGTTTATTTCGACACTTCTTTCTGCAGATTTGAATAAATTTTCTTTTTGATATCTTTGTTCTGTCGCTGGCGCTTGAGCTGTTGCTTCTTTATAAGCGCCTTGTACTTTTCTGTTCGAGCCTTCGAATCTGCCTTTCGTTTTTCTTTTCTCTCGTTTTGCGCTGCTCCCAGAATATTGAACAGAGCGGCAACCTAGAATAATGGTTTTGTAAACGGAAATCATCGATGAGAATTTCACCTTCTTGTCTTTCTCTTCTCTGATGACAGGCACTCTCGAGGCCTTGTTTACGCCTGCAATCTGTTTCTGCTGATTTTTCATCTTCGTTTTGAAAGGAAGATCCTTCTTTAGTTCCTTTGGCAACACCAATTTGTTAAACACGCGTTTCTTTCGTTGGACAGGTTTGTAAAGCGAGTCTGATCGCTGCTTGAGCTTGATGTCTCGCTCCTTTCGGATTTCTCCGGCGGTTTTCAGTCCTTGCCAATCGGATTTCTTTGACTCTTCCTATTACCAACAGAATCAGAGAAGCATAAAAAAGGATAAATTACCTGTAACAAGTTTGTGACCGGCAGATACATCGACGGAATCGCCAAGTTTACCCAAGTCTTGCAGAAGATAATATCAGAGTATTGCACTCGATCTTCGAAGGTTATTCTGACAACGCCCTCCGGCTTCCGTAGTGACTTTTTGATGATGCCTCGGATTCCAGAAACAGTTCGAACTTGCGCTCCTTCAAACTTGGCGGCCTCAATTTGACTTGTGAACATATCCTTAACGAATGCCGTATTTTTGTAGACCTTCATTGGGTAACCGATCAGCTTGAGTTTCTTGACGACCTTGGCAGAGTGATCCTGGTGAAGCACTTAATAACAATTTTTTTAAAAATAGTCGTTTACAGTTCTTACCTGTTCCAGTTGCACAAATTCTAAAGCCAGGTTGTCCATTCGCCATTTTCTGAACAGCTAAGAAACCAGTTCCTTGTGGCGCGACTGGAGCCAAAGTGGTCGCCCAGCAGTGCATATGTTCTGGCGTATACTTCAGGAATCTCTGCCTCATGTTGTGATCCTGCATGTAGTAGAGCGGCATGGTCTGGAATCTTCTCCATCCGAGAGAGACAATTAATGGATCTCGCGATTTGAGTACTGGGCGAGGGAACCATCGATGTCTTTTAATTCTCATCTGCACAGTACTCCTCTGTTGTTCGGAAGGGAGAAGACCTCCGACGATTAGAGGGTATTTAATTTCCATGTTTTCAAGGAATTCTGCGGGAAAGTTCTCGAATTCCATGCGAAGATAGAGTCCAGCGCGGTAGCCTTCGTAGTTGATTCTCAAATCATCGGCTAGATCGGCAAATTCACTAAACTGTGATGAGAAATTAGTTGATGAAGTCTCATTACTTTTTATTTCTAGCTGCAATGGCTTCAGTTTCCTTCTTCCACTCTTCGAAAAAACCAGCTGTTGGATCACCCTTATCATCGTATTCTTGGTTGAAGGCCTCTTTCAATTTTTGTTTCTTTTCCCAGATTTTCTGTTTCTTCGTCTTCTCGTCTTCTTTGCTTTCTTCAACCTCCATAGCTTCAGTTTCCTCTTCTTCAAAGCCATCATCATTTTCTTCTGAGCCTAAAAAACGTTACTATCTGATATTGTAATGATTCAATACCGCTCTCGTCGTCCAAAGATTTCTCTAAATCTTCAAAATCGCCATAAAGGGCATCATCTTCTTCCAGTAATTTTTCGGCATCTTCCTCACCCCAGTCCCCCGTAACAAAGCTGTCCTTGATCATAGCGGCTAATTGCTCAACTCTCGATAGAATGTCATCCTCATCATCAATAGCATTTGTGGCGATAAAGGGCTTTTTCGTCTCGTCCTTGTCATTGATTTCACTCGATTTTTCCATGATCTTTACAAAGAAATCGCCGACTTCTGATTTTTCTGTATTTTCTTGCAACTTTGTTGGGTCTGTATCGTAGACTAGTGCTTTTAGATTAACTGAAGATGATTGCCGAGCGTAAAAGCTATTGGAAGCACGTGTATGCATGTCATTCTTGAATGCGAGATCATCTTCTGACTCTGGTTCGCTTCCTTCAAGTTCTTGTTGCATTTCAAGAAGCTTGCCGTCCATTTCATTCGCGTCAAAGTCTTCACCTTCTCCATCCGAATCCGAGGCCACTTCTCTTTTTTCGAGCCCTTCAATTTCGTCCTCGGACTCTTCTTCTTCTCCCGAGTTTTCGTCCTCTTCGTTGTCATCATCATCGTCGTCGTCTTCTTCGCCTTCAAAGTTTGCAGGTCGCCTCTCGACTTCATTACCACCGGCAAGAAGTGTCAGCAATTCGCCTCCGCTCTCTTTCATTTTTGACTGGAGATTAGCATCAGCCATTTTGTTCAGAAACTCTTCTCCTTCTCTTGGCCCGTCATGCTCTGCCTTGTCAACGTCGAGGTAGACTGCGTCTTTGTCGTACATGAATCCTCCTTGTCCGGTCAAAGGAGCGTAGAGGATTCTCTCCTTCTGATTCAAAGATCGTTTTTTCTGTTCTTTCGGAAGGGGTGCTGGGTCAGGAAGATGCGTCACAGAAGACGGCACGAAGTCACCAACACCGGCGATATGAACATGATAAGAAGGATTCATATGAGCTCCTCTTGAGAAGCCATAAAGAGCAACGGTTCTATCCGTTTTCTTATTCTTTGAGAGCTCCTCGGGATCTGTGAGATCCTCAACTCTGTCGACGAGAACATATGGATGATTTTGGCGCCACATGATCGGACGAAATTTGATAACGGAAATGAAACGGGCAAGATTGGAAATTTCCTGATTCATGTACTGGCCTTCTTGGGCAAGACGAGAGAGGTAGAAGAGTTTTGCGCCTTGGTACAGTTCTGTCCAAAAACGATGCTTGAGCTTCGTTTTGATTTTCTTTTGCTTATCGCCAACTGGGACGAGATCAAGATGAGTGAGGACTCCCATTACTCTTGGCATACCATGGACTTGCGCGACGTTTAAAAACTCAAACACCTCCATTTCAAAGCCGAAACTAGCGTCAACCATCAAAAGAACCAAATCAGCAACTTTTGCGATGTCAATCATCGAGTTCAAGTCATTCGGACACTCGATGAAGGTGATTCTTCTGTATTTGCCCGAAACGACTGTTATCGGACCGTCCACACGATTCATCTTTTGTTTTGTGTAATGTTTCACGAGGGAGCGGACAAGGGTTGATTTTCCAACTTTTGCCGGGCCGACAATTGCGACGATTATTGGAGGCGGCTCGTCAGTTTCCCTCTTGACGACTGGGATAAAAGTCTTGTTGCTTTTCCTGTCTTGAGCAAGACGGAAGCCTTTGTTCATATTCACAGCGGATTGAACTCCAAAAGCCTAAAAATAATGAGATCTTTTCCAAAAGATTCTCCTCGAGTACCTTAGGATTCCGCTTTTGTGAACCCGCACGTTCTTTTTCCTGGCGTTTTTCATCGATTTCGGAGTGAAACGAGTGCTCGGATTTGTTTGCCTTTTTATCGTGGCCTCGACCAGCTCGGGAGGCACGATGCTGTTTAGACTTTCGCTCCTCGTCACCGTCCATTCTAGGGTTTGGAATAAGCTTGGGCCTAAAGATTGAATTTTTTTAAGTTTTGAAAGTAATTGCACATGATAAATGAATAGGTTTTGAAAATTGCGGAACAGTATTCATAGATAAAAATAGGTACTACAACTGGAACATATGAATCATCGAACTGGCATTGAAATGTCTACATACACATGTCTAATCTCTACGATATTTTTCTATCATTACATATTCTTAGAAGCAGTAGAAATCGTCAGAACTTTTGGAAAAAGTACATGAAGAAACACACCAACTGATGAGAATCTATAATTCTCATCGAATAAATTAGGCATTGAAATGGAAAACTTTGATCTTCATTGGCTCTAAATCGACCTCCTTCACATTTTCCTTCCTTGTATCGAGGAGCGTCAAGCTCGTTTCTGATGCTTTTGCATTTGAAAAAACTGAAAAGTTTCGTGATTGAAAGCTCGGCGAGTAAAATTTACCGTCGAGGGAAATGGGCCAAGAGGAGTCTTCAAGAGGAAGTATTTGCGAAAGGGAGCAGTCCGATCCATAGCGACGTAGAATAAGGGCCACTGAAATATTTGGGGAACCATTCACCCTAAAATTAGGAAGTTAGCTACACAAGTTTAGTTTTGCGCTTACTTGGTGGGTCTCAAGTTGACAAGTTTGGCATCGTGAGGCAGTGGTGCTGAGGCTTTCAACCCAGTAAAAGATGAATCCTTCGTAACTGAACCAGTCAGAATCGAGGCAAGGAAGGGAGAATGCGTGTATTCTGATAGTCTGTTCGCATACGGCGACTAAACAGTTAGGACTTGTTTCAAACGATATTCATTTACCAGATAAATCGAATCAGCAGATGTAGAAGGTGATGTTGATTCAAGAAGAAGTTTGAAAGAACCTTTTGTAATTGAGTTGTCTTTGACTGGCTGGCCCATTCCTCTGGAATCATCTTGAGCGAGAGTCCTGTCGAGCCATATCTAAGAAAAAAGGTTGAAAGTGAGCCAATTTAAGTGATTTTTAATACCTCTATTTCACCATCCCTCTGGGAGGTAACACCAGAAGATTGTTGAGTAAGGATGGTCAATCGTTTTTGATTATCTAAAAGAATTTTATATTAGATTTAACAAAAAACTTTACCTTGAATGTAAGCAGAAGAGACAATAGGATAAACATTTCCCTGAATCGTCAGTTTATCGTAATAAACCTTCTTTGTTATCGTCAGACCATTCAAATCAGTAAACAGCGTTCTGTGATTTTGAACATCCGAACGGACCTGCATAACCATTTCGTAATTGGTCTCGCCTCTCACATCAACGAAGGTATCAATCAAAACAGCGCCAGAACTAACGCCACATTTGACAACAGAAAGTCGATGCATAATTCGCTCAGCGCCGACTTGTACTTCGTCGATTACAGGACCGGAAATGATTCGGTATCCGCCTTTTTTAGTTTCAAAAGACTTACAAGAATCTAAGAGTTAGACTCTAACATAATGCTGTCTTTCAAAACTATTCCTTGATCTTGCTGACCAAAAACAGGGACAGAAAGCTTGTCCGGTGCAAATAAATACGATCCAGAATTATCCTGCGAGTTTCCTCTTCCTCTGCAGCCATATTTGGCAAATTGCAATTGTGTCGAGTGCAATCTTCCATCGATACTGATCTCCTTGAGAAGTCCATTTTTACCGTTGAGAATTACTTTAACATTTGGCGAGACCAGTTGAGGATCTCCGCTAACTCTGCTCGTTGAAAACTTAGATTCGATGTTGCTTCCGTCTGCGGATCCTCCAAGACTTATTTTCGCAAGAGGAACCTCTTGACTTGAGCTTGGACAAAGCTTTACTCGTCTCGTCGACAAGCCATCGACATTGACCATGAGAAGGAGCTCGAAAGAGTTGCTGTCAGAAATTCTACCTTCAAAGTGGTCGTTCTTCACAACGTCCCACCATGGATTCAGTTGAGCAAGTGGCTTGCTTCCGTCCATGTACCTTGCCGAAATTTGATTGGAGTTAACTTTCACTCTAACAAGATCTTCTGTTTTGTGCAATAAAGAGTTGAATACATCCAAGTAAGCACACCCTTCGCCGATTTCAACCGTCTTAGCGACTGGAAGCTTCCCTCTCTCGCTCAAGTCTTCTTCCAAATAATAAGCCACGACGTTTTCTTCTGAAATAGCCGAAAGAGTTTTCGAGTATGCTTCCTTTAAGTTTTTGTATCCCGAAAGAAGGTGATCAGCATAATCCCGATGGACAAAGTCCTTCTCTGTTCCAGTGATAGCATCGTGATGCTGGAACAAATCGACCTCACGTCTTCCCGCCCGAATTTTCTTGTAAATTTCATCAGCTACATTTGAAGCAATCTTGCCGCTGATAAGACCAATAGAGAGCATTGTATCCGATGCTTGCATCAAATGCTCTAGTCGTCGATCAAACCATTTTAAAAACGGCCTCGAGTTGAAGAATCCTGTCCAATAATTAGTAGTTCGATCTGCGTATGAGAAAAAGTCTCCCGAGATAGATGGATTTTCCGCAATCGGGCGAGCTTTATCGACCAGAGCAAAGTAATCTTTTAATGTTCCGAACTTGGCCTCAGCATTCAATGTCGGAGTATTGCTGATAAACTCAAAGAGCTTCTCGTAATTTGTAAATTGCGCTTCTGCTTCAGCATCAGAATCATATCGGAAATCGTCGCCGAGAAGAGTGAGCACAACGCGGGTGTTTTCCTTGGTTCCTTTCGCATAGAGTTTGGATTTCTTACGATATTGATCAAGAAGAACTCTTGCTCGCTCAGCAACGTTTGTTTTTGTAATTTCCACGGGTTCTTTTCGCCATGGACAAGTGACTGGCGGCGATACTTTGCGAAGTCTTCTGAAGTCGAACTGGCAGCAAACACTTGGATCTGGTCCGCAGGTGTGCGGCACATCGTAGGAGTAGAAAGGCATCATATGCGTGAAAGTTTCGTCCGAACCAGTATTATCGAATGATTGTCGCCAGTTGAATTCGAGAATGTTTTGCTCCGCAAAATGCTTCTTTACGACGTAATGAGTGCGCTGAATGAGCATGTGGTCGATCCCAGCGAGATGGTTCAGATAAGCTGTTGTTGGAGAAGCTCCGAAGGTATCACAATTGTAGCCGTTTTTGGGATGATAGTCGAAATGCTTCTTGAGCCACTGATGTCCCTCGATCAGTTGATCCGACATTGCGAAGTAGTGGCTAGGCGCTTCTTCCGTCATCACCCAGCCGCCCGTTACGATTTCAATTTGACCGCTTTTGAGAAGTGTGGTAAAACGCGACTTGTAATCTTGACTAACACTCGGGTCATCAAACCACATATTCAAGAAGACCGTTTCCGCCCAAATAAACTTTCTGAGCGGGTTTTTGGACAAGGCGTCGACAATCACCTTCAAAATCGTTCTGGTCTGTCCCGTGTAGTAGGTATCCAATGTCTTTACCCAGCCAGGATCGTTGTGCGAGTGTGGCATCAGAATAATCTGCAGCTTGGTGTCCATCCATTCTGCATCGGTCGATTTTATCTCCCAGCCTTGTTTCCAAACGCCCCCATCGCGGTCAACAAAGTCCCATTCTTCATAGAACTTGTCCACGTGATAGGTTGAGCCGGAGCCTCTGTAAGGAACAGTAGCTGCGCATTGACCATTGTCGCTTTTTGGAGCGAGGATTTTCTCGAACGGGCTTTTCAGCTGCGATTGAATTTCGGACAAAACGGCATCGTCGCCATTGTTGGTCTTTTCGACGTTTATCAAGACGTCGAGCTTCTCTTTGATAGACGAGAGGATCTTGACATTGCCTCTTGCTTCGTCCTCTAACTGCTTGATCTTTGAGTTTAGGAGGGAGATTTCGTCTTCAATTGGTGGAATCTCCCGTAGTCCCTTTTCCGTCTCTTCTTTTGCCCTCGAAAAGGCCCAGAAAGAGTAGCAGATAAAGCAAAGAACGAGGAAAAACGCGAGGACAGAAGACTTGCGAATTCTCATTTTGAATTATGCGTGATAGTGACTGCGATTGCGATGAAAACCCAGAGAGCGGCAAGAAGAGTGACTGGCACCAAATAACGAATCTCAGGAAACAAAACTTCTAACAAGAGATTGCCCTCGATGAAAGGGCGAACGAGAATCCACGCGGTGAAGTAAGCAAAAGTCCCGAGAGTCGTTGCATGTAAGAAATGGGCGCTACTCATGCAAATCTGCCATTCTAGTTGTTTTTGTAAAGTATCGACTAGTACAGTACATTTCGAAGATGCAACGGATTTTTGAGTTTAGGTAAAGTGGATTGACAGTGAAATTAAACGGGAACGAAAAAGAAATAAAATGATATTTTGAACTGAAGATGTATTTTGCATTGAAGAGTCGTTAATAAGTGGATAGGTAGATTCAAAAAATGAAGAAAGAATGAATGATTTGTTGTTTTCGAACTGGGATTTTGCGAAACAGTGAAAATGAAGAAATTTGTTTTGGAAATGAAGAAAAGAGTTTAGGACGTCCAACTGAATACACGTCCTCTGGAGTCGCCGGTGTAGAAGCGCGAGTGGTCGTGCGAGATGCCGAACGAAGTCACGCCGATTGAGGACTCGGAGTCGTTGCTCGGAAGAGCAAGTTTACTTCGCAAAACTAGACGCTCTTCCCAACAAGTTCCAGACATGCCCCAAGAAGATGCTCTGGAGCTCTCTTCTTGCGACGAGTTTGAGCTCAGACTGAATAACTGTCACTCGTCAATTCGAAAAGCGTTTTCTCACCTCGAGTTCCGACAGGGAACTAGTTCACGCGCCCAAACACGTATCGATCCGTCTGTGTGCCCGGATAGAACCATTCTCGGTCGTTCCCACTCTCGGCCAGCCGGTGCTCCAATACATGCGACTTTCTCCGTCTGCACAGAGCCTAAAAACGACAAATAAGTTTCCACAAAAGGAAGCTTTCAAACCTAATGGGTCGCCATTGATCGAGTAGACGGAAATCTGACGCGAGGAAGCAACGAAAATATCGCCAGTAATCCAGCATGCTTTTATGTCCATTATTTCGCTACTGTGGGTTCCCAACAATCGAATGATTTTGAAAGTCGATACATCCCAGATGTTCACTCTGCCATCTTTACAGCCAGATATCAACACGCCGTATTCTGGGAGACATCTCAGCGAGGTGATTAGATTTCTTAAAATAAGTTAGAAAGAAGCTATTTAGGATGATATTTACCCGTGGCCACGCATAACTCTCGCTAGCGATACTGATTTCTGTTTGAGATCAGTATGCCAAGCTGTTATAGAAGTATCTCTGTGACCGAGAAAAAGCAGCTCTTCTCCAAGAGTAGCAGCTACTGTAATCGGCGATCGGTACAGGTCTTCGAATATCGCGATCGGCTTGAATTGGATTTATCGGATTTTTAATTTCAGTCATTTTACCTTTTCTGAATCAGAAGCAAGATATCTGATGGAGAAGTCTGGATTCTGCCAAAGAACATCTTTGGTCGCCCCAGCTCTGATACGCCCGAACGGTAGAGCTTTCAGATCGCCTCGATCATTGATAAGAATCGAGCCAACTTTACCTGTTCGTTCTATCAATGGTTTTTCGGAAGAACGAACTAAACAAGAAATAGACAATAAAGTCTTTATTTTTAATCAGACCTTGGTTGAGCTTGTGATAGAATGCATTCTTGAGTCCAGCAATCAAAGTAGCTTCGGCAATAGAAACTCTATTCCAAGGCCCTTTTCGTTGGGGATGAGGCTTGTTGAAGAGCTTCGTTGGAATTTGACCAAAATTGTTGATGAATCCGATCGCGGCGTTTCTTTGAAGAGGATCTTGAATGCTGAAAACGTCGACTTGTCCTTCATAAAAGAGCGGATGGAAGAGATTGTGCACGTCCAACGCAGCTTCGCCAGCTTGTTTGAAGCCGAATATCAGGTCTATCCACTGAGAGATATTTGACGAGACGTATGGACTTTCAAGAGCAGCTCGGTGAATCCTCACAAATTCCCTGGTGCTTCCTCGAGCCCATGTCGGAAGAACAACGTCGCCAAGTTCCGTCCCACTCTGCTTTTTGCCCAAGTCGAATTTATTTCTGTTTTCGAGGAATTCCGGGAGATAGAAAAACTCTGGAATGAGTTCTCTTACATCCGCGTTATTTCTCGTCGAAGCAGAGAGCCAGGCTTCCTTCACAGAATGAAACATGCGATCTGGCAAGTCGAAGTGGCCGCCTTGGAGGCGTAAGAAGAAGTCCGTGAAGGGCTCTGATCGGACAAGGAATGATGACACTAGATGAGAGATTATCACATGAGAATACATTTTCCCTTACCAATCATTGCCGAGGAATAGTGCGTTCCGTAATAATAAGGCGATGTCTCGCTCCCAAGTTCACACAGTTCCTTGTACCTCTTCCTAAACTGTGCAAGTCTGTCAGCTGCTTGTGCTCCCATTGGCAAAGAAAAGTCGCGGAATGTTTCTGATTTTGCAAAATCCAGCGCACTTGAATCATAATCGGCGATTACCCAAGGGAAAATCGGATACTGCATGAGATCGTTGTATGTTCGCCCAGCCCATGTGTTCAAAATGACGAGATACTCAAAATTAGAGATTTCTCCGTTTTCCCACTTTTTCGTCAAACCGTCCATCATTTGAGAAGCATCGGCTGTTCTTGCTTGCGGAGCGTATTGGAGAAGACGTTGGAGAGCTCTTTGACGCTCGTTCTTCTCGAAAGCCAGGAGGTAAGTTCTTCCGTTGGCAAGGAAGAGTTCGAGGCCAATCGGTTGAAGCAGGTACCGTCGCTTTTCAATATTTCTGATTTGATTGAGCGAAAATTTATTCACTTGAATCGGATTATCAGCTGGCGCTTCGTTTGTTCTTGTGGGAATCACAAACTGAGACTCTTCTTCCTTCATCCTCACAATTTCCTTTATCTTGTTATCTTTCGTTATTCCTAGACCATCGATGAGGTAAATTTTCTGCTTTCCGATGACAAGAAGACCCTCATGGGCGTCGAGTCCTGCCACTCGTCCGATTCTGTAGCTGTAGCGGACCTTATCTCCAGGCTCGAGGATTTTTCCAGAAATTTGAGGATTCGTTTCGGCGCCAAAGACATCTTGAGATGTTCCAGTTGGGGATAGAGGAGGTTCTTCGATCGGGGATAACGGTGGGCCAGAATCATCAGTGCTACTTGTGGACACTTTTGGAGCATTTCCAAGTTTTGCCGCGATACTCTCGATTTCTATGGATTCTTGCTTCAATACCTCAACTTCTGAGGGGCTTCCAGTGCTTGATTGACTACTGATTCTTCTGTGTTCTATATTTGGATTCTTCGCTCTATAGAACTCTTCGGAAAGGGATGAAGATGGCTTCTTATGTTTTCCAGGCAATCCACAAGAGCTTATTGGAGGGTAGTTTTCATAGAACTTTGTGTTTGGGACCATCAGCCGTCTTGTTCGCGCTGGACCCTCTGATGTATCGAGCATCCAGCGAACAAATTTGTCTGGTTTTGAAGGTCCAAAAAGACCACCAGGCATAGTAAGCCCGAGGGAGATTTCTTCCCAGTCGGCTTTTGCCGCTGACATCTTGCGACCGTACTGAAACGCCTTGTCGGACATTTCATTAGCAATTTGATCGCGGAGAACTTCGCACTCGAGTCGAAGCCAGCTCATTGCGTCAGAAACAGATGCTGTGCGTTTGACAGTTAGTGCTCGCCTCGACGCGGATGTAAACTTTCCCATCGATCCAGAAAGCTTTCTGAGCATTCCGCCTGGAGGTTGAACCTTTGGCTTTGACTTTTCCTTGAAAGACGTCCATTGCCGGGATGCCATATCCCGGAGCATTATCTTACCGACATCGATAGACGATCCAGGTGGAATGCTTACTTTGCAGTGAGCTTCAAACTCGAGACAGCGCGATGCCAACAGTATGTTCCAAGCAGCAGTGATAGAGTTATTCAATGTTTCATGAATAACTGTTGGCGCGTGGATTCGATCTTCAGAAGAAACTTGCTCGATGAATCTTCTTCCGCCCGAGTCACTGGATAGCTGGAATAGACAATGCGCAAGAAGAAGGGCATATTCGATAGCGTCTTTGTTGCCTTCCTGTGTAAATGGAAAGATAACGGCTTTGAATTCAATGATGAGATCGACCGCTGCCGCAGCAACGAGTTGCTCGGCTTCTGTCATCGTCGATTTGCATAAATTCAAGTACATGCATTTCCAAAGGGTGTGCTCAAGACTCTCCAAAACGGCTCTAGGTGCGCGATTTGACCGGGATCGAATTAACAAGTTTGCCATTGTATGACAAAGGTCGTACAGCGCACTCTTGTAGCAATCAAACTCCCAAATTCGATCAACAACACGGGCAAGGAAGTGGGATAGGTTTTCTATTGTCGTCAAACGCTGCGAGAACTCGAGATGGACTGGCCAATTCCATGGAAGATTTGTCAGTCTGATAAACGATTGAAGGGCATCAACAAGAGTCGTGAAGACAGCTTTCTGCTGAATGGGGAGGGCACCTTGCGGCGGACTGACGCCAAGGATGGCATCGCACACATTCTTGAAGACGATAGACCCGCAACCCAATGAGACTGAGTTCGTAAATAGCGCAATTAACTGATCGATAACAAGTTTCTCCGCCGATTGCATCTCATCCGACAGCTTCGTCGCCGGCGATTCGTACGGATAGAGCACATAAACTAATTGCTGAACAAGTTGCTCTTGGAAAAATGCCTTGCCAAATTTCGGCAAGTGATTTCTATACAGCTCCATGAGCATCGGAAAGACAGCTTGAGTAGCGGAATCATCATTATTCGTCAATTGACGACGCAATATTGAGTAAATAAGAGTGAAGCAGGATGAAGTAAGAGCATTTGGACTTGATGCTTGATTCTCGATGAAGCCTTCGCCGAGTTGTCGAGTTCCTGCGATGTCCGGATCAACGGCTTGTCCGATCAAAAGGCCGAGAATTATTAAACAGTTTTGAACATTGTCTACACTTCGCTCAAGCAACTTTGATAAGATTTTAAAACAATTTGCTGTCCTCGGAGCTTCGTCGTTGGCTACTTGATCTTCCTGAGCTTCGTAGGTCAAGTCAAATCCCTTTTCTTTCTTTGATTTGGTCGTCTTCTGAAGTAAACTTCCATTCAAAAACCTCTCAGATGATGCTGGGCAGCTAAGAAATAATGCCGATAATAATGATAAGATAACTGGCTGATCCGATGGCGGGCATTGATCCAGCAGGGTTAATAATAATTCCCATCCAAAAAGCTTTTCAAATCGATCCGCGAACTCTGTGGATTTCTTATCGCTTGTCATCAGACGAAAGAACATCTTCGCAATCGCAAGGAAAACTTCTCGCTTAATTTGAACCGCGTAAATGAGACTATTGCCGATCATGAGGAGATCATCATCAGATGAAGTCAAAGCTTCTAGCAGGTCATATGCCGAGCCAATGCATGAATCTGGAATGTCATGTTCGAATAAAAGCTGAAGTAGATTAGGGCATATCTCAGAGCGCAAAATCTCTTCCTTCAGCGTTGATGGATGGCTCTTTGAGCCACGCATGAGCTCAAGAACATGCTCAAGAATGTATCGTAAACATTCGGATGACTTCCACAGAAACAAATCCAGAATCAGCAGATTCAGAGCTTCGCTGTTGATGGAGGCCGGAGCTTTTGCCCCTCCGAATGAAGCCGTCCGAGTAATTTGAATGACGACATAGAAGATCAATCTACTTTGGAAAAGAGGTGTTTTCTCCGAAAGAAGATAGGCCAAAATGGGAAGTGTTCGTTCAAGCTCGAACTCAGCGCTGACGGCAGGCGATAACTGAATTACACGGCTGAATGAATCTAGTGCGTCGACTAACGAGTCCAGATCTTCAGCCTGCTCAACAAGTGACAGGAACAGAAATGGGCCACCTACTCCCAGTAGCGATCCATAAGGAACAGTTGCAGGCACAATTTCAACTGGATCGCCATCGTTTCCCGGCACATCCGACAAAAATCCGCCTACAGCGCGTTCTTGTCCAGTCAAACAACTGACTCCATTTTTTAGAATAAGCTCTTCGCTTTGATTCAGTCCATTCTCAGGAAACAATGCCAAAAGAATTCCATCTTCATTGACCATCTGTAACTGCTGGAAGCAACCTCGATAGAGAGGCCCTTTATTGAAAATATTGGCAGCCAAGTTGGCTGGTAAAGCTTCATTGAAGCAATAAAGCGACGAAATTGACCAGTCAGCTTTTGGCAGTTGACTCAAACTATCTGTAGTTCCAAGGGTCATATTAACGCAATGGCTTGATGCTCCCGAGAGATGATAGCTACTCGTTGATCCAGATGGATATCGCAATTTTCCACTGTTGCTTAGTTCAACCAGGGTTGCCCAATCGGACAAAAAATCTTGGTCTTGGCGATCCGATTCCGATCCGATCCGATTCGAACCTCGCCCGATCCGACCGATTACCGATTCCGATCGGATTTTTCGGATTCCGATTAAAGTTCATGTCCGATCGGAAAAATTTTCTAAAATTTTCAAGTTAAAATTTCAATTTAGAGTACTGAATATGAAGAAAAACTCGAAAATATCAAGTTCTTTCGATACAAACGCCCTTCTAACCATTTTACCTGTAATTTCCGTGAAAATTAATGGATAATTTTGGGTTTTCGGGGGCTTGGATCCGCAACATGTGTACAAAACCTATAAGGGTCCTGAAAGAGCTTTCATAAAAGCCGCCTAGGCGCTAGAATTTCCTAGAAACGAAGCAACAAATGGCTTTCGCAAAAAGAACCATCTCAATGGTTGACATTCTCGATGTAACACTTAATCATCGTGACCAAGGTTTTGTTTATAACTAATATTCAGAGATAATATCAAGTTTTTGCTGGCTTGGACCAGTAACCAGAGATGTCTCAATGATTGAGATTCTCAGTCAACGTGATGATCACTTCGTGATCGACGTTTTGATCGTAGGTTGCCAGGCCCTGTGTGGGGGGGTTAAAGGACGTAATTAAGCTCTTTTTGAGAAAAAATGCCTAAAAATTGGTGAATTTACAGAAATATTACTTTCTATAAGTATATTTTAAGTCTAAGTCACGGATTTTAGTGGTTTTTGAATGAATGAATCCGACTTTTTTACCCATTTTCCGATCGGATTATCGGATCCGATTTTACCGATCGCAACCGATTTTACCGATCGGACATGACCAAATTTTCGTTGCCTCGTCCGACCAATTACCGATCCGATTCCGATCGGACCGAATTTCCGATCGGATTCCGATCCGATTGGGCAACCCTGGTTCAACGCAGCCACTGTCGACCCACAAATAGCACAAAGATTGTTTAATCAGTCCTCGAGTAAATTGCAGATGAAAATGGTGCACCTCGCCATCAAAGAATGGCTCGGGTAGTTTTCCGACAACAGAGTCAACATTTTCGAAGTTTGGCGATTGAGCCGAAGGCTCTGTGAAATCAATTTCAAGTTCTTCGAGCTGATTATGGGCATTATAAGGCAGCTCACGAGTGGAAACGACGACATGTTTTGATTTCGTGATAAGAACGGAGAGAACAACATACGAAGATTTCCTACTAATCCCTTGCCGCCAGATTGTTACCATTGGCAAAGCGACTGGGCCTTCATCAGGAACATTTTTGATGCTAATCCAGGTAGATATACAAAACCCATTAACGGGAGGCCAGGAGTGCTGAATTGATCCGGTAAGCCCAGATGATATTGATGAGGCCATTGTAGGAAAATCTGACAAGGTTCCTTCTGCAGCAACGGGCAATAAACCTGGTATTTCGATTCCTGCGGAGCGACCGCTCGAAGAATTCAATCGAAGAATCGCTGGGACTTCTGGAAGTTTGTTTTCACATCGTCGTTTTAGAATCTCCAAAATGCTCCTGAAAACTCTTGGTCGAAGACTTTGCGAGTCAGCCGCCATGCCAGATGTATTTAGTGGCTCTAATAGTCGCAAATACAAGTACAAATACTTAGGGCTTGCTGAGGTTGATAAGAGTCCTTCCAAAAGTTGAAATGTTAACCGAGAGAGTTTTGTTTCGTTTGTCGATGATACATAATCAGAGATAAAGTTCACGTAAGGCTCTGAGCAGAGAATCTCGAGAAGATCATCGGATAATTCCGGTGATACATGTCGGGCATTTTCTGGATGCGAGAGGAGCCTTTGAATCGTTTCCAAAATGCAACACTGAAGAAATGAACGCTGGGGTGGATCAGGAACAAGAATCGCGGGAACAAGTTTTAGAATTACAACAAGAAAATGCGCAAGTTTGATCTTCTTCTCAACGACGGAAACTTTCAGTATCGCCACGATAACAAGAAGCACTCTTCGCATAGAAATCGACAAATTGTGATGACCGTTCAGAATATCGTTGAAGTTGGTGATTGAAAGTATGTCTAGCTCGATTTGCAGCGTACTCTCGGTGTTATTCTCCATCGTTTTATATTCGTAAAAGATCCCGAAGCTTCGAACGAGTTGAGTGAGTTTTTCTATCGGAAGAACTCTTCTAAATGTAGCGAATCCTTTCCCACATCCAGAGATAGATGAGAAGATCAGGTTCATGACGGTTTCTAGTTCTTCTGTCGTCTCAACTCTCGGTAAACCAGTTCTTCCGAATGATTTTTCTGGTGAAAATGCACCTTTGAACTCATTCAAAAACACTTCAATCAGCTCAAATCCCCGTCCATTCGCAAATGCAATCTGCGCTTCTGGAGAGCTTTGGAGAATTTGCGACAAGCAGCGGGTAACATCCATGCACAAAGTTCGGTCTTTTCTGCTCGATTCTTCGTGAAGAAAGTTCAGAATAGAGTTGATACCGAGCTCTGGGTCTGCTATCATCAAACTTCGAGCTAATTCGAGAGCCGCGGATCTCGTCGGAATATTCGACATAAGTTTGATGACCGCTTCGAAGCCGCCCGAGACAAAAAAGCTTCTGCTAGCGCGACCTTCATCTTGTGCGTCTTGCACCATGAAGGTTGTCGTAAGGCAAACTTTAACAAAAACATGATGAAAAAGATAAGCAACATTAGTATCTTACCTTGGCGACAGAGGGCGGTGATATTCGTCAGGTCAAAGTTCGTGCTCTGCGGTGTGTTCTCTTGCTCCAACCGGTTCTGCTGAGCGATCAGTGTTTGCGCCGCGACAGCTAAATTAAGCCGTAATTAAAAAAAAATGTGGAACGCTTTTTTCATACCTACGAACCCAACATCCACTGCAATGCCCTGAATAAAATATAGTGAAAATAAATCAATACATTATATACAGGGATTCTCCCGGGAGCTCTGTGCGCGATCTGTGAACTCTTTTCTTTATGTATACATGTATATAGATGCCATACGCGGATACCTTGTAGGTTCGTTTCTGTTTAATCAGCCGCTCTATCATGCTAAAGCTTCCCATGGTGAATTCAATCGAGACATTTTGCCGAAGAATCGCCAGAATTGGCTCAAGTTCTTCAGAAAGAACGTATCCGAGATTGAGTCCGACCCACTCGATGATGTTGAAAAAACGTCTCATGTTGTCGATTGGCTTTTCCATCACCCGGTCAGCGAGGATCGAAATTGTCTTTTGCGGAAGAAGGATGAAGTAGTTCGCAGGATCTTGTTGGTAAAGAGACAGGATAACATCCAAAATCGTAGTTGTGAGAATGAGAGATTTGGAACGAGTCCACACAGTTTGTAAGACTTGAAATGCGGGTATGTTCCTGACGCTGACTCCTCGCCCCATTGGTCGTGGAAGGCGGAAGCCGGACTGCCCGCCAGAAGATGGAGCGGATGGACGAAGCTCGATGAAACCACAGGTCGCGAGGCTGGCGACAAGAAGCACGAGATTCCGAAGCGCCTCTTCGCACTCCATTGATTCCTGCTTCTTTGAATCAGCTTTCTGATTGTGGAGAGTGTCTTCGAGCGAAAGGAGCAGCTCCGCGAGGAAGATATATCCATCCGCTCGCTTGAATGAGTCGAGCAATTGTTGCGTACACGAACTCGAGTCTTGCAAGAAGCAAATCACACAAACAAGACGTTCGATTGACTCCAAAGGCGTCGCTTTGTTCTTTTTCAGGTTATGCAGCCATTCTTCAATCAACCCTCGTGACTGGATGTATTGGGCGACGTTGAGGCTCATCGTATGACGGGCGATTGACAACAAGGCGTCGGAGCTGATGCGACGCCAGTGCTGACCTTTGGCAGTTGCCGCGCTTTGGAACAAAAGTTTAAGGTCGTCGTTAGCTACTAGCTCTTCCGTCGTCGAAGCTGATCTGAGAAGCCGCGAAAGGAGCTGCCCAAAAGAGGAGATAAACAGGTATTGCTTTTCTTGGTCGACGTCTAGTTGTATGTCCAGCAAAAGATAAAGCGATCTGAGAAGCGGGCTCGAGAAGAATCAACTTGCATCTCGATTTAAAGTTTTAAGAATTGATAAGAATATTTAATATTAACTGCGAAAAAGTACTCCTGCGCTCTCAATAATTGATAAACAGAAAGCCTCAAAGCCGTTCCTTGATAAACAGCTTGCAACGCCGTGCGAAACCAATTTCTCAACTGCCCCGCCGCCGGAAAATGCCAAGATTCTCACGCATTGAAAAAGATTCCAGCAGGATCCATTCGGCAGGAGAATTCTGGCGACTTCTTGTCCAGCGACGTCTGGGTCAGGATTATTTGCTCTGGACTTGACTTCTCTGATGAAGACGATCGAGCAGAGCTTCGTAAAGTCGCCGGAATACTCTCCAAATTTCTCGCGAATCTCTCCCGCCGAAGCATTCGAGAAGGAAGCCAAAAAGAGCGGGATAAAGCAATTGAGCCGCTCTGCCTGTTCATTCGGATCTCGAAGATTCGCAGCTAGCCGAATCTCGTTGAAGTGACGGCGAAACTCCAAGAGCGAAAGCATCCTGTTTTCGTCTGATTCCGACATTTTCGCTACTGTGGGTTCATTTTCTTATCATCCGAACAGCTAAAATCAAATATCCAAAAACCACTAAATACTATCTACTTTGAATATTCCGCTTTTCTTAAAATTAATCTCTCTTGCAAAAAAAAGAGGCAAACTGCCAGTAATAAGGTCTCAATTTGGCAGTATCGACCGACAGTTTCGCGGTTACTGCAACTCTATTTGACTGTATTTGAATAAGAATGAGCCCGAAGTTAAAACAAGTCGATTATTCCAAAAGTCATCATAGGAAAATAAAAATCCCTTCTCCATTAAAAAAAAGAAGTCTTCACTCCAAAAAGTCTCTACTGGTCAACTTACTGTTTTTCACTACAGTCCAGCCATCTTCAAAAAAAGCAAAAGGTCAAAGCATACTTTCCCCACTGTGCGACAATCTAAAAGACAAAACATTGAATTAGTGGAGGTAAATATCCTACAAGCTGGGTGGCCCTTAAAGGTAATTAAATTACAGATTGTTAGTTTCTCAATTCTCATTTTTCTTAATAAAAAAATAAATATATTTTTCGTTGCAGAAGTACCTTCTTAGTAGTCTGATCTCTAGGAGAAATAATTTTCAACTAAAAAAACGCGGTGAACATGCAATGAATCGATCGATTGGAGTAGCTCTCACGACCGGGAAGGGCAACTTCTCGAAAAAGATCGAGCATCGATTTTTTCTCCCTTCGCAGCTAATCAGCTGTACTCCTGCTCTCGTACCATCCTCATTATCTATCATTATCTTCTCACCCTGCACATGCAAGAAGGCAATCTGATTATACACTTATCATATTAGCAGAAATTTTGCATAGATCAAGAAAGGGTTGTAGGGCGCCCAGTTTCACAATTGTGAACCCGGTTCACAATTTTGTGACCCGGTTCACAAAATTTTTAAAAGTACGAAATCAGGGGTTTGTATGCGCTCCGCAAAATTGTGAACCAACCGATTGTGAACCTGGGCGCCCGCCACCCCGAGAAAGTTTATTATTCAGTTATCATATACCATGAATGAGGGAACTTTTTGAATTCTTCGAAATTTCGACATTCTGAATAAATATTTTTTTAATTAGATAATATTTTATCAACGTGACATCATAAAATGTCCGATAACATGAAATTCTTGTGATTCTCTTGATAAGTGAAAATCACTTTTGCGGAGCAAAATTCTACACCCCATATTACTTGTGCTCATTAGAAAGAAAAACTTCTGAGGAGTCGAATGGTATAGTTTTTAGAGTCTGAGTCATCACCTATGACGTCATAAGGGCCCCCCTTTGAAAAATGGTCATGAAGCCCTGTATCTCGAAAAATTTTCGGAAATAAATTGAGATTTTGGTATCGTTGAAAAGCCAAGATCAAACTGGCTATGAGCACCTGGTGCGCAAAATAAAATTTCCAGCAAAAAAAAATTTCTGAGAGAAAAACTTTTCACGCAAAAAATTTTTTTTGAAATTTTCTATTGCGCACCTAGTGCTCATAATCAGTTTGAGCTGGGCTTTCGAACGATACTAAAACCTCTACACATTTCTGAAAATTTTCAGAGATACAGGGCTTCAGTACCTGTCATTTTCGGGAACTTTAGGCACTAGAATTGGAGATTTTCCGTGGCTATAACACATAAAAATGGTACCATTCGACTCCTCAGAACCTGCGCTACAAGATGAGCACAAAAAATATTGAGGTCCCGATTTTGCTCCGCAGAAGTCATTTTCATCTATCTCTTATCAGTCAATCTTACCTTATCAAAATCGACGACAGCGAAGAACGAAGTCTTACAGTACTGTGCAGGTAGCTCTTGTTGCATTTGACTTTCATTTAATATTCGTCATTTCCATTTCCTCTGGCCGAAATTATCGGTAGAACACTGCCTCGTCAAAAGAATGGAGTTATTAGATTGGGCAAAGACGCGGAGCACACTCAAACGCGCGGCGCACTCATTTGCGCGAGCGCTCAAACGCGCGGACGCTCATTTGCACGGACACGAGCGAAAGAGTGTCCCCCGCGAATGAGCGTTTGATTTAATTGGTCGACGATGAAAAATATACTTCAGTATCCTCAAGAATTTTAAAGCAGAACAAAAACCATGACTCAGTGGTGTCAGTTCTTAGATTTTTATTAAAAAAAAATCGGAACAATTTCCGAAAAGACTAATCACCGGGAAAGAATGAAGATTATTTCTTTTTCAATTAGTTATCGAGTGTTATGTAATAATTGTCCAGAAATTTTAAGATGATCATACAATGTGTCATTTTAACTTATATTTGGAAAATACAGCAATTAGAGTGAGAAATACGCTGATGAACAGTTTTAATTTTGTATTTTCGGAGAAATATTCTTGCGCATATTTTCGACCAATTAAATCAAACGCTCATTCGCGGGGACACTCTTTCGCTCGTGTCCGTGCAAATGAGCGTCTCCCGCATTTGAGCGCTCGCGCAAATGAGTGCGCCGCGCATTTGAGTGTGCTCCCAAAGACGCGTATCCCGCGGCGGCGATTGGCTCATCCGAGGTGACAATGCACTTTTCGACACGCATCGATTCCCAAAATCGGACCTTTTTAGACGAAATTTTTAGAAGAAGAGATTTCTAAGAAGATATGAAGAAAACCATAAAATGATGCTGATTAGATACTATCCTGTGTTATATTATTATCCCTAAAATGAATTGAAACTAATCAATCATTATTATTAATTAACGATAAACAAATTAAGAGAATCGAGTCGAAGATATTATAAAATGAGGTGGCTAACGTTTGCCATTCTTGGCTCAATTGCTGATGCTAAAATCACAGGTATAGTCATTTCTTACTGTAAATTTGATTCTTCAAAAAACAGTCATTAATTATTATTAAAACAAACTTTTATATTTATAACCGTCCAAATTCAGTAGATTTGATACAGTGGAGGTGCTGTTGCTTATCATTTCTTTACTGATAAGAAAGTTTCGTTGAAGGCATAAAAACCACCGAGAATTGAATCATATTGAATATCGCATAATCTACCGGTTAGCCGCCGGGCCACCCATCTTTAAATTCTATTATCTAGCAGATTAAAATTTTATAACTTCTAAGCTCTTTACTTTCCTAGCGCCCATGACAAATTTTCGCGTTCAAAAACACCTTTTCATTCCAAACATTTAAAAATATTTATTTTAGCAAAAGCCCGAAAAGCAAAACTGGAAGAAATCACGAACAGCGGAACGAAGATGGCTGAAATCAGCGCAACACAATTCAAAGATCTCATTTCCGATGGTTTGGAATCGAAGGCAGATTATTCAATTGTAGTTCACTACACGGCGCTTCCGGAAAGATTCGGATGCAAAATTTGTGAACAGTTCATGAAGGAGACTGGCTATGTTGCCAAGGCAGCGCAACAAGGTCTGCTATATTTTTGTTATTATCTCCAAATTTAATAACTCCCTTCAAGGCGAGAAGAAAGTGTATTTTCTCTCCGTCGATTTCGGCGGTATTCAAATGCAGAAGGCTTTCCAGACATTTGGAATTCAAAACGTCCCAGCCCTCGTGATTGTCAACGGAAAGGTCTGAAAGGAATCTTGATGAGGTTTCAATTTTGAAAAATTGTAGGGAGGAATGCCAAAGGAGTCGTTCAAGCTGCTGACGAACCAAATCAGAAAAGAGCGAGATTTCAGCTCACAAGTTGTCGATTTTGTGACGCTCAAGATTCCCGATGCCGTCTTTGGAAAAATCGTCAAAGTAAACTCCTCATTTTCTTCTTTCCTATCCTTTTGATTCTAGCCGGTTGACTTTACGCCGATTCTGATCGCGGGTTTCTTCGGCCTTTCAATCACCGGAGCTCTTTATGCTCTCCGAAATGTGATTTTCAACAGATACGCTGTCGCGGCCTTGGTAATTGCTTTCTGCATGATCACGACATCTGGCTATACTTTCTGTCAAATCCGAGGAGCTCCTGCTAAGGGACGCGATGGTAAGACAAACCTAAAATTGCAGTCGTTTTATCTCTTCATTTTCAGGGTCGATCTTTGCTCAAGGAGGGCGAATGATGTACCTATCAGAAGCGTACTTGAAAATGATGGCGGAAGCTGGCGTGGCCGTCGGACTCGTGGTGATGAATGGAAAGGGCCCCCTTAGGAATACAGTTGGCCTTGCTGTTGCCTTTGTTTCGTATGTTGTTCTCCTAGGCCCGGTTCAAAAAATGAGCGTTGAATTTCGACTAATTTCCCTACCGAGGATAATTTTGAACCGAAAAAGCTGCCTTCCAAGTTAAAACACCACACTATCCTTACGGAATCGCCGATCTCTTCTAAGCCCCGCCTCCGTAGTTCAGTTTTTATCTTTTTTCTTCAGCAATTATTTAAAATTAGTCAAGTTAAACTGTTTTCTTGCAATTAAAAAACCAAGTGCAATACGAAATTAGATCTTCCTACGCGGAGACAACCAAAACTGACTGTAACTGTAACACTAGTTCAAATTTAGCTGATTCTGATTCAAAATTTATGAAGTAGAAATTTAAAATTTTTAAGAAATTGAAATCGAAAATGTCGAAAGCGGACGTTCAATCGGGAACGGTGGCCGGGATGAGTCGACTAGGCGTCAGCTCATTGCTTACCCTAGTCGTCCTCCTTGGTGTTTCGTTGCTCGGCTTCTTTTCGCGACTTTTCGCGGTTATCAGATTTGAGGTGAGCAATTTTAACACTAGAATCAAATTCGAAACATTAAATTCTCATTTCAGTCAATTATCCACGAATTCGATCCTTGGTTCAACTACCGCGCTACGTATCAAATGGTGACTACAAACTTCTACGATTTCCTGAACTGGTTCGACGAGCTGGCCTGGTACCCGCTCGGCCGAATTGTCGGAGGAACTGTCTACCCTGGTCTCATGATCACTGCTGGTACAGTCTCAATCGATTCATTTTCGTACAAATCTCCCCTTTTCTAGGCGGCATTCACTACGTTCTCAACGCCCTCGGCTTCACGACTCACATTCAAGACGTTTGCGTTTTCACCGCTCCAATCTTTTCCGGCCTTACTGCCATTGCCACATATTTCCTGACCAAAGAGCTTTGGAACGCTGGAGCCGGCCTTTTCGCGGCGGCTTTTATTGCCATTGCACCTGGTTACATTTCCCGCTCCGTTGCCGGATCTTTCGATAATGAGGGAATCGCTATTTTTGCTCTTCAATGCTCCTTCTTTCTCTGGATCAGAGCTATGAGAACAGGTATATAAGCTCGATTTTAGGTTATGAATAATCTTTCTCGCAGGATCGATGTTCTGGGGAATCATGACGGCCTTCTGCTATTTCTACATGGTTTCAGCCTGGGGAGGGTAAAAGCGCAAGAGCGCTCTTTTTCGCTATCGAAATTATTTCAGATACGTTTACATTATCAACCTCATTCCTCTTCACGTTTTCTGCCTCCTCCTTATGGGAAGATACGAGAGCAAGCTCTACGTTTCCTACACGACATTCTACTGCGTGGGACAGCTTATGGCAATGAACATTCCTTTCGTTGGTTTCCAGCCCATCAAAACTTCCGAGCACATGGCCTCGGCTGGTGTTTTTGCCCTCCTTCAGGCTTGGATTTATTTTTCTTTGTCAGCAGAATCTAAGTTTTTTCAAGGAACTTTTTTCAGCAAAAATCTTTTTCTTTCTTCGTTCGTTAGTTCTTCATACGGCCTTCTTACAGTTCCATAGTCTAAAAATGACTATTACTTTTCCAATCATTTGAAATTCTTACTTTTATGCTTTTTGAAACTTCTCAATAAGCGTCTTTTGTAAGATATTCTTGCGGATGGTTCAGCAGTTTTGTAGTCGATCACTTTTTTCGAGCATTGAATGTAGAGCATTATTAGACACAGTACCTGGGAGTTCGTCTTACATGGAGAATTATACAAATGACTTACGGACAATATACCAATTGCTCCTGCAAGTAATTGTGTGTGGAACTCATCGAGAAAGGGGCTATTTTCTTGAAGAAATTCTTTGAAATCGTCTACTTTGTGTAAGATCTGCCCGGTTAGCTTTTCTGATTTTTTCTCCATTTGTTATCATGTCATTATCGATATCAGAAGCGTATAAACAAGTATTCTTTCAACGGATCTAGAAAAAGTATTCTTTGAATCCAACAAAAGTGTTACGGATTCCTGGACTACTTGAGAAGCAAGTTGGGAGAAAAAGAGTTCAAGCGCGCCTTCTATCTCTTCGTCACAATTTGCGCTGGAGCCATCTTTGCTGCTGTCGTTGGTCTCACCATGCTCGGCGTTGTCGCCCCTTGGTCCGGTCGATTCTACTCGCTCTTCGATACTGGGTAAGTTGAAGAATGCTAACATAAGTCAACCGCCAGCGCGGCTCCTCGGAAGTATTTTTGGCGCCAGTCTTAGCAATAATAAGGAATCGTAAAAGATAATCTCTCTTCTTTGTGTATTCGCACTGTGTCTATCAATTTCTTAGCTATGCTCGAATTCATATTCCCATCATTTCCTCTGTGTCTGAGCATCAGCCAACTATGTGGACATCGTTCATCACAGATTTGCATTTCCTCCCGGCCGTTGCGCCCGCTGGTCTCTGGTACACCATCCGTCATTACGACTCAGCAAAAATCTTCCTGGTCATTTACGCCGCGTTTTCCTGCTATTTCGCCGGAATTATGGTCCGACTTATGCTGACCTTGACGCCCGTCGTTTGCATGCTTGGCGGCATCGCCTTGAATGTCACATTCGATCATTTCTTTGGTGAAGACAACGAAGACTCTCAGAAAGAAAAGGCCAAGAAAGACGCCAAAAAGTCAGAGGATACTGAAGAGGAAGAAGCGACTCCTCTTGCGATCAAACTCACTGTCGTTATGGCACTTACAGGCAGGCTTAAAATATCCCTATTTTGGATTTTGGTCTTTCAAAAGACATTTTCTTCGCGACTTTTGTTTTCGAAGTTTTAAGCCGTTCTAAAAGGTCTTCTGTGTCAGTTCGCGGTCCATTGCACTTACATAACATCGAACTACTACTCGTCTCCTTCCGTTGTTCTCGCTTCCAGCCGCCCAGATGGCTCGCGTAACATTATCGACGATTATCGAGAGGCCTACTACTGGCTCAGGACAAATACTGATGACGATGCTACAATTATGTCATGGTGGGACTATGGCTATCAAATCTCTGGTATGGCGAACAGGACCACGCTCGTTGATAACAACACATGGAACAACTCACACATCGCCATGGTCGGACGGGCCATGGCCTCGAACGAAGATGATGCTTACGAGATCATGCAAGAACTTGGAGTTGATTATGTTTTAGGTAAAATATTTATCCTTGTCAAGCGCGTCAAATCATGTCTAGTTATATTTGGCGGTTTACTCGGGTACTCTGGTGATGACATCAACAAATTCCTATGGATGGTACGAATCGCCGAAGGCGAACACCCGAACCACATCAAGGAAGCAAACTATTTTAGTGCTCAGGGACAGTACACTGTCGACAAGAGCATGTCAAAAACGATGAAAAACTGCCTCATGTACAAGTTATCTTACTACAAGTAAGTTTAAAATATTCTCTGTTTAAAATTGTGTATTGTGGTTTGGTCCACTGGGTCCAGTACAAAACGCGAGATTTAATAGCGAGTGCAAATTTCATGGCGGTCCCAGCTTAGGTTCGCCGCCGATAAAGCTGAGATAATTGCCCGTTTGCGGGATCGAATTCTACTCTTATCTCCTTGAAAACTCTATTTTCCTAGGTTTGGCGACGTTCGCACACATGCGCAAATGTCCGGATTTGACCGCGTGAGAAACGTGGAAATCGGCCACAAAAATATCAAGGTACTTATTTTCAAAAGACGTCAGACATAAACTATTCCTGCAGCTGAAACACTTGGAGGAAGCGTACACGACGGAGCACTGGATCGTCAGAATCTACCGCGTGAAGAAGCCCTCCAACAAGTCGCGCAAGTTGAGCCACAAACTGACGCAGCGGAAGAAAAAGACAAAAGTAGCGCGCAAAGGTCGCAAGGGGGTCCTGAGCACGACCATTCCAGCCGCCAAGGGCGCCAATACGAGACAGAAAGCTTCATTTGAACTTTAACCTACCATCTCTTGACGTTCAACTTCAACTTGGAAACAGTGCGGTTTGCTAAATTTGTTTTTCGCTCTTAGACATTTATTGCCGCAGTTTTTTCCTACTTCTGTGCGATTTAGATCAAATTTAGTTCTTGAAATTATCTGACCCAGCTTTCTGACAAGTTATCATTTAGAAAAACGAGGTCAAAGTGCGAATAATTAACGACTGTAAAGTCCTCTAGTATCTTTTTTTATCGATTAGTCCTGAAATAGTTCTGTTTGTCCCCTTAATAATTCCTTCCCCATCCTCTTTTCACTGTTCAAAACCCTGCAGGTGCAATACTATTCAATTCAAACCAAAACCCTTCAGTATGTTTATCATTTAACTGTAGCTGTGCAAGGCACCATTCATGTTCCTTCCAATAAAAAATGAGATTACAAACAACGGCTCGTTTTTTCTTGTTGATATGTATTTAGGTTTCACGTAACATACGGTTTTTTGTTATTTGTTAATGTGCACAGAGTTTGTTTTGCTTCATAGTTATATAATATAACTTAAATTTATATCGACTGAAGTCCGAGAACTTCTGGTTTTGGCTGCGTTGTAATGTTGGAATGAGGTGTTTTTGAAATTGATTCGAACTCGTAGGGAGGCGTCAGTACTTTAGGCGGCTCAGGTGCCATTTGCGCTCCGTTCTTGTTGTTCCCATACAATAAATACTCTACATCGTACGTGGGAGGCCTGTTCGCGTTCATCTGTTGTTGATGTCCCGGTACGCGGGGATACTCGTAAGTCGGAGTAGCGAAGCCACCAGTTGTGTCCAGTGAGCGGTCTGATCCGAACTGATGAGTGTTTCGAATTCGCTTCTTCAAGTTAGAGATTTCGTCGTCTTTTTCGCTCAGCGCGCGTAGAAGGAAATTGAACGAATTTAGCGCGCTCTGCATCTCTCCCTAAAACAGAAAGATAGAAAATTGGATGCCAATTTACAAAATTATAGGTCGCCACGAGAATGAGAGCGTGAACATTAAGTGTGATCAAGGGATCTAACAAATAGAGCGTTGATTCCGACGGTTAGATCACTCTACCCGACAATTTTCGCTCGTCATGACCTGTGCTGACCCTTGAGGGTTCCTCTTAATTGAGGAATTTTAGTGTTATTGAGCACTTTGTTACCTTTGACGAATTTTGGCCAAGTCGGGCATGATCTTCGAGGTCTGTTTGCGAGGCTGAAATACAAATTTAGCGACAATTTCTTAAAAAAAAAGCGGTACTTACATCTGAGTCCAGTCACTGGTGAGGCCCGAAGATCATTTTCCGACACTCCTGGAGATTTGTGAGCAGAGCTACTTTGATGCTTTCCACTTTGTTGCTTCGAAAGCTGCTGCTTCGAGTGTTGATAGTTCAAGGTCATCTGTTTGAGTGCTGCCTCCAAAGTTTCAATTCGTTTTTCGTCAATTTGTGATTTGCGCGCACAGAGTTCACTGAGTTTCACGAATTCGCCCTAAACATCACTTCTTTAGAAGGAGCAATAAAAATGGCGGGGGAATATAATTATGTCAGAAATTTCTGCACGAACTTGTTGGCGATAAGCTCTTTGACAAGGGCCCACTGACAAGCGCATCTGTTGATTTGTTATCTTTACCTGGACGTGGTCTAATGACTGCTGGAGGAATTCCACTTTTCGAGCATTTTCTTTGAGCGTGTTGACTGTCGCCCTCAGCTGGCGGTTTTCTTCTTCTAAGAACAGCGTCGTCGTATGCAAGTTGGCGGAGGGCGATGATCCAGGAGGAGGATGAAGCCCGTTGCTGGAGGAGTACTTTGGGGTGTAGGTAGACATGTGTGGCGAATAAATGCTACTGGGAGTGTTGGGCGTCATGTGAGACATCGTCGAGGAGGAGGAGGAGACATTGACTGGCGTAAAACGACGCCCTCCTGGGAGATCGCGCACGTCCGTCGCACCAGGAGCGATTTGACTAAATTTGACAAGTCAGCATGAGGTTTTGCTTAGACGTCATAAAAACGGCGTTACTTATCTATCCATCTACGGATTTGGTATTTGAACAAGCATGTGTATCGAACTCTCACGGAATGATTTATGTCGGGCACATTATCGAAAGAAAAGGGAGCTGCTACTAATTACAAGCATGGTTCACATCCAGGAGATAATTATCATTTGCATGTCAAAGGGGCTAATCAAACGTGCTTGACCCGTGACTGAGGATGATACAATGCCATTCCGAGCAATAACGAAAACTCAAGGGCGCCGGTCAATTCATCACTTTCACAAAATAGCCCCTGGAATTTTCAGTTTTTAAAATAACTCTGCGCAATAATTTATCGATGCAAGGAGAGACAGCGCGTCTCCAATCGTTGATGGGGTCTTGGCCCGTAAATATCACAGCAGCAAATGATTAGTTTTACAACGGCCTCGTAAATTTTCTAAATATTATCGACATTACACATTATTTCCGAGGCGTAAATTTTTCGCCACCCGCCATGTCGAACACATCAACTTTATTTTGCGCTGCAGGTGTGCATATTTGGTGAGTGCTTAATTTGACGCACAGCTGAAAAAGCTTCACTCGACCTTTTTTCGAGTCCAACTGATGTGGAGAATTTCACATCTCGTATAAAGTCGTCCCAGTTTCGGGCTTACAGGTTCACTCAAGCTTAGCCACAAATTCAAGCCACAGTTTAGGGGATAATGGCTGAAATCGCGTCACGCGGGGACAGGCCAGCGAAAAATTGCTCCAGTTCTACGCCAGATAATGGGTTTTAGGAATTTTGAAATTCCACCTTTTTAAAAAGCGTTTTTGTTTACCTTTTTTGAAATCGAATTGGCAAATAATTGGGCCTCTTTGGATATAAAGTCTGGATTTGCTCGTTGTTCGCGTTTTCCTAAAAAACAGGATGATCCTTCGTCGCCCTCTGCAAAGCGTGGCGACACTAAATCCTATTCGAAATTGATATACCAATATCTACGATCCATAGGATCAATATGACATGAAATACAGCGATGCGGAGATTGTAGATTCACCTGAATAAGCTTGCTCGACGAGACAGGCTCCGACTTCACGTGGCGGCGTAGCTTCGTCGCCGTGGACTTCGAGTTCGTCACTGCCGAGTTCGAGCGAGCCACCATCTTCGAAAAGTGATCTGTTCGAGGCTGCGAAGGTGAACTCGACATCGCCCTAGAACTCAACAGTTAGATACGTTCTACTTTACCCCAGGGGCACTGCCTTTCATTGCCGCCCACAATTAAACTCGTTGACCGCCGAAAACGCTGCTAGAAACCGCAAAATCAACTTTGACTCTCTTACTCGAGCGCTCAAGTGCTCACTCGAGAACTGCTCATCGCAGCCTCAAAAAGTACCACGTGACGTCACCCTTTCACTTTCCACTCGAGAACTTTCAAGGAATGTCACTACTAACTAGGAACAGTTCGCCAGCAATCGGGAAATCCCCCACAGCGAAAAAATAACTCTTGAACTAAGGTTAATCCCCACTTGTTACATATCTCGACAGCACAAACACGCATACAACTGTAAGCTGTCACTCCAAATGCCCTTATCAGTCGTGCAGCTTCATACACGCGCTCCGCGTATGTGTAGCAAACAAGAATATGCATACCGCCTCTCGCCTGTTCTTGATAGTTTTGATATACAGATGTCTCGATTTTGATTAATTTGATTACTGTCTACCCTCGGCCCTGGCTGCGGACATTTTTGAGTGGCAATAAATATTTCCAATCAACTTTCTTTTCAACAGATTATAGCTGTGTCCTAGGGGAGCAGGAGCATCCATCAACGCCCCGCGAATTCGATTTCTAGCGCGACGAAAAGGGGGTGAGGCGACTGGCTGCATCAGTCAGCCTTATGGAATGTCTGACTTCTCATCTGGATTATGGAGGTGTCCTGGGGGCGGCGCACTCCACCTTTTTTAGCTTAAAACCAGAAATTGCGTCATGCTAATGATTCCGCGTCATCACCCCTTCTCAAGTACTCATCTCGTGATTCAGAGGAAACTCAAACAAGCCATGAAAAAATCAAAGATTCTCCAGATGGCCCAATTCAACATCCTCCTTCTCAAAGGTCACAACTTATTTTTAAGGTGACAGATTCGAAGCGGAAACCGCGCTCTTGTTTACTGTCATCTGATTTAATGTTTATTGAATATACAGTCACATGTGTTGACCAACGAAATCGATCAGTATTTGATTTGAAAAGAGCTGGAAAAATCCACCGCTTCATTAACAATTCGAAACTTCTCTCTTTGCGGGCTGTTATCTTCCCCCAATTTTGGTTTTCTTATCAGCGATGCCTTGCAGATAGACTAACCCCCTTCTGGGCTCGACAACACTGTGTAGAAAACCTGAATCAGGATCAGAAAGACTTTTAATGAAAAGCCCCGTGGCGGCTTATTTAAAAAAACGAAGCAACTTCGCGGCTTTTCATTAAAGATTTCTCAGACCCTGACTCAGATTTTCTACACAGGTTGGCCAGACCCGCTTCTTATGCTCCGTAACATTCTGAAAAATTGAAAGGGGGAGGTCTCACTTGGCTGAGATGGAGGTCAATGGCCCCGAACTCAAAGGACACGCGCGGGCTTCTTTTTTTTCAAAGTCCCTTTGTTAGGAAGATAAAAAGGGGCTCTCACTTTCAAACGGCCATACCGACTGAAATAAAAAATTGAAATCGAAACCCGCTTCGGCCCGCTCTGACACAGGGTTCTTTCAATTGTTGAAAAAACTAATGACGCTCTTTTCTTCAAAAAGAAAAGTCGCTATAAAAACGACTCTACGGCAATTGCCGTAAGAAAAGGACGATTTTCACCATAAAATCTTCAAATCACAAGAAGGGGAAAAGAAAAAGAAATTGGCGGCGGTGGAAACAGAACGTTGAAACGGGCCTGACATTCTACAGTAATTAGCAAGAAGCGGTGACGTTATCGGAAATTAACGCTAAGGACGAGAATGCGCCCCCCCCAGTCCGGAATTGCAAAAAAGGCGCTCCTCCTGCGGCAACGGGTTAAATTAGGTTACTTGCGCCGACAAATACACCTGCTGACTTGGGAAATAACTCCAACTTGGTTGACTCATTCAACTTGAATGATTGCTTAGGCAAATACCATTCAGCTCAAGCTATTTTTAAACCAAATATTTGGCTTTACGCCAGCATAACCTGGGGTTAACCCTCTCTCCTCAAGATTTCTTTTTTATTCAAAAATTCAAAATTAAAATTTTCTTAAATTGGTCATTTTATGGCTTTTTACAATTTATAATTCATTGAAAAATAAGGGGGTGATCTTAAAATCGACTTTTTCTGTAGAAAATTTTACTAAAAAGACGCTAGAATTTATAAAAACTTACGAGTTTTCATGATTCCAAGTGGCCATTTTTCATTCTTCTTTGGTTTGTTTCTATCTCTTTTCAAATTGTTCTGTATTTTCTCTGGAATTGATTCGGAGTGTTTCTATTCGAGAAATAGTATTTGCGAGAAAAAGATCGGAATTTCGAGTAAAAAGGTGGATTTTTCGAGTTTTGGGGCAAAGCGCGAGAAACGCTTCAGTCAACTCGCGCGCGCCCCTTTCGGAAGGAATTTCAAAAACACATCGCAGCAGGCCACAATCTCCAAAATAATTCATAACTTTTTTGGGAATGCCTTTTTGCGCCAAAACAAATGTGCATGTATTGCGCTAGAATTAAAAGTTCGGAGTTCGAACTTTCGTCTCACTCGAAAAGCTTATGGAATTTTATATTTTTTAATTGACTAATTAGTAATTAATAATTTCTAATTATTGAAGCGTCACCTAATCAAGTGAGATGTGTTAAAGTTAGAATGTTAATTTTTTTGAGCAAGACGAAAGTTCGAATTCAGTACATGCACTATTGTGGCAACCTGTGCAGAAAACCTGAGTCAGGGTCTGAAAGATCTCTAATCAATTTTCAAACTCTAGCGACGCCGCTTTGTAGCTCAGTTTGTAAAATAGCCGCTACGCAGCTTTTGATTAGAGATCTTTCAGACCCTGACTCAGATTTTCTACACAGGTTGCCTAGCTCAGGAGACCAATACGCGTCTAATTGAGATTCTGAAGATATCAATGATAACTATTATTGTATCTTATCCTTCTTTTGCAAATACAATATTACCTAATACTGTATTAGTCTAATAGTTTTTTTAATTCACTCTGTTAAAAAGTTGTCGTTGTGAGTATATTAGGCCAAACCGTCGAGTATTGCTTTCATCCTAATTGAAAAGAAAAATTCATTATGAGTTCATTATTTATTTATGATGGGACTAGTTACAAATCATTGGAGATCAGTGAGACTCAGTTTCAAAGAAGTATTCGATTTTTATCAATAATTGAAAAGCGATTCTCTGAATTCAATATTAAATATTCCCTTTTTTCAATGAGGTTTTAAAAAGTGGACTGAAGGAGTAAACAAGCTAGAAAAAAAATAATTTATTAATTTATAAAAAAGAAAGTTATTGATCGTGATTTGGAAGGGAGCAGTTTCGAAAAGATTTCTTCAGTGCAAGCTCCATTGAATCTAATCGCCGGTGAATTTCTTTTTCAAAGAAAGTTTTTGTCAGGGGCCCGTCGATTTCTTGTCGCCGAAAGCTCTTCATCCCGTGGATATGGCTTCTCGTCTGCTTTGCTTCCAAGTCGTCCAGTGTGCCTGGCATTTTTGGATCGATGGAGGTCCACTCGTGATACCGGAATTTTGAGTTATTGTTGTTCACTTGAAAGCCGTTTTTACAATAAAGGAAGATGTTGTAAACATGACTACGAAGGGGCCCAAATGATCGTTAATTTAATTAATACGCAATAAAATTGTTAAAAGTCGGCAGGTAGTGATTCATAGACACTCATTATTATCAGAAACACGGAGCCCATTTCCTGAAAATGATAAAAGGAGGTGGCAGAATTGGCCTGAAATAATTATTCTTGACTGTTTGATATCTTGAAAACTTCCAAATTCGTATCGAGTTTTCGTCGATAGCGGCATATGTTGAGGAGAATAAAGCGATTAGTAAGTTGAGAAGGAGAATATTCGCAATGATCATGTAGGTTCCATGAAAGATGTCAGAGAATGGACTCGGCAACCTGTGTAGAAAACCTGAGTCAGGGTCTGTGCGAGCTCAAATGAAAAGTCGTTTCAGTCCCTGACTCAGGTTTTATGCACAGGTTGCCGAGCCCAGGACAGAAATCACGGTCTTTGACGGACATCGAGGAAGGGTTGAGTTTCCAACGATGTCACCAGGAGGGATGCACTCTTCTGGTTGATCTTCGAAGTCATAGGTGGTTCGTTCTCCGAGAAATAGCTCGCCGTAGATTGCGTAGTAAGCTCCAAAAAGAATGTTCTTCAGCAATTTTTTTAACTTTCTTTATGAGGCCATTACCTTTATTGTATAATTATATCGATGCTCGTTTGGGTACTGCAAGCTCTGCTGAACAATTCCATAAGTCAAGATGAAGATTGCCATTATCAGCAAAAACTGGAACATTTGAAAGAACATTTTCCAGATCATAATCACTTTCGGTCCCAGATCTCTTGATACGTCGAACACTATCAAGGACCTGTAAGCCATGAACATGAAGGAAAAAGCGAAACAAGCTTGTGCTGCGTACATTTGACCGGTTATTTCGGTGGGGCACTGCTGTTCGCCAGAAAACTAACATGGGTTCAAACAAAAGCTTTCTTCAATATCAATTGCAGAGTTCGGAAACCTGTGCTAAAAGCCTGAGTCAGCTTTGCTATCCAGCTTTTCATTTAAGCTCCTTAGAACCTGACTCAGGTTTTCCACACAGGTTTCCGAACCCAGATCAGCTGAAATAGAATCGAACCCACAATCCTTTGTCTCCGGAGCAGTGAGTTTCAAAACTGCGCCTGCTATGAAACTCAGCTCAGAAGCAGCATCAAATTTGTTGTACAACTCATCCCACCATTTTCCGAATCTTCCTCTTTGAAGACTATCATCAGCGACAAACATCTGTCGGATTTCTTCAACGAACAGGGTAAAGGTCCAGAAAATGAGGAGGCAGTCAAGCCAGGTTGGAATAATGCAGAAGAATCGAAGGAGAAAGGTTGCAAAGAAAATTATGTAGAGAAAATATGAAATCATATTCATCTAAAACAGAAATAAGAATAAACGAATTTTAATTCGAATACCCAGAAGACGGTAAGTGGCGCTTTCATTGTATAAATCCATTTATCAACCCAACTGGTGCTCGTTTTTTCTTTAAAATTGAGAATCAAAGACGGCAGAAATGGAAGCCAAAAGAAAAATATACATAGCGCGATGCTAGCCATCTTCTCCTTCAGTGCAAATTTACCCCGCCAGATGTTGGAGAGGAACTCTTGGACGCCGACTTGAGCGATGAAATGAACGCATTTACCGGAGGAGGCAAGTTTAAGCATAGTCATATTTCCCATTCTTTCGTTAGCTGAGACGAGCATGAGTTGTGGAGACAGCTCTTGTTCTCCTATAAGAGAGCTTTTTGAAACCTCGGAGTAAGCGTCGATTGCGGCATTTTCGTAGTATTTTGCGAATTCTTGAAGTCTCTCCGATGCAGAAATATCTCTTTGCTTTAGACCAGCAGCGCCTCTCAGAAAGTTCGCCCCAACAAGTGCCATACTAATCCCATACTTGCTCCTAAGCCAAATCAAATTCGCCAGGTCCCAATATTCAAAGAGCATTGCCCAACAAAACAGCCTCTCTTCAGGATCATGTGACTCGAAGCTTTCTTTCAATCCTTTTGATTTTGAGTGATACTTGCCCGCTGTTCGATTTTTGTAACGCCTGGCGAAGGGGTTCCAGTTGGTTGAAATCAAGGAAGATTCGAAATCTTCAATGAGTCTTGAAAGCCTTGCTGACTGATCTTTGTCGAAAGTTTTGCTCTTCCAGCTGTCTTTGAGTCCTGCACGATCTGTAAGAGATTCTTCTTTGACCATGTTGATTTGCGAAAGGTAAAGATTCTCCAACCTTCCTGGTGAGGCGAATTCTCTCTGGTCAAGATCTTCCGTTGAAAACTGTGAATAAATAAGCTCAACGATTTCAATCTCATTTCTGGACATTGCAACTTCCAAGGCGTTGAAAACCTGCTCCTCTGAAATGTAGAAAAATGGCGATGAAAAAATTTGCGAACACAAGTCTCCGATGTCGTAAGCATTCTCAAGCGGATGTATGAAGAATTGGGAAAGATTCTGGTAGAGTTGAATACTTCTACTCGTGCTTTGGTGAGCCTTGAGATCCATTATCATCGTTGGAAAGTCACCAGACTCATTTTGAAGCCTAGTTCTGTAAGAAAAACGTTCTTCCATGTTGATTTTTCTCTTCTGATTGAACAAAAACGGCACCAGATAATTTATGATTCCACCTGAGTCCTCCACGAGCACGAGTTTTCCAAATCCATTCAGAGCAATTTCGTGCAAAAATGAGAGCGCGTCAATATCACCGTTGAAAACAGCAAATTCAAGAGCGAGACGCTCCCGGAGAATATTCACGAGATAGAATTGCGCGTCGTCTTGTCTCTTTCTTTCGAAATCTCTGTCAACAAGGATGATGACATTTGAAGTTGTCTTCAGCTCTTTTTCTTTTAAATTTCCGTCGTAATTCGTGAGTTGGGTCATTTGACCTTGAACTTTTTCGGAAGAAGAATCTTTGTTGATTATTTGCATGGCGAAAGCACCCCAGGAACTGTTTCTTCGAATCGGCACAGATGATGTTATCCACTTGTTTTCCTTTGACGCATAATTTTGAAGATGATCCGTGAACTCATGAAAAGTGCTTTCAGAAATTTGAGTTGAAGAAGGTCCGATGATTGAAACGATCCCATCCGTCCAAGAACGACCAAGCTGATCAAGAACTCGAAAGAACTCTCCTCCAATTTCTTCGTCTCTTTCCAAAAGAATCCCTACAGCATTTTGGCCCAGGTCGTCATCAATCTGGGGTCTTGGAAGGTGAGGAGTCCAAATATGCAGGTGGTCTCACCTCGTTGTCTCGGGACCATGCAGATGCGAGCAAGTGCGGCGGATCAATAGCGTAAACTGCCCTGCATCGCAGATAAAATCAACATCCGGTACCCCCCTTAGAGAGATTATTTGACGTAAACTGGAATTTTGGATAATATATTTCGACGATGAAATACACAAATCTACGAGATTTTGAGAAATACACAATGAATATGAGTTTGTACAAATTAAAATCCGCCGTAAACTGACTCAAACTAAACGATTGGCTCATCTGGAATGCCTAATTGGTGGCAAATTTCTCGGATATTTCTAGGAGATAATAAAAATAAGAACTTTTAAATTAAATTGATTTGAGTTCTCGGACAATTTTATTTTCTTTAGAACAAAGATTCAACATTCATCATGCTACGTAAAAACGCACTTTTGATATAGGTTTTTTATTGCTTTGGAATGTATGAATAAAAGCGTGAAAAGACATGAAATCTACACAACTTGCTTCGAATGATTTTTGGACTCTTCGATGCCCGCTTCCTTCCAAAAAGCGTCTTGCCAAAACTTCGTCAAATCTCCCAGTTTTCCGCCACATTCTAGCATTTGAATCTGATCCCTCGGATAACAATCGAAATCCCCCTTTTTTGCTCGATCGTTAATTTAGAAGCCCCAAAGGGGTCGCAAAATGCTTCCGCGAATAATTGATCAATTTATGGGAATTTATTTTTATCCGAGCCTTGGAGGTCGTTTGGATGTTCAATTGAGAGTAACTTTCAATGGCTTCATAAAACAATCTCAAAGAAAAAGGTCACGTGACCCCGAGTGACCTCGAAGTTAGCTGCAAGCAGGGATGTGCATTCGCAGCGCAAAATCCGCAAAACAGCGCAAAATGCGGGATTTTTCATTCTGCAGCGCAAAACAGCGCAAAATCAGCCCCAAAAATTTCCGCAATTTTTCCGCAGAATTGCGCGCAAAAGCGCATTTTGCGCGAAAATTGTATTGCAAATTGCATTTTGCGGGATTTTGCGTAGAATTTCTACATTTTTTCCTTTCCCGATTTTGAAATAATTCCCAACATAGAACAGTCCGATATCGTAGTAAACAGACCGGTCATTTTGCCGGCAAAAATAAACCGGTCGGTTCAATGAAATTTTGCTGGGTGATTATTCAGTTTTTCATACTCAGCCCCATTCCTTGATTTCTAAATTTAAGGGGCTTGACAAAGGCTTGGAACTCTGAGTTGATCAATCTCAGTTTGTCCCCAACCCCACCCACACCCATCATTTAAAAAATCTATATTATCATTGTTTTTATGGTTCTTTTTGAAAATCTTGAAAATAACTTTTTATAGCCCTGGAATAATGTCCCCAAAATTTTATCTCTCCATTTCAAGTAGAAATAAATGGGGCGAAAAATACCACAAAATTCGCATATTTTCGCAAAATGTGCGAAAATCCCGCAAAATGCGCGAAAATCCCGCTAAATTCGCAAAATTACGCAAATTGCGTGTCATCTGCGCAATCCGCGATTCCGCAAAAAGCGCAAAATCCGCAAAATTTTCGCAAAATCATCAAATTTTGATTTTCCGCAAAACAGCGCAGAATTCCGCAAATTGCGCGATATTTGGATTTTGCAGCGCAAAACAGCGCAAAATGGACCCCAAAATTTCTGCAATCGCAGCGCAGCGCAAAGCAAAAATTTTTGCGAATACACATCCCTGGCTGCAAGAATCACTAGAATAATGAACGAGCGCTTTCCAAGGGGGTGTAGCTCAAATGGTAGAGCGCTCGCTTAGCATGCGAGAGGTACCGGGATCGATACCCGGCATCTCCACATCTTTTTTCGAAGCCGTTCCTGTGTGCGGCTTTTGCAGATTCGCGGCTTTTTTCGCCCCACTTGAAGCTCAACTGCATTCCAATAAGCGCAGCTATGAAAAAAATCGAGCCTAGGCAAAGGAAAAGGTCACTTACAAGTCAAAGTAGCGAGAATGACTGAAATCGCTTTGGCAGCATCTGATCCTGGTGTTGAATTTTCCTCCTTTTTCTTAAAAAGCGTCTTTTTTGAAGAGTTGAAATGGAACTTACAGTGATAGTGATGACGATAAGAGCCATTTGAAAGAGAATGAGGAGTCCTGAAGTCCCCATTTGCAGCAAATAGTACTTCTTCGAGTTCTGCTGGTTTTTATTCTTCTCTGTTCTAGCAATAACTTTCAATCTGTCTGTAACACCTCTACTTACAGGAATCGCAAGTTCATCTTTTCCAGCAAATGCTTCGGATCAAAGTCTTCGGGCAACACTGGCTTCGGCTTCGGCATCAAATTCGGCAAGTCGGTTTTTCTCGAGCTGGAACCAATTCCAGAGTCGAACTTTTCTGTTTCACTAAAATCGGTTTCCTCAATCATTATTTTCTTAAAATACGAATAGAACAATCTTTCGGAGAGAATTTTTTTTCTCAAAAAGTCAAGTGACATCTCGAGAGCCGCTTTGATGGAATTAGGATATCTGATATTTTGAGCATTGATTGATTTTCCTGTAAATAAGCGATTCAGAGTTATTTTTAGCGGAATTGAAGACTCTTGTCTCTTGTCTATTTTTTCAAATTACCGGTAGTTTTTGCACTCGGACATTGTTTCGCATCCGCTGGATTCACCTTCGTCCTTTTTTTTTTATTTTAAAAATTCGAGCCTTCTTTAGGGCTATTTTCTCTAAATAAAATCATTCCTGTAAGTCTCTCTGCGTCATAATTGAACTGTCAGTCTTCAAGTTTGAGCTTGTCGTTCTCTCTGGGGCGTCTTATTGTGTCTGCGATAGTCTTATTGAGCTTTTGCTCCTCTCGCGCAGGAGGAACGATTTCAAATTTGGCGCCACCTTCAGGCAGGATAATCCGCCCTACGGCAGGGGTAAAATTTAGTGCAGGTGATATTGACTTTTTGCATCGATTTTACAAAAATGAAGCTAAAGGACAGTCAAATTTTCTGCTTATCAGGATGCTCAATATAATATGCTAAATAATATAATTGTTTAATGATTTAATTAGTTTCCTTTTGAATTATTCGAGTATTTCTTTGTCAAATATGCGTTTTGATTATTCTTAATTAATTTACAACTGGGTTATCCTTATGGAATCCAGTCAATGTGACCCAATTTATAACCCTGCGCCAGACAATCAAATTATCCACTGCATCGAAATTAAAAACCGATAAAAATATTTTTTAGAATAATTTATTTGAATGTAAATTTATGTATATATGAATTGAACAGTGATAAATACTTGGTTTCGATATGTTAATCGACGTAATTATGAATACAATAAAATATATTTCCCAGAATAACCATCAAACCCTACAGATCCAATACGTGACCCCACTAGCCCGAGCGTGAGAACGAGTGTGGAAAGTTGGGGGAAAAAGAAGCAAAAGTTTCTAGAACGAGTGTTGTTGAGAGGGCGCCCGCGCAGTGGGGTGTCAGTTTCACTTTTACGAAGATGACGAAAAGGTAAAAAATAGAAAAATTCCTCATTCCGGCCAGTTTAGTAGAAACTGAGCTGTAGAATTCGAGAAGTCAAGAAGGCGAATCGGTTTTTACCGTTCCGTAATCTTCTTTATGTTCCCTGGTCTGGCTCATTCCTATCTTATGTAGTAGAATTCGTAGCGTACCAGTGGTTTCACCCTACTTTTGGCTCATTCCTCTTCAGAGTTGAATTTGTAGCGTAAAGAGGGGGCTCATTCCTCCTTTGGTTTTGTTGGGAGTAGAATTTGTAGCGAGTAATTTCAGTCGCCTTTACTGTAACCATCTACTATAAGCCTACTACGCTTATTGGTAAATTAAAAGGAAAAAGGGTGGTATTTACGCCCAATCCTTGACAGACTAGATCGCCCAGGAGGTTTTTTACTGCACCTGCAAGTGGATTCAGGGTGACTAACCGCGAAAATTCAAAAAAGGCGGAAAGCCGATTGGCCAGAAGGGTGCACCTCACGAGGAAAAAGGTTTTAAACCGCCTCCTGATTGGCGGCCCGGCCTCCAGTCTGAGAAAAAAGAGAAAGTGGGAGAAGAATATCGGGGAAAAAACGTTTCCGGATTTGGGAAAACAAAAGGATTCTAGAGAAACTGTGCATCTGTTCTATATAAGAGTATTTGCCCATAAAAATCACCTTTTTTCACCACCTAGCCCTGCTCTTAAGATTGTGTTAGGAGAATTGGGACCGTTTTCACCCAACAATAACAAATAGTTTTGGTGGATTCTAGAGAAAAAGGGATTGAAATTAACAATTTCCTTTTAGAATGGGACACCCTATATTACAACCGCGTCTAATGGACGCGGCAACGTTTATTGGAGATCGGGGAGAATGCTGGACAAGAGTCGGTCTCATTCCGTGGAACAGCACCAACACTCAGAACGTCTTCCTCATCTTCAACTTTCAAATCAAGACGGGCCTCGGCCCGGTGTTCGATTGGGCGGTAAGTAAATTGGTTCACCCAACGTTCAAAAGCTTTTTTACCCAAATACAGATAATGTATAAAATGGCTAATTTAGAAACGATTCACGGCAACGGAACAAATGGCGGAAGCTTTGGACGAATTCACAGTTGTGAAGGTCACCATCATCCCATTGGAGCAAGTTGTGGCAGCTTTGGTGAGACGAAAAGCCAGGTACATATTGTCAGAATAATATGCATTTCAAAAGATGAAACTGGGCTATGTAACCCGGATAACCCAACTAACAACTATCTGTTCAGTTTCAAGAACACCGTGGAACGATTGGAAGCCTGGGTTGCGTTTCAATTCCCAGATTTTGCTTTTGGAAAGAAGTTGAAATGGCATCTCCCCCAGTGTGACCGATTTGCCTCGGCCACCCCACACATTGGAACAGACAAGAATCCGTCTCTGGAGAAGGTAGTGAAATACTTCAGCACCGCCAACACCACTTTCCCGTCGATCAGAATGGAAGTTACTGGGGTGGACGAGCCGGAGATCGAGTCAGACCTGATGCAGCGCATTCACAATGCCCGAATCGAAGAAGCCCTCACCCTTTTCACCCTCACAGACTCGGATGGCAAACTCCAGATGATTGGACCAGAGGCGCCAATGGCGGAAGTTGGGAAAAGACCAGTGCCACCAGTTTACTTTCAAGAGGAGAGAGTGGATGAACTGGTTAGGACTTGGGACGAACAATTCCTCAAGCCTCGAACGCCAGCGATGGGCTGCTCGACCCCTACTATCAACATTATCAACACCGCCACTATTGACGATTTGGTCAGAAAGGTGTTCCACAAACTCCCCAAGGCCGAAGCTACGCCGGATCGCCTGCGTGATATCGCAGCAGCAGCTCTTATGGACAAAATCCCACCACCCTTCACCAAATACACCTCCATCAACAAATTGGCGGAAGTATTGGAACATTTGGCGAACATAGACGAAAATACAGAAAGGCTGGAGCTGTTGGAGAAAGCCGAGCTCATTCTGCGCCATGAAAAGATCAGCACTAAAACCGACGACCTATGGCTTGAATTGGCCATTTGGGGACGAAAGATATTGGAGAAGATGTGGGAATGGGTGAAAAAGTTAAGAACCAACCCTTTCCGAATCCCAGCAGATATGGTGTTTTACGAAGTGGCCAAGAAGGTATCCAGCTTCAACAGCGACGAAGGGAGAATGCACCTATCGCTCTTGGGAAACACACTACCACCATCTCTAGTCGCCACCAGCAAACGTGGTGAATTCCTGGCAATAGTGGTGGATTATAAGACAGTGAAAGTCCTCCTTCTTCCCAAATTTGTCCCCAAAGAGATGGGAATTTTCGAAAAGGAGTTTGTAAAGGTGGTGGAATCCCTCAAGGAGCTGGCGTCGGAACACATCTCGGTGGATCTTCCCCGACTCATCCACGGCATCAAGAACAACTGTGTATCCTGGAACGAATGGCGAAAAATGGTGGACGAAATAAAGGAATGGCCGGCGGTGAAAACATGTGGCTATTGGGTGTACCGACTGCCGAACCTGAAATCACCATTAGCTATTGGCCTTTCGAAAACATTGGGGCCAATTCTGAAGGATTTGGATGACCGACGTTTTGGAACGATCTGTAAAACTTGGGCAGCCCGGTTTGGCCAAGACCCAACTCACACTTATGAAAGACCTATGGTTCAAGTGGAGAAACCGTTCTTTCAACCGATGGAATGGGATTTTTTGGTGGATAATTGGGAAGAAGCTCCGGTGTTCAAGAAGAGAGTCGACAGTGCCCTCATGTGTGGCGCACACGGTTGCGTGGAAATGGACGTGGATTTTATGTCCTGCGCAAAATGCTTCCAGCTCACTTCAGACCTTCTCGTGAAGGAAAATGACTCCCTTATGGTGCCAACTTTCAAGGACAACAAGGTGAAGACTTTCGCCATCGAAAGGACAACGTACAACCAACCGATGGATTTGTACAACTCCAAAATGAGAGCCCAGTTTCTAAGAGACGCACTTGCCCTTCACAACCCAACAAGAAATTACGACATCCCCAACAAAGCAATCGTTGGAGCAGCAATGAGGAGATATGGAAATGCCACGGAGATTCGTTGGGGTTCGAGAGAACTGCTCGGAAACGAGAAATTGGTGAACGCGGTGGAGCTGGTGCTAGCGGAACACGAACACGTAAACGACCCGGAATTCCTGGAGGCATGGAAGACAACAATACCGCTGGAGCTTATGCCACGATTGAGCGCAGAGAGAATGTACATCCCCACCCCTCATTTTCGCCCGATAGTCTCACCTACGGATCAGGAAATTGAGGACTCCTCGTCCGATAGCGCTTCCTCCACCATGTCCGAACAACGACCTTTGGAAATTCGGGAGATCCCTTCGGCTTACACAAACCCAGAAGTAAAACCACCACCGCTAGGATATTACGCAATGGCCTACAAGCAGCGAAAAGGCTTGGTTCTGGTGGTACGTATGGACGAATCGATTGAAAATACCCGAATTCTAAATGGACCGACGGTCATCAAAATAGCGAATGGTCGGGAGATGGTATGCATCGACAATTCAACCCCACAAGCAGAATTATTGGCCCATGAACGAGCGGCGGTGGAGGAGTTGGGTTTCAATGTTGGAGAGCTCACTCAAAAGATGCGAGAGCTAGCGAGTTACCCATATCAGGAGGGTAAAATTCATGGCTTCCCGGAGTTAACTGTTCTCAACGAGTACGCAGCGCGATACAAACACGTCTCGTTTGTGGTGCATGCGGACTCTTTCATCCTCCACCAGCACATGAAACTCTACTGGCAACAACTTCGTTTGCATCGGGCGACAACGGAAGAACAGAATTTCACCATCACAACCCTACGCACAGAAAGTGAAGCTCTCCCCCAATGTTACTTCGTCTCCAAAGCCCAGGCACATGTCAAAATCTGGCGACCAATAAGGAAATCCCTCACCCAAAAGATCATCTGGAACCCTAAACACCACGACCAAGTAAAAGATCTGGAATTTTATGGACATATGGTGGCAGCTACGTATTTCGAACCAGGCCTCGCTGCGGAAAACTTGATCGGACTCCCGGTCCGAGATTTGTTCCCCAAAATCGACAACCAAAATGCGCGAATCCGAGAACGAATTGAAGATGGGGCGAACATGTTGGCACTCATGTTTGAGTTGAACGACAAAGATCAGCTGGACAGTTTGGTGGTGGGGAATGGCTCACTGTCGGTGAAAAGCAGCCAATGGCAGGAGCGTTTCCATTTCTCTGCAAAACAGAGAGAAAGAATGAGAAACCACCAAGAAAAGAACATCCGTCGCCTGCAGCTAGAAGGTTTGGGGATGATGCGAAACCATTTTCCAGAGGTGTTCAACTCTGCGAAGATGACTGAATGGCTGGAGAAGAAGCTGAAGCCGGACATCCGATTTCACTCCCCTCAAATTATGGAAGGTATCCGAAAGGGCTTCCTGGAAAGCCTACACATCCTCCAAACTACCCAGAATGAAAAGAACCGTCGGGTAGAGACAGCTTTGGAGAAAGTGTTCACGGACAGAAAAGGAGAACCTGCGGAGACCAACAACCCAAATCGCCGACTCCCAATAGTCAACTGGATGGACGCCAACACAACTGGAGGTTTGGGGGTCTTGCGGAAAATGGAGGAGAAGAAATATCGTATCTCAACCTTATTCCTTCAAGAAAATATCAAAGAAGGCCGACCATATGAAGAGGCGGCGAAAAGGGCCAAAAGGAGACGAGAAGTTTTGGAGAAAGAAATGCGCCAGCTAAACGTGCACGATCTTCAGGATTCACTGGATAATGAGGAGATCAAGGTTCCCAAGCCGCTCAAACCCGACAGCTCAGAGTATAAGAAGTTCAGCTTTACCATCCCGGTAGATAAGCGAACAGAAGAAGATTGGAGACGATTGGAAAGGGAACAAGAAAAGGAGACAGAAGAAGCGCTCAAGAAAGCTGCGGAAAGAGCGGAGGAATCAGACTCCTCCTGCACTGATACTGAACCCACCACCTTCTTTTTTGTTCCAGATGAAAATGTGCAGGATTGGGGAGAACTTATGTGTGCTGATGAGAAGTCGGGAAGTTCGGCAACAGCTTCAGAAAACACAACGATCACGGTGATCAATAAACAACCGGAAGTACAGCCAATACAGCCGGAGGAAGTGAAATCACCAGAGTCGGGAGAAACGGGGGATGAGACAATCACCACACCTTCAAGACCGGCTTTAGCCTCAAACGAAGTGGAAGCCGAAGCGGAAGAGGAAGACTCGGGCATCCAAACAGCGCCTAAAATCGACCCAACACAACCTCAGGGCAGAACGACTCCGATGTTTGACCAGATTGTGGAAAATGTGGTGGAAGCTGATGAGGACACGGACGTCCGTGTCCACTACAGTTCTGATCTTCAGGGAACCCTTGAATATTGGAACAAAAAGGCTGAACAACCGGAAACATCGGGCGACCACCCTCAAACATCACACCAAGGACAAGCAACAGAAACAGCAGACCCAACCGATCCTGAAGAAAAGAAGCGAGCGGAAGCAGCTGAAGAAGCTTTGGTGGCACAAGTGCAACAACTAGGGGTAAATCCAGACGAACTGAACAGCCGTGAAAAGGCAGTGGCGGATTGGTTGCTAAATGGCCTTAAAATCGTCCCATCAAAACAAAACCAACAATTGAAATTCCAACGAGGAATGGAGAATAGGGTGAAAGTCAGCCTGGAGCTGGAAGTCGTGCCTGAAGAAGTCATGGGCGCAGAATCACTGGTAGCTTTACCACCCGTTAAAGAACCGGTCGCGCAAGCACAGATTGCCCGAAGGCTGCTCCCAGAATTTGGAATTAATTCCCCCCAACAAACAGTAGCGCGAAGCCAAATTGTGGTGGATCTCACGGCTCAAGAAATTCGCAAGGTGCACCGAATGGCGTTATTCATCTCTGATGTCGCGGTCACCGGGAGAAATATGGAATTTGTGGAAGAAGAGGCGCAGGAATTGTGCGCGATCCTTCACCAAAGTAAGTCTCAAAGAGGGTCAAAGAATTATTCCGAAAAGCGTTTGAAAAAGGTCTAAACTAACAAATGTGTTTAGAACCTCTGGCAGTCACCCAAACAATTGCAAATTTTGCAAAAGAAGACTCCGCCTTGCGATGCGATATTATTCGTAGGGAACTGGCAAAAGCGGTGAAAAAACTGCGAATTCAGGTAAGACCTTATCAGCCCCAATTATGAATGAATCCTCACTCTTAAATAAGGGAGGCATCCGGCTTTGGGCGATGGATTTTCTACCACTGGAAGAAGAAGCAGAGATGAAATAGCGGTCCACGCATAACTAGCACCACTTCACGAACACCCGAAAGGGATAGCCCGGAAAGAAGGGTTTTTTCTTGTGTTTATTTGGATATTTGGGTTTTGCATTCCTTCACCTCACAGATAATATATATATTCACCACACTTTCAAAAATTCTCGTGTTTTCTTGCTTGAAAAGTTCACGGTTATTTAGTTAGAAAAAGGACAGAAACTCTTTTCCCTCAATCATTGAACAGCGGTTGTGCTTTCGGGCCCTCTCAAAGGAACTCGGACTAAAGGTCAAATCTATTTGGCTGGGTCTGAAGTTGCGATGAGGGGCAACCCGAGGGGCGGAAGTTGTTTGCTGGTTGGGGAGAAAATTGGGTTGAGAAAATATGTCAAATAATAGCGGAAATGTTATTTAGAAGGTTTCCCGGGACAATATGCCACCCAAGAAGAAACAAGCGGTGAAAGAAACCCCATATGTATCACCAAAAGCCCCAACACCAGAATATACCCAACCAAATGTTGGGGAAGATCAAAAAGAGGAAGAAGAAACGGAAGTGATGGAGAAGTCGGGAGACAACAAGACCCTTGAGCGAATGGAGAACGATATAGTAGAACTTCACCGAAGAATGGCCCAACTCAACCGCAAGTTGACCTTGACGAGTCAGTCTGCAGATCTAGTATGTCCGGGGGAAATCATCGAAGCGTTAGCGAAGGTAGAGGAGGAAACCGACAGATTCAAAGGGGAGAAAGAGGTATCGGTATACCAAGCGATTGCAGCCCAACAAGCATACACGGAATCCCTCACGTTGACTTTTGGACCCCCAGCGGGAATGTTGTACAAATTGTTGCGATTTTCCATCCAATCCGAGTTCCGACACTTGTCAAGAGTGGAGCAATCGGCGAAAATGTTGTCACCAAACCATCATGTTTACAAGGAACTTCGAACAGTTTCAGCGTTGGTATGGGAGGTGATCAGCGACAGGAATCTGGCCTCGGATTGGGTGATAAGCATTCGGGAAAGCGTCCGGATCACCATGGAAAAAGGCTACAAGTTGGTGTTTTCAGAGCTCCTGGAGATGGTGGTTGGGGATGAAATGGTTTCGAGAAAAACAATGGAGATGAAAGTGCGGAGAGCAAGAAACTTGCTACAGCGTTTGTTTTCGGACGAAATGTTGGGAGTCAAACGTCTTCAAGAATGGATGGATGCAGAAAAGTCACCAAAGTTTACACGACGTCAGGCAATCGTGAAATTACGGGAGGTTTTCCCCTACCGAATGGAACTGCATGCTGGGAGCTACAAACTGTTGGGATTGAGAGAAGCGGACAGAAGAATCGAAAATGGGGAGATCGAGAATTGGCCATCGGCATCGCCACCTGGATACTCCTCAGACGAGGAGCAATTGGAGACCGAGATGGAATTTGGGCGAAAGCGGCAGCGTTACGACGAAATGCCTGCCGGGAGAAGTTTGGATCAGATGTACGAAAGCCTCAAGATGAAAAGATCGGAAAATTTGCGTTTCTAAAAGATTCTGTCCCCCAACAATTCCTGTTAAAGCCTGTACTTAATCGTCAGAGACATCACTGAACAAGGGGAAATGGATTTTAGGCGACATATTAGGAGCTCACATTGCATATGTTTAGATGGGAAAATCGGAGAAAGATGTGGAAGTGGAGATGCAGCGTCGCTTGCAACAAGGAGAATTCAACCCAACAGAACACCCGACAGTGGGCGCGAACCAGTTTGACCCAACACATCCAGGTGATCTGAATTTCAAAAGCGAGCAATGGGAGTTAGAGAGATGGTTAGAGTACGGAGCCGTAGCGCTAGAATTATTTGAAAAGCTTAAGAAGGGAGAGGTTGAACCTAGTTGGGAGATGGTGAAGTTCCGAACAGAGTCGGAGTTTGTGGCAGGATCCTTTTCGAACCACCCCCAGATCTGGTTAATTTTGATTAACCAAATGCCACCGGAAGCGCGAGCGGAGATTTATCACTCAGTCTGGGAAGGAGTGAATTTATTTGATAACCTCCAGGAAGTTAAACTGTCAAAACCGGCAAGTTACAAGAGGGTAGAGTTTGGTACGTATTTCGAGCGGAACCCGGATAATAAAAATCGTAGTCACCTACACCCAAAATCCAAAACGGATCGAACCTCCAAATATTACCCTAAAAACGTGTTGGTTCCGGTGTTTGCAAAGGGACCGCAGAGGGGTCAGCCGTTGAAGTTCAAAAACCCTGCATCGTTAATTAACCTTCATGAGTTTGTGGTGAAGCAGATTGTGGATTGGACTAAAAAGGGAGCGCTAGAAGTGTTGGGGAATCACATGCCGACACCGAGACTAACAAGTTCCATCATTGTGGTTCCAAAAAGCGGAGAGGAAAAATGGAGAGTCTGTTTTAACGGGGCACCATTCAAGGAGTTGGAGAAGTTCTCCCAACCCTGCTCCATGGATGACTGTGCCACGGTTCTGCCTTTTTTGGAAAAAGGCATGTTAATGATGAAGGTAGATGATAAATCGGGTTTCCACCACCTCCAGCTCGACCAATTTTCGCGAAATATGGCGGTTTGTGAATATGGGGGGATTAGTTTCAGATACAAAGCGGCTCCTTTTGGAATACCCAAAGTGCCAGGAATTTACCAAACGGTAAATTCAGTACCGGTGAATGCCCTGCGAAAGGCGGGCCACATGTGTTTTCTTTATTTGGATGACAGGTTGTTTTTGGTGAAGCCGGAGAGTAGAAAGCAAGAGCAAGAATGGAGACGAGGTGTTACTGCCCCAAAAGGTCCGATTATGGGTTTACTGCTCATGACGGCAGTCGGTACATATATTAATCGGAAAAAGAGCGAATTAATCCCAACATCCAAGATTGAGTTCCTGGGTTTCGAGTTCAATACGGTGAAAGGAACGGTTAAGATTCCCCATGCAAAATGGACGGCATTTGTTGAGTTGGCTAGTGGGGTGAGAAGACGAAAAACCGTCACCTTCAAAGAACTAGAGAGATTGAGGGGAAAAATGTGCGCGTTTGCGATAGTTGCTACCAACATGCGGCTTTTCATCAGGCGCATTACGCAAGTATTGGTGGAGAATGAAGGAAAACAACATGTTAAGGTGACTGAGGAGTTGAGAGATGAGTTGAAAGTGTGGCTAGACTCTAAATATGTGAAGAAAGAAAGATCTTGGGTGAAAAAGGGCATTACTACGGTCGAGACCAGAGTGTACACCGATGCCAGCAACTATGCGGCAGGGATCTACATTGAGACAGAAGGGCTGGAGGTAAATGTACCCTGGGGCGAGGAGGACGCGATAAGTAGAGATTGCATTTTCCTGAAGGAAGCATGGGCAGTTTACCACGCCCTGGACGCATATGGTCACCTTCTGAAGGATAAGCGGGTTCATTTTCTTAATGACAATATGTGTGTGGTGAGCTGTTTCGAACACGGGAGTCGCAAGAGCCCAGCCCTAACCCGACTTATCAGAATGATACACCAAAAAGCATGCGACCAAAATGTAGAAATGATGATGTCGTGGGTGAGTACGAAAGACCAATTGGCGGACGAGGCGTCCAGGGAGGTAGACGTGAAAGAAGCAATAGTAAGGAGAGCAGTGTTCCACCAAATAGAGACCATCGTTGGTTTTCCAATGGAAGTGGATGGAATGGCGGCAGTAGGGAATGCGAAATGTGAAAAATACATTTCGATGAGAAGAGAACACACGGCATGGAAACATGATTTTTCCGTGCTCACGATTTCGAGGGTAAAAACCTTTGGATTTTCCCTCCCCAAACAATTCTTAATGAAACCTACAAACATCTTGCAGAGTTTGCACAAAAGGAGAAGTGGGCGTTGTTGTTGTTGGAGTACGAGACTATATCACCAATCTGGGCAGATGTAGCAGGAAAGGAAAGTTTCACTCGGGTGGAGTTGGGAGAACTAGAAGTACCAGTGCTGTTTCCAGCAATGGAGGAGCACCCGGAATGGGGCTACTGGAAAATACCAGAGCGAGCTAATCCGATTCTTTTAGTGCACAAGCCGCCACAACACCCCCAACGACGAAAACGCTTGAAGAAGCTATGGTAGATATGGAGACAATCAGGAGACAGCTCTGGAGAATTTGGTGTGCTGAAAAGCAATATTGCGGAAATTGACAAACCACTAAAACACCCAACTATCCTCATTTTATTTCGCTGATAAGCTGGCGGAACGAGTAAAAAACAGTAATGTTTTAGACTGATTTGGTGAAAAAAGAAATGGAGGAAGTTCGGCGGATCGCGGCGCAATACTCGCGCACCCAACGACAACGAATGATTGATCTGCACAATGATGCTAATGTGGTGATTGAGAAGATGGACAGGGAGATTCGGGGCAGATGTCGGGAGACTGAGCTGATGGAATTGGCGGAAGAAGGCGTGAAAAGATTTACGAGCTTCGCAAATAAATTCTGTGCTAGCTTTCCCATGTATTTTCCCCTGTACAACGAAATGATCTGGAGTTTGCGAGAGGCCACTGCGGCACGGCGGGTAGAATTCTCAAAATACCAAAATCTCTCCCGTTTCAACAAAGAAGTATTGAGGAGTCTGGAGATTTTTACCACCACTCATGTATCCGCCTCGATATGTTCGATTTGGGAGTTGGAGATTTTAGGAGAGATCTAACTCGCATGAGGGAAGGCCGAACCCTAATTCCACCAACACTAGACTAAAAAGAAACCACCAAACTGCCAAACAAAAATAAGCCGCCAAAATTGCTAACCCATCGCCTTTTTAGACATGAGTTTCGGAGAAATGGTACGGACATCGAGTTTCCACGCGAAAGCGTCAAAAACGAATGTGAAAAGAATGGAAGTTGGGGGAACCACCACCGCCAAGATCGCGCAAGAACAATACGAAACCATCATGGCGAAAAATATGGAGAACAACCATTTTTCAACGCTGTACCGACGAATGAAGGAGATGGAGAGACGTTGCCAGGTCATGACGGAGCAGGGCCTAGAAAATCAAGACGAACTAGACAACTTAAGAGCGCTCCGCAAGGAAAGAACTCGAATAGCTGGTATTTTGGAGAATGGGGGCAAACCGTCACGAAATGAAGAACTGGCGTACGCCAAGTCCAAGAACATCGATGAAGATATCAAAGAACTACAGCGGCAAGATCTGGCTCTTATGGTGGAGAATGAGAAGATGTTTGAGAAGGTGGAAAATGCCAAAAAATCCCTCAAAGACTATGCCCTAAACAACATGAAAACCACCTATGCATACAAACAAAATGATGAATTCTACAAGGTCGGGTCGGGAAGCTGCTTGCTACAAATGGATCGTGAGGATGAGAGACAGGTGGGAGCGGCGTATGTGGCGTTTTTCAAAGAAGCAGACCTACGAAAGCTCACCCGAGAAGAAGTGACCCCCATTGTCAAAAGATACGCCGAGGCAATCCCTCCTTCGAACCCAGACCGACAGAAAGTCATGGATTGTTGGAATTTGTTGCGAGACCACCCAGACTGCCCACGCTTCCAGTTCTACGAGAAGGTTAAGCACACGCTTACGGATCGACATCGGGATGAATTTGTGGAGAAGTTCAACACGGTGTACGATAATGAGGAGCATCGGGCGGACCTGCAGAATAGTATGGATGAGAAAACCTGTGCCCGACAATTACTAGTCCAAAAAAGGACAACATACCACCTCTCGGACGCGCTAATGAAGGAGTACAAGGCTTACAAGGATCGAATGCCAAAAGATGAATTGGAGAAGTTGGGGATAACGGACGAGATGATCCGGACGTATGAAAATGGTCAGAAGAAGAAGAAAGAAGGGAAGAAAAATCACCAAAGGGATCGTCAACACTACAAAGGAAACCGACGACACAATAGGGGCGACCGTGATGGTAGGGATAGATATTACGACCGACGGCAAGACCGACGAGATGGTGGGGGAAGGAGATATTATGACAAGCCGTACGACCGCCAAAGAGACTACGGGAAACCATACTGGAAGGAAGGAAAACAGGACCGAAAGGACTTCCGATCAAACCATGTTGGAAAAGGAGAAAATGGAGGAAAAAACTGAACCCGACACAAAGGAAGAAACCAATTGTCTGTATACATAAAAAATCTGTGAATCTGGTGACCCAACACACTGTGCTTCCCACCACGTTATTATTGTAAAATTGGAGTACTGTAAATCTAGTGAAAACAGAATGATATCCAGCAATATTTAGATTGATGGGGCGGAAGAAAAAACCAAACGCTTTCTCCAAAGACTCGGACAGGATGGATTGGATGGAGAAAAGATGGGGAACCTTCAAAAAGGAAAGGAAAAAGCCAGTCATCAACGCCAAGACGGTCAAACAATTCCTGGAAGTTGTGGACGTCCCAACACCAACACGACCAGCAGTTTATGGACAATGGGGAGGTACCATCACCCGAGTGTTGGAGGAGGAAAGAGGAATACCGATGACAAAACAGGCGGCGATGGAGATATCCAGGTGGGCAAACACTCAGTCACGAGCATTGGCCAAGACTCAGCTGTTTGAGTCCAAATCAAGTCCCACCATGAGCCAAGAACGTTTTCTGAGAGTCTGCAAAGAATTTTGGAACAAAGAATGGAAAGACAACACCTACAAAACGACCGCGCTGGCGGTTTATCTGGCGGGAAGTACTGGAGCGAGATTGGGGGAAGTGCTGGGACTGTGGATTGAAGATTTGGAGAAGTCGGTGGACAACGGCTGCACATTCATACGATTCCCCCTACGAGTATCGAAAACCAACGCGAACAAATCACGGCCCGAAAGCCTAATTCTCAGTGTGAGTGGAAAAGAGGAGATCCCGATACTGCGATGGATGACTGGCATCTTGAATGGACGAGAGAAAGGACTCTTGTTCCCAGGCACCACCAATGCGAAAATCAATGCTCATCTGAAAGCTCTTTACAAGAAGATGAACTGGAAGAACCCCCCAACTGGACACGGGCTCAGAGGCACGTTTGTGGTGAATAGTTTGGACGCTGGGGCGAGCAAGACAGACATTGTAAATCAATGCAGATGGCAGACGTTCCAAATGATTGACAGATACAGCAACCAGCACAGACAATGCACCACCAAAGGACCAGCACATGTTATCGCAGAGCTGAAACAAGTGGAAGAAGGGAGACGAATCGAAGAAAGGAATAGGGAGCACAAAAAGAGATCCGAAATGCTTGAGGCATTGCTTCCAAAGAAACCGACAATCCAGTTGGCGATTCGTGCCCCAACAAAGACGGTGGCGTGTCAAACGGACCCGGAAGTGACAGAAGATAAGAAGGTCATGGAAAATGATCCGTATTACCAGCGATGGCAAAAATATTTTGAAACGCACTAAAAAGCTGTTGGGAGATTAAAAATGTGGAGATAGGATGTTTTTTCAGGGGAATTATTTTAGAATGATCACATTCCAAGTATTCGAAAATCATGAGTCGGTGTACACGTTGGGGGCCCAACTGAGAGCCGGAATGGTGATGAAAGTGGTGGGACAAGATGGGGATGTGCAGAACGCAAAAGCGAATGAACTCATGAGAGCAGCCATTCACCCAATCACCACGTCGCTCATTTCTCAAATCCTTCAGGACTGGAGAAGATGCAAGGCAGACCCGCACGTGCTGGCGGAACGGAAGTGGACCAAAGCGGTGAAGGAAGCAGCTATTACGAGATGGCTGGAGAACCCCGAATGTCTGAGCAAAGAAGAGAAGCGTTCATGGTTTGGAAGGGTGATGGAAACGGTGACAAAATCAGGAGTAGCAATCGCGATCGGAGATAGGGAGACATCGTGGGCGAAGCATGCCATGGAGTCCACGTTCATCGAGTACGTGGAAGATGATAACGCAAATAGGGCCATCCCCGGTAAGAAGCTCCGAGAGAGACTCAAATACCTGACCCTACACACCCATCTCTACACGAAGGCGATAAAAGAACAGACCGCGTCGGTGAGATCGATCTGGAAAGTGGTGGCGACAGCAGAGCCCTTGAAAAATAATGAAACCATCAAATGCTTCTCCGGAACGTTCTCGGAGATCAATGATGTGGTGGCGAAAGCGCTGCCAAGAGCAGAGGCAGCAGGGAGAGTAGGGATGGCGTACTTGTACGCAGAAGAAGTTCCACCGGCGTACAAACCCCTAGTAATCACCTACCGAGCGGGCCACTTCATGCGACTGAATGTGAGAAACAGAACGTGGACTTGGACAGCCATCGAAGCAGGTAACACTAGGCTTAACCCAGCCCGGTAATAAAGCCATCCTAGGACTAACGGGAGGCATAGAAAATTTGGTTGAAGGAGAAAGAGGAAGCCACATCCATTTCCGAAAGGCAAACGAAGTTGTGATTCTGGCAGTTGGGAGCGCTGAGGACAAAACAACAATTGAACAATGGTGGCAACAGCAAATTCAACGTGATCCTCGACTCCTGGAAAAACCAATTATGTACCCTGCAAGCCTGTACTCGGACGAATAAGTTTGAATAAATTGAAAATAAGGTGACAAAAACACTCCAAAACGCATACTTTGAGTCATGAACCAGACCAGGGATATCCAACAACGGAGTAAGGTAGTAGAAAAATTGTATCCAACTGTTGTATTTACGTCGATTACTATGATAATCGACGTAATTATGAATACAATAAAATATATTTCCCAGAATAACCATCAAACCCTACAGATCCAATACGTGACCCCACTAGCCCGAGCGTGAGAACGAGTGTGGAAAGTTGGGGGAAAAAGAAGCAAAAGTTTCTAGAACGAGTGTTGTTGAGAGGGCGCCCGCGCAGTGGGGTGTCAGTTTCACTTTTACGAAGATGACGAAAAGGTAAAAAATAGAAAAATTCCTCATTCCGGCCAGTTTAGTAGAAACTGAGCTGTAGAATTCGAGAAGTCAAGAAGGCAATTCTAAAACCCACCCGCAAAGAAACAGGGAAAGGGAATGGTTGTAGGGCGATCGAGCAGGAGTTTCTTTGCTTCACCCAACCCCAGAAGAGCGTATAGGAGTATTTTTGCGTAGTAAGAGACGGTATCCGAAAAATTGTATCCAACTGTTGTATTTACGTCGATTACTATGATAAAACACCGCAAATTTTCCCTCCATTTTCAAAATTCAAAATTAGTAATTTTTATCTTTGGCTTTTTGAACTTTCAAAACGAGGCGTTTATACAAGGCTTCGTACAGAAGAAGAAGAAACATGTGTGCTTTGAGATTTTGCATAGTAGGGTTTAAAAATTGCCGGTAAATTCTGCGAGCGTGACTCGGACGGATCCATCATCTTCGTAAAGAAAGTCGATGATGAAGGTGTCCTCGTGGCAATAGTGCTGGATGATGTTGTCGTCCATGTTCACGAGAATTCCGCGTTTTTGCTTTTTATAGACCTGAAAATGAATTGAATGCTTGATAACTCGTCTCTCCAGCGGAATCTTACTCTTGTGATTTTGTTCGCATCAAACGCGTACTTTTCCGCAATCGCATTCGTCAGGCCTCTGACATTTGGCTGGCGGAGCATTAGCGCGTCGAAAATTTCCTCGGTCGATTTTCGAACATACAGGAGTATTTTGGAAGGAGGCTCCTGTCTGGGGCATTTGATTGTTGGCTCATCAGTTTCGGAATCAGGCTGGTTCAATGACGACGGTGCTGTTTTCGGATTGAAAAAAATTAGATTCTCTTCCTTGATTTCAACAAAGAATTCGAACCCGGTCCTGATGTGGGCGTAACAGTAATTCCAGAAGAATTAGAGGGAAAATAGAGATTCCGAGAGCTCGGAGGGCGAGTTGCAGCGTTGAGGGTTTCGTTAGAGAAGGAGGCGAGTTCTGAGAGGGCGCCGAAGATTGAGGACGTGTCCGCTTCGGAAACGGACAGTGAAGAATTTCGTGTTTGGAAAAAGGGCTAAAAATAGGCTCCTTGCGTCAATAATTGTTCATACCATGGTCTCGACGGCTGAATTACTAATTTCCGGCTGAAAGTAAACCGGATTTATCGAAGTGTCATGCATCGTTCTGTAATAGACAATGTCGTGCTTTCTGCCGGTTGACATTATTGAGCCCTTGACATCTTGCGGCTGGAGCATCGTGTATTGTCCTGATTTTTGGCGCTTGCGGAGGGCTTTGCGTTCTTCGTCGCGGATTTTACGCTCAGCGCCCTTGTCGCAGAAGACTTTAATCTGACAAGCGCCGCGGTGGATCGGCTCGTCCGGTTGGTTCTCGTCGAAGGTGTCAATTTGGATCAGCAAAGGCATTCCCTTTGCTTCGATTAAAATTCTTTTCTGTGGAAAATATCTTACCTTGATGCCCTTTTGCGCGGAAAAATCCGTAGATAAGCAATTTACAGCAATGTAAATTTTTGCGACTGTATTGACATCCCAGACAAACGAAATCGCATTGTGAGAGAACTCGGAGATCTCTCTGACCATGGCGGATTCTTTGTAATCAGCAATGTCGATTACCCTCTGCTTTGCAGTATGCTGCCTGAAGAAAACCTTATCAAGGCAACAATTAGATGGTTTACCTCGAGTGCCAATACTTCCAATGCTTGAGCTGTTCTTCATCTGGTTTTGTCTCTCCAAAGACGACGGAGATGATTGACTTGACTCTTTCGATCCCCATCATCAGATTCTTTTTCGAACCTTTCAGCGTGATGCAGTAAAAGTGACCTTTATTGATGTAACTCATCGTTGGTTCATCTCGTTTTTGCTTGAGACTCTTTGGAGCTTCCATCGAGTAATGGAAGTCGTCATCGGGGTTTTCGGAGTTATGAGCAGCAAGATTCGCGAATTCTTCATCTTCCTCAGCGCCAAAGTTGCAAGTGAGAGGAGATCCTTGTCGATATATTTATTGATTTAATTGACTTTGGCAAACCTTTACTGGTGTCGGAATAGGTTGAGTCCGGGGATCTCCTGCTGATGAAGGTATTTGAATTAAAGTTCTCGATCGTAATTGCCTGGCCTGAAATAACTCCAGGTATCTTTCCGACGGAAGTGTTCGAGTCTTCATCGGGCTCGTTTTTAACGGGAATGGACTGACTCAAAGTGGAAGGCTCAGTCTTGACCAGGGTAATCGAGCGGGTGCTGCTTGAAGATGCATGAAGTTTCACACTTTTTGTTGGGCTAAAAATAATGAGAAACTTTCTTCTTTATGAAATTTATTTTCAAACCTGGAATTATTCTTATTTAGATTTGAAGCTGGTCCGAGCTTTGTGCGTTTGTCGGGCGGGACTTTATAATATTCGTAAAGAGTCGCTTTTTAGATTTTATCAAAGATTCTTCTGCAATTACTCAACAATGTCATTTTTTGCTTTGAACAAAATTTCCTAATGCCCCAGCAGTGTCCTCATCGTTGGCTGCGATAGATAAGCCCATTGAAGGGTTTTCTAAGTAGGATCTCCAAGCCTCGTCTTCTGAGGTGAATTGGCCGGGCGTCTCGTCTCTCTCATCCTCTTTGTTATCTTCAGGTGGTTCGGCGGTTTTGGACGCGTCTCCACTGAAAAATGCGTCAAGAGCGTTGCGAAATCGCGCTCAGAGTTTACCTGCTCATCGGGTGCGTCGAGCTGCTCCGGATTCACGTGCTCTGTCGTAAGTGCGCTCTGCTCGAATTCTTGCAGTTCGGGTAGAGCAGGCCGAACGGGTCAAACAACCTCCACAGGGCGCGCCAGGTGAACGCCGTCTCCTGTACATTCTCTGGGCCAAGTTCGTCGCGGCCGGTCGCGCCCAACAGGGCCAAGTCGGGCCGGGCTTTTTATCGCACCGAGAGGGATCAGCCGGGTCATGTCCGACTTCTCGCCGGAGCCCGATCAAATCCGGAATGTCAATGTCGACGCGACTGGGCCCCGGGGCGATTCGCGATTATACTGAAGTACAGAGAATACCTTCTACTCTACCATCACTTTTCCAAATTGGGATGATTTCAGTCAATTTTGAAGTAAACAACGACTCTTTGAAAGAATGCATATGCTTTGCTGGCGCCCTTTTTTATCGTATTTTGGGATAAACATTAAACAAGCGAGAGGTAAACTGAGCTTGACTGCAAGGTGAAAGGCTGATTTTGAAATGGATGTTCATGCGGAAATCATACGAAAGCATAAATTGCATACGCTGTATAATATACAGTGTATACTGCTCTACTTTATCCGCCAACTCAAATGCGTATTTTGAACAGCTGATAACTGACCCAATAAGTCAGCTGTTTCAGGTGGCCGTGGTATTTATAAACCGTGGTATTTATAAAAGAATCTTCGTGACTGTGAAAAATTTTGCAAAAATGAATCGAGAGCCAGTTTACGTTATAAAATTTTGCTTCAACTTGTAGTATTTTTACAGTGTAGAAAAATACTGTCTACTGAGATTTTATTCTGTTTCTGATTTTAAAATATTTATTCAAGGCACATTATCGAAATAAAATAACAAGGAAGTAAGGAGCAGATGAGGTAAAACGGATTTTCAGCATTTCGGAAACGTAAGAATTGGCGAGAAAGAGAATGAAGAAATAAATTAATGTTGATTCGAGCGAAGTATGGTTTCTGTAGGTCAATTAATGTACACTTTCTTATAGTTACTTTGAAATTGAATTTGAAATTCTACGAAGGTCTTCGGCGCTTTTCTGGCCACGAGCGCGTACTTTGATAAATAATTGAATTTTAAATGGCGTCAAGGGTTCTTTAAAACGCAGCGTCTTTCGTTGATCCACGTCTGTTCGTCGTGGACTTCCCAGAACTCGTCGTACCGTACGGGCTTGTTGAGGTGCTCTTTGCAGAAGTTGATTGCTAAAAGAGAGCTCAAATCATTTCTTAAAGAAACAGAAGACTTACAAGTCTCATCTTGTTGATCGCCGACAAGAGAAATACACGTCAGTAGCGATGCGTTTTCCACTTCAAAATCAGAGTAGTAAAACACTATCAGCAAAACGACTGTCATCGCTAGCCAGGCAGCAATGGAGGTCAAAGCTTGGAACATCTTTCGTCCTTGGTCGAATTTTCCTAAATTCAAAACATTTACGAGGATGAAAACTCAAGATTTTTTACCGAAAACAATGTAGGGCAAAAGAGCAAAGGACAGAAGAATGCCGGAAATGAAGCCAAAGATATGAGCGTAGTTGTCAACCCACGGCAAGAGTCCGAATAAAAACAGGAAAATTGCGATAACGGCGAGTTTCAAAACTGCATGCTAAATCAACAGCTGATTACTCAAGTCAATAAATTGAAACGCATACCCAGGGTTGATCCAAGAGCTGCCAGCTTTGGATGAACTCGACAAAGAGGCACGCAATAAGTCCATATTGCGCGCCACTTGGTCCAACATCAGGTTTGTAGGGAACGAAAATCGCAGACGCAAGATTTCCAACCATGCCAGAGAGAATGTAAATCAACGCTATTCTCCACCAGCCTGCTAGTTTTTCCAAATCTCGTAGCACCACCATCTGAAAAACGTCTCTAAAATCGACTTCAAAGAATATTCTTACCTGGAAGAAGAGAGTTATGCAAAGATGAAGAATTCCAGCGTGGATGAAAAGTGACAAATGAAGTCGATAAATTTGATCGGGAACGAAGGGAGTCAGGAAAGGAATCAGCCCACATGTGTCCTTCAAACAATCGACTTGGGAACATAAAAATGCATCCCCATGCCATTTTCCCTACGAGAATTAATAATGCCGAAAGAATAACTCCTCTCACCTCCATTGTATCGCAGTATTCTTTCGACACAATCTTGCATTGTCCTTCAGTACCAATGCAACAGGGTCTAGCGTTGACATTACAGGTCATCCATGGTGGAGCGTCGCGGCTATTTTTCCTTCCGATTTCGAGCATTTTCTCGGGCGAGGCGGAGCATTTCGGCCAGCGAGTGATATCATCCGGAGTGCCGCTTCTCCATTTTGGTGTGTGTCTCCGGGAAAAGCTTTCGTTTTTGTCTTTTTCGAATTCCAGGTTGAACAGAACTTCGGTATGGGTTTCGTCGCTATAAGTTTTATGAAATTGAATCTCCTTTTTAGAGAACTTACCAGAAAAATGGGTCAAGTCCACAAACAGAGCCGGTTTTGAATTCCTGATAAGCCGAGTGCCAGTTGTTGTTACCCCCGGTCGAGCCCATCCAAGTAGAATCATTCAACGTCATGAACTGGTACATGTGGTGGTCGCATTCGGCTTTCGAGGCTTGAATACATTTGTTTCCATATTTGCAACAAGCAGTTTGTTGTTCTTTCTGCTGCTCGCAACCGATGATGTCCATGATTTTCCGATCCCTTCTCATACAAGGTGCATATTTTGCGCCTAACAAAAAGTTATCAAAAATGTTAGATAAATTTAAACCTAGTCTGATGAGATCTGCGAATTTAGGTCCAAAGTAGAAGTTTCGTTTTTTAACAAGTTTGATATTTTTCGGCGAAAATTGATACTCGACTGTCTCTTGAGCATGTTCATCTTCTAAACCGAAACTCGCCACGCCAAAAGATGCGATTCCCACAAGTAGAACCATAACCTGCACACTTGAGACGTACCAAGTAAAGAACGGCCTACAAATAGAAATTATAAGAAGCCATTTTCAGACGAAAAAACCTGTGGTCCTGCCACTCATCGAGTTGTTGCTTCACTTGGCTGTCGACTCTTGACTTTCTCGCTCTACCCATGCATCTCGAAACAAATCCCAAGCCTGGATATCTCTTATCCCTTCTCGAGAAAACTTGCGACATTAATCTCTTCATCTTTGGCTTCGGCTGGTCTGTATGAGGATGAGGCGAGACAGGCAGTGGCTCGTTTACTTGAATTGAAACTTTTCGACCTAGTTGTTCTTTTTTCATTCCGGAGAGTTCGCCTAAAGTTGGCCTGCGCATACTCTGTCGGGTTGGCTGCACGACGGGGTCGGGATGATCGAGAAGAGTGTCTGCAACTTGGTCATCTTCCTCATCCAAGTCGTCCTCATCATCAAGCTCTCGTGAATCGGGTTCTGGTTGCTCTGAGATCGTTCCTTCTCCGGGGCCGAAACTCAATCCCATTCCATCGTCTCTGTGGTCGATCGTCCCCTCCGATGGTCGGAAAACATCATGATCTTCATCCTCGTCGTCCGGTTGTGGAATGAGCTGTTTTATAACTGAGACGCCAGAAATCGTCGCCTTCAGCGCTTTCCAACCGATGGCAGCAACAGATTCCTTTCCATAGGGTTGGTTCATTGCGCTAAAAACATGGTAAAATGAGAATCCGAAGCATTTGGAATCTTAATTAGTCATGGAATGAAATCAAGCAGTTAAAATTTTAGCGAGAGCTCGAATGATTCAATTACTTCATGCTTGCGTCTGAAAAAAAAAACTGAGTTCCGTGGTCATGCAAGGTCAAGGTGAAAACGTTCTTTATTTTTTATATTACCCAGCGGCGGATATTTCCGATTGACCGGATTGCCGAATTGGCGGTCTCATAAACAGGCCTGACTGGCCGAGAGTATCATTGCGATAGAATTTACTGAAAAGGCCTTTCAGTAAAACGTCGACAAAGTTAGAAGTTTTAACTTAGAACACCAGTTCAAGTAAAAGGGAGGGAAAATACCTGGCCGTTGTATGAGTGGTGGTCTGGCGGTTGAAAGGAACGGAGATGGAGTCAGCATGAGTCCTGCCGCTTGGAAGAGTGTCTGGCTCAAGTTGGCTCGGGTCGCGGAAGGTTGGGCCGCGAGAAGAAGGATCATGCTGAGGTGGGTAGTACTGATCAGTACTCGGGCCTCCTAGCAGTAAATTCGGCTATTCGTTAATGATTGACGGCGACTCACCTCTGAACTCGTCAAGTCGTTCTTTCTTGACGGGACCTAGGAGCGCTCCAATGAGCCGTCCGCGTGTTTGCATACGCTTGAGCGTCAACTGTCGAAACTTGTCTTCCACATTTTCGCCTTCGACCGTAGAGTCGTGGATCAGAACTTCTGTTTTCCGGCGCATGAGCGCTTTCGTTTGCTGCAAATGTAAAGTTATCGTTTGTCTCCTATGCTACCCGGTCAACAACTGCTTTACGTCAGAATTAAGTGCTTTCATTAAAAACTAAAATGGACCGTAACTTTCTGCTAATTGACTGTTCCACCCATCGGGAAACAACGAGAGGCGCTTAGAGCTAAAACGCCCGGCGCAGTTTACGGATGAACTGGTCGACGTTCTATCCGAGCTTTTGATGCGATTTTAAAGCCAAAGACTAAAGAGAGATATCTTGAGCAAAGAGAAAAATCGAGCCTTGATGTGGTACTTCGCCAATGATTGACGAAGCCACGGAGCGAACTTGAATAGCGAGTTGATGCTCTGAGAATTCAAGTTCAGGAAAATACTTTTGGAAAGAAAATGGATTTTTATCAGCAAGATTGCTTGGATATTTCTAGTAAAATAATCGATTCGAACTTATTCCTTGAAGTTCTAGCTGAATTCGAGTGCCCATCAGCCTCCGGAACATCATCTCTTATCAGTTTTCTGGAGTGATAGCCGGACAAAATAGGCGCCCGCTTGACCGTGGCATGTCGCCTGTAGGGAACAGGAGAGAACTCCTTGTCCTCTTCTATGATTTCATCCTGGACGCTCTGGGACAAGGAAATTTCTCTTTCGGGCTTTTCTTGTCCACTCGTGTTCATTTTGGTGAAAATAGGTTTCAAGTGACTGAGAAGACAAATATGGGGATGGCGTTGGGCGGGTGTGTCGATAAAGCACACAGTCGATTACCAAGCTACTGTAATCACATTGAACGTTTCAGCGACAGATCTGCATATTTTATCGCAAACTATGGCGCATCGAAATGCTAATGCACCATAGGCTATGGTCCATAGCCAATATCCCAATCACTTATTTACGAGAGACAAAATATAAGAAAAGTGAACCAGAAGCCATGATAGTGCTTATCGTAATTACAAAAACTGAACACCGGCCTGAGATAGTCTCCATTATAGAGATAGCTTCTTTTATTCTCTCTGACATTCTTTTTTCTTTTATTTTTTTGTCTAGTAGAAAATATATTCTCTCCCCAATCGTTAATTTTCAATATAAATAATTGAAAAATCCGCAAAGTAGGGATTAAGACATTCGCTTTTCCGAGCACCGAATTGACAACGGCGCAAAATACTGCGGCAAGAGCGATCCTTATGCACTGCGGCAAGGAGCAGTATTGTATTTAATTTTAACGGGAAATATGTAGCAATATACTGAACTGACAAGGCGAAAGAGGACAAATTATGTTGAGATTATAATAAATTCCTAAAGAGGCCCTGTTAGAGATTGACAGAAGCGCGAATGAAAGTCGATGAAGAAGAATAAGGGTCAGGAGGTACCGTTACTAACAAAATATAAAGTGCTCGTAAGACTCTTATACTGGTATGTCTTAGAGATGGACAATCTTTAGAGCCTTAGATTCGAGCCACGGTTGAGACTGAGAACTCTAAAGGGGGTCCGAGGGGAAGCCTCGTGGTTTAGGGCTTCGATGGGGGTCCCGGGGTTAGGGTTAGTTCCCTGGGTTAGCTTTAGGGTTAGGGGCAGCTCGAAGGATAACCCCAACTACCAAATAAGTCTAGGACTTTTGTTGACAATAGGATTATAAACATTAAGCGTTGACACCAATACAAAGGATATCTCAGTATTTTTTCTTTACCTGAGCAAAGGATAGATTCTGCTTCATGGCACCAACTGCCTGAATCTTGCGCGCGGTTTGTTGCCATCGCACATTCGCCTTTCTCTCTGCCATTTTTCGGCAATTTTACGAATGGGATTTTTTTCAAAGTTGATTTTCGCCTCTTTACAACAATTATTCTTTTTTTACGACTCCTCTCTTGTCAGCGATTCCTCTGCGGGCTCCCAAAGAGCGCCCAACTATTTTTTTATCCGCTACTATTAACAAAACTTATCCCCAGCAATTACAAGGGATAAAGGTAGGTAGGGATAAACGCAAAAAGATACAGGCCACTTTATTTCGCGTCGCCTTGAAGAGCGGGTAATTTTTGCGCAAATACGAGTCCCTAAATCACTGTTGCTCTGTTATAAAAAGAAGCGCTTGCAAGAAGTTAATTGTTAACGCTGTGCGAGAATTAATAATTTCGCGTTATCTGTAAATCTGCTACGGAACGTATGCAATCACGACCGCATTATTAATATTTAAAGTGTGATGGATAGAGAACGAATAAAAACCGAACTTTAATGGCTCAGGTAAAAATGAGCTCGGCAACCTGAGAAGAAAACCTGACTCAGGAGCTGAATGAGCTCTTCAGATCCTGGCTCAGGTTTTTACACAGGTTGCAGAGCTCAGGTAAAAATGGTGGTAAGATTTTCTATGTAAAAAAATATTGGTCGAATACTATCTCAATTTTAGACAGGAGCCGTATCTTTTGAATGTCGTAAAAAAGGCAGGGGTTGAAAATTGGTATCCCAAGCAGAATAAAAAATAAAGTCGAATGCGCTAGTGAATGACAACGACACTGGATCGGCTTAACTCATCGACTATCTGATCCTCTTTAGAGTCAGGGAAAGACGGAGGCTCTCTCAATCTGTCTCTACTCCTCTTTTGAAAAAAAAAGAGAGACACTCGCAAAAAGTTATAGCTGCTCCCGGCTTTTCATACAGAGAAGATTAGACTCCGGCAGGGGAACAATGAAAGGTCGACGGATTAGATTAGTGGATCGCCCAAGCTGGGTCTTTGGTTTTGATAAATGAAAAAAAGAATCTTCGATGCTCATTACAAAACCCACAATTACCAAGACTTACCATAAGGGGCGTACTCATCGCGGACTCGCTCGGAAACTCGAAAACCCTCGGTAGCCCCAGAAAATTCCTATTTTCTTCTAATCTACTCAAAGTAGGAGAAGGATGAGGAAAACTCGCAGTGTAATCGAGAAGCTTTTTACGGGGCAATTGCTCCGATTTGGAACCCCTTCGATTTCTTCCGCCATATTTGAAATTCGGCTCTACACTTTTTACTCTTGAAAGTGAACTTTTCATTATTTTTTTCTTTTTCGAAAATGATTTTGAAGAAGGCCAAGTAATGAAGGGAAATATGATGGGTAGGTGGAATAATGAAAGCACTGGGCAAAGTGGTAATCGATACTCTCTTGAGAAAAAAAAAATCTTTCTTACCTGAACAGTCCTGGAAAGGGTAGATTCCTGGCGCTTGAAAGGAGGAGGAGCACGATTTACAGAATGCGAGCCGGTAAGAATAGGCTTAGATGATGACTCTGAAATTTATAAATTATGATTTCATTAAAAATTAAAAACCAGCTGTTGAAACTTTTTACAAATGAGGCTACTGATACTGAGCTTGCGATGTGAACTCCTTTTACTAGGTTCTGATCATTTTACGACACTGCATTTATGATAAAGAATGAGTTCTTACCGAGAAGATCGGAATGTATTCGCTGCTTGGTGCCCATAGATGAGAGACTTTGTCTCTTGAAGAGCGGCTTCGACATGCCACTTTTTCCGACATTGAGAGACACTTCAGTTTGGTATTTCTAGGATCTGAGATTATTTACAGTCATTACTAGTGGGCAACCTCGTGGCTGACATTATGAGAGTGTTGGTAAGAAATGACTCTGTAACTGTCCCGGCGACGGGCGAGATAGCTCTCGGGCCTGATTTCTTTCTGCTTCGGTGGTTCCTTTTTATCTTTTTTGGGGTCAAAAATGAAAATCGCTGTAATGGCTGTCAAGGGCAGCTGAATGTATATTTGTACCCGTGTCAAAACTGGCTTGTGGAGTGTCAGAGATATGGGCATCTTGCCGAGATAAGCGACGCTTCTTGGCGGGAGATGACAATTTACGGTTTATTTTTCGGTACATAACACGTCGCTCAAAAAATACTCTCTTGTATCAACAAAACTTGGACAATGATTGAGTATCCATCCGTTAGACTTGAGTTCTGCCTCGGGAAATGATTTAGATGAGTGTTTGGATTTCTAATTATTAATCGGATAAATAATCCATTCGATCCAAGATCACGGGCTATCGATGATTGAAAACTTAATCTAAATTTACCAGAGAAAAGAAAAAAATAATCAGTTTCTTAAAATTTCTTCATAGAAAACGATCAATTGATCAACTTTTTTAAAGAAATTATTTGTCAAAAAGAGCACCTTTTGCCTTTAAAATTTGATACTTTCTATCGGAAGCTTGAGCCAGGGAATTAGCCCGTGTGTTTCGGATAGTACTGTTTTTCTTCCTCGAAAATTCTAGAGGATCGACTGAATCAATCTCTGAAGACCACCGGGTCAAAATAACTTGATAGGACCTTCGTCGATTTATCATTTCAAAAAAGAGGGTATTTCTGAAAGGCACTTTCTGAAAGTAACTCGACCGTTCTATTCAAGTAACAGACGACCCGGTGAAATTTGATATGCAAGATCCGCTTATTTTGGCATCTTGACGTAAGAGTAACTTGGCCATCAATTTTCATTTTCCATTTAATAATTTCTGTCAACTCAGCTTGAGAATTCCTTGTAGCGGAGGTTCTGCCATTTCTCTATTGTTTGATCAAGTTGAGGCTGACCTCAATCAAAAATACTCATCCCAGCTCCCAGGCTAGTCACAATAAAGTTCTTATTAACCAATATTCTCTCTCAAATCGCTAAGAGTAGCTGGTCGTAGCGTTTTGCGGCCGTAATGGTTCCCTTTTCAGGGGGAAATTCGAGTTCAAATATTGTAAATTATCTCGAGCCCTTTGTGCCAGATAATAGTATCATATTTAGACAATATGGCGGACGGTAGAAATAATTGTTAATTTTTTTTTGTCGCTTTTCTCTTTTCTCAAGAAATAGGCGAAATCCAGATGGGAAACAGTGGTCGCCTGATTAATTTAGTAGAAAAGTACTTTGGCGCAAACTCGCGATGAATTAGGCAACTAAACTGAAACGATAGATGTTGCTTTTGAAGAGAAAATGGCGAAGGTGGAAATTGGGAGAGGATAAAAATTGTACTGATCTGAAATTTATGAGGTTTTTGATTGACGCTGTTTGATTAAAAAACATGTCTGAAAGCGCGATAATTATATATTTTAGCGAAGAAAGCTCTTATGTTTAATAAATTGGATAATTAAAAAGCTGTTATAAAGGAAAAAAGCACAATTTCAAAGCCCATTTTCGGTTAATTTAGCTTACTATTCTGAGTTGGCTTTAAATAATATTTATGCCAGAAATATTTCGAAAAAATCTTGAAGAATTAGCAAAAACTTTCAACTTTTCTGCCTTATTTGACCGAAAGTAGAGTGAAAATCGCAGATCTTACTGCATTTACAGTGAAAAAATGCTCGAAAGGAAATTCCGTTGAACCATGAAATAAATACTTCCATGGAAAAAGATTCCTAGTAGTGAAAAGGCTTCCCATTGTCTATTTTTTCTTGAACATATATCAAGGAACATTTTAAAATGAACTACTGTAACAGTACTATGTCTATTGAGTAGCACCTGGTCCCCAGAAGAAAGAAAGTTTAAATATTCAAGATCGAAAAGAGAAGTATCACGGACCACTTCGAATAATTATCCAGATTTGGCCAGTATGCTAAAAGGTTCTTTGCCACGTGTTCAAAGACAAATTGCAGTCATTTTCGCACCAACTTTCTCACTTTCATAATTCAAAGAATCATCAATTGAACGAACTGACCTTGAAGTTCTGTAGATTCGGCTTCTTACTCGGCTGATTACTGCTCATTATCTTCTATTATTAACTTCTTTCAGTCTTCTATCTCTTTCTTTCTTTTTCGTTTCTAAAAGTATATATTCAGAAACATTGTATATTTGCTTAGAAAAGTTATAAAAGCGAAAGTGCCCAACTAGTAGTATCGGGGAAGGGTGGTATTGGCAGACGGTAATTATCTCCACTTTGGGTTATAAAAACAGCAGCCCAGTTAGATAATTAGGCCCAATCTTTTCTGTTCTTGAACTAGCAATCAATCATCTTCATAAGACTTGTAGCCTGAGCTCGGCAACCTGTGTAGAAAACCTGAGTAAGGGTCAGAAAGAAAATTGATTGGATAGGTAATTTCGCGAAGCCGCTATCAGACCCTGACTCAGGTTTTTCTACACAGGTCGGCGAGCCCTGCTCGTAGCGATTCTTTCATGTCAGGAGTTCTCTTTTACAATTAGAATTACAATTTATAAAGAAGAAAATTAAAACTGGATTTTGGAATTTGGCGCTGAGCAAATTCTCTCGTGGAAAAAGCAAAAAAACGCGCTTCCGGACAGAAAAGAAGCGTCATTTTTTTTATTTTATTTGAGGTGACGGCTTATATAAGCCTTTCTTCGAAGAAAATGGGCAAGAACATTATAGCGTGAATAAATGAATAATAAAAGCGAAAACCGCGAATTCAGGGACTCTTGAAATTGAGGCATTCTTCAGCCTTTCCAAAATCTCCTTATTCAAATATGCTCTTGACTTTCCACAGTTTATTTAAATTTAAATTAGGGGTCACCTTTCTAACTGGCAAATACTTCTGGGATGTCTTCATGATAACTGATTCTATATTCAACAAATGGGTCCCCATTTTAACGGATTTTCTAATTTTGTTACTTTTGTACATAACGTTCTTTGGGCTAGAGAATCCGTTAAAATGGGGGCCTTTTGAGGGATATAGAATCAGTTATCATGAAAACATTACAGAAGTATTTGCCTGTTTAATTGCTGACCCTAACTTTATAATTTAAAAAACTCACAACTGAGCTATTTTTAATGAATTAACATTTACCTATTTTGTACTTTTCGGTCAGTAAAACCTATTCTTCTTGAATTTTCTCTGTATTCTTGCCTTCTTCATGTTCCGTGATAAGAATTTTTCAGGCCGAGTTCTTTAGCTTCGGGGTGATTCATAATTTTCTCCTCGAGCGGCCAATCCCAAATTTGCAAAAATCACTTCTGCCTCCCAAAAAATAAGAGAAAAGGCCTAGTCATAAATTCTGTTAATTAATTTTTACTTATTTACTCAACAAAGAAAACTATTAAGGGTATCTGACAGGTGTCTGTCAGTAAGAAAATAACTTGTCGAAAATCACCATTTCCTTATTTCAGAATGGATTCTCTGAACAATCGTTCACTTTCGACAGATTGCGCTCAAAGCCAAAGTTCTGCTGCTTTCTCTAAAGCTTCTGAAGCCACCAGAAGTTTTCACATTCAAAATCGCTCGCCCGAACAGGTAAATTCGAAGATTACCGACTCTCAATTCTCTCTCTGAAAGACAAGTCTGAATACAAGTGCAGAATTGAGAGAAAGAACTGAACAATGAGGAATGCATTTTTCTTAGATTAATTTTAAACGAACTAGGTATTACAAGATGAACCTCGGCCCAATTGGACAGAACTGATCCGATTTTATGTGGGTCATTTTTAATGAACGAACTTAAAAAAAGAAGCAACACAAACTGGTGTTGGTAACCTGTGTCCAAAACCTCAGTCAGGGCCTGAGAGTGCTTTAATGAAATGCTGCGTAGCGGCTTTTCTAAAAGAGAAGCCGCAAAGCGCATTGCGGCTACATCAAAAAAGCCGCTACGCAGCTTTTCATTCAAGCTCTTTAAGGCCATGACTCAGGCTTTGGACACAGGTTTCCGAGCCCAGAATACGAAATCATTAGTTTTCGTGTATTCTCTTCTCTTTGGTTGCTTCTTTTTCTCTTAAAAAGGGGGTAAAAGAAAAGAGGATTAATTGCCAGTTAATCTCATTATTTATCAACTTTAGCAGTCTATATACCGCGAGAAAGAACGGATATTGTCGCCAAGTATACGATCTGTCCATCTGATCAATTGAGAATCGATAAATATTCAAAATCCCATTTGTATTCAAATGAAATGAATGTTTAATTACTAATAGACGCCTCCCTGGCCTCAGGCGCGGGCCGAGGGATCAGTCTCTTGAAATATCGATTGTCTTTATTTTTCTCTTGTTTTTTGGATTTTTATGCTAAATAATGCACTTTCTTTGTTAACGAATAAAATCAAGTTGAATTGTTAAAATTACGGGTATCAATCACCACAATAAAAATATCAAATTTAGCTCCTGATGAGCGCTTCTGAAGATGATTGTTGTTCGTCTTCAATTGCTCCTACCGTGACCACCGCGGGGGTCGGCCCAGGAGGAGATGAGAAGCAGCACGACGAAGTCGCTCGTGGACACAGGGTTGAATGCGCTGTTTGCAATGTCAGGAGCGGCTCCTTCTTTCTCTCTTAGCACAGGGGTTCCTAAGGGAGTAAGAGTTAGGAAGAAATGATCTTTTTTCTATTCGAGTCCATACTTTCAAATGAAAACTTACACTTGAATGACGCCTTGTTCTACACTTGAACAACCCGATGAACACGTGAAATCTGTAAATAATTGAATTTGAGCCTGATTTGAGACTTGGCCCGCAAGCGATGACCATGCACTTGCAAGGAAAACCGCACCTCAAAAAGGTTGAGCACTATCTAATGGAAGATTCGAAGCTTTCCTGGTGCCCAATTTGCTCCGTCCCGATGAGCTCGCTGAAGCAAGCTTACTCGCACTGCATGTCGAAGCAGCACTGCGAGAAACTCGTCCGTTCCCAGCAAAGCTCTCAAGAATCGAACTCGCACCAGCAGCATTCAGGAGGAAACAAGCGAAAGGTAAAACACGAAATTGAAATTAAAAAAAAGAAACGCGTGATTCATATTTTGATTCTTTGAAATCTTGAAAACGTTCGGTTGAGTTTGAATTGATAATTCTTTGCAGTATCATAAAAGAAATGATCATCAGCCAGGTAAGAAATCTACGATTTGTCACTTCCTTCCTCTTTCATTACAAGCTGGGCTCGGTAATCCTGCGTGGAAGCCTGAGTGAGGGTTCTAAATGAGCTTCTGTAGCGGGCTTTAAAAAGCCGTTATCGAAGCCCTTCCGGGACCCTGACTCAGGTTACTTGACAATCTACCGAGCCCAGATTACAAGGCCCTGCAGACTCTCGTTTTTTTTCTATAAAATTCTAAAAAAACGAGCTTCTGTAGAATCCCCTTCTCTCACCCAGTAGATTATTCAAAGCAACTTTGCGCCATTCAGTAAAATTTCAAGAAAATTCATCAAAATTTTACTGACTGGCCGAGAAAGCGCTGGTGAATCACATGATTTTTCGAGAAAATGAAGCAATAGTAACAATTTACGCTTGCGACATTTTCTCGAAAAAAGCTTATTTAGCTTTTGTGCTTGAATTCGCGCTAAAAGAAAGAATCTTAGCGAATGATCGGATGCGACAGAATCAGCACATTACTGGCAATCCAGTCAGATACAACAACAACCAAAACCGGGGAGGGAACCAAAATGACTATCCCGGATCCTCTCATCCTCCTCCTCCACCACCGCTTCAAAAGGTTAGTTTACGGGCACGATAACCTGCGTAGAAATCCGGGGTCAGGTTTTAGAGTTCAGTAATAGAGTTAAGTTGGTTATGTTGCGAAGCCGCTTCGCGGCTCCGTTTCTAAAAAAGCCGCTACGCTACGCGGCCTTTGGTTTAAGCTCTTCAAAATCTGACCCAGGTTTTGACGTCAGTCAACTCAAGCTAGTTGCAAAAAATGTCCAAAAATTTCTAAAAATGACTTCAGAAACAAAACAAATTCGCCTGCTCTGTGTGCCAGGTAACGATGAACTCGCAAAAGCAATACGAAAACCACATGCTTTCGCCGCGCCACATCAACACGAAGAATTCGCTGGAGAAAGTTGGCGGGGTCGGAATGGCCAACATGGCGCTCCAACAAAATATGACAATAAGCGAGGCAATCGGCCCCAAACGCCCTAAATTTCACGATCCTTACGCGTAAGTCCTTGATCGACACCTTTATTCGTTTTCTATCATTGTAAGTGGAATAAGCAGTGGATTTGAAGCGTGCAGTTTTTCTGTGTTATTGTTTTCTTCTTATTAGTTCGTGATTATCGTAAGTCGTTTGGGTCCTTTGCTCCTTGCTGCCTATTTATCGGCGTCCAGTGCGAAATCGGTTTATTTCGAGGAGGAATCTTTTTCAGGCTTTTCATATGCTTTTTGCTACGTTTTTCTAAAAGCCTTTTTTTGTGAAAACTTGGCATGGTTGTTTGTGTCCATCGGCTGAGCGGAACCGAAGGATACTTTTGCGACTCGGACTTTTTCTTGATCATCATTCTTTGGCGAATCGGATCGTCGTCGTAATGGAAATTGTCAGGCACACTGTTGACTCGAGCACTAACGGGGTTTTCAACCGGGGGCTTCTTCCTTGGCTCTGGGTTTGGCAGGGCGACCCAGACAGATTTCACTGTCTCTTGTGGAATTACGAGCTTTATAGGATTTTTTTGGTGCATCAATGCTACCTATTTCTCTTTCGAAAATACAAAAAAGAACCTTTCCTTTTCGTCGATGAAGCGTTCATCCTGTTTCGTTGGATATTTTGCCAGATTGAATCCCTCTAGTTGTCGTAGAACCGGCGATATCGTCTCCAGAATCGGTTGATAGTTAGTTTTTCTATATCGAATTTGTTGATCACCCAAGGCACTCGTTCTCTCTTTGCGCCACTTTTCCACGGCCGCCCAGTCAATTGGCTGGCGATCTGGGTTTTTCGGCGATTCGAGAGTGTTTTTTGCCACTCGGTTGATGACTTCTGCGAATTTCTCGAGCCCTTCGTTCGAAAGATGCAGTCCATCTGTGTGATACCATTTTGGATCCTCGTCAAAGTACGAATCGTAATCCAGGCCTTTGTTATCGCGAGATGGGCATCTCCGAATTTTCTATTTGAAATTTTGAAATTCCGATTTGTGGAGAAAAGCTACCTCGTTTATCTCTTTCGCTCGCTCAGCAAACTGATCCTGTCGAGGTACACACAGTGATCGTAAAACAAAGCAATCTTTGTAGATAGTTTCCAGCTTCTGAATGAGGTTTCGGTAAGCCCAGCTGATTTGCTCGATCGTCTGGAAGACTCTTTCTGTCGACGCATCGTTTGTTCCCACGTGGACGATCACTCCGTCGATTTCATCAGGACTTTCCGCCAGGTTTTAAGATTTCGATCAATAAGCAAGTTGTCGAAAATGAACAGATTTTTAAAAACCGGGGCTTGGTAGAACTTCTATGTCGAGAATTTCATTGAGCTGCCATGTTTGGATTCCCGGATACGAAATCTAAATCATATTTTTTAGCTTGAATTCTTGTTTAATTTCACTCTACCTTTATAATCAAGTCTGGATCTTCGTCAATGTGACTCAGCATACTGTCTCCAATCAACAGTACTTTTCTCCCGATCTCACTCATTTTCAATGTCTAAAATTAAAATACTTAAATTCTAGTGGCTATCCGCCGCAGTTCGCCATCGCTGCCGCAGCTCTTGAAAATTTGAACTACGGAGCAGTCCTGGCCGATTCGATTCCGTCAGAAGCGATGAAGCAAGACGCCAACAATCCTTTCTGAAAGGAAGTCGATGTTTCCTGCCGACTAGAAATCACTGTAGAATCAAAAAAATGACAATCTCGCTCTTCCAAAAAATAAAAATTGTTTCTGATGCGTTCTGTAACTAACTGTAACTGTAGCTCACTACCTATTTCCCCTTCTTCACTATTCTATTTAAAACTTTAAAAGGTAACATGACATTCATTTTCGCTCATTTTCTAGAAATTTCAAACTGATAGATGCAAAAAATAAAACAAACATTGAATTCGTAAAATGCTCTTTTTCGTGTCAAAATTAAAGGATTTCGGTCGTTTATATAGGCACCGGAAATCGGTGTATGTCTTTTTCGCGAGATTTGATTGGCTCAAATTCATGTGATAGGTTCGAGCGCCCCACCCGCGCCGATTTTTCAGCGCCCCTCACACCTGATTTCGGGCAACTGCTGCTTCTCGCGAAAGAGACTGATTTTTCACCAATTCGTATCTTTTAGAAATGAAAGGGAAGAGAGGTCGGGATCATCTGGAAATCTCCAGTGGGAGATCGGGCAGCGTGCCTGTCGAGGAGGAGACTTTGTACAGCGCTGTTCTTAGTGGAAAGTTTCCGATGAACACACTGGCCGGCGGATGGATTGAACGGTATCAGGAAAAGGGTTTAAATCGAGGCTTGCCAACCTGTGTAGAAAGTCTGGGTCAGGGTCTTGAAAAACGTTAGTTAATGGCGGGTAGCTTTTTCAGAACCCTGACTCAGGTTTTCGAGCACAAATTGAAATTTATTTTTTCTTTGGAAAAATCTTTGTTTTCAACCTTTCTATCAGCGAGATCGAGACACTGCTCTGCTCGAGATCATTCAATTCTTCATCCACGCATCTGGATGCCGAGGAAAAGTGACAACCGAGCTCTACCAGGGAATCGGCGGGGGATTCCAAGAAGTCCTCAAAGCAATGACGACGGAATTCGGCGAAGAAACGAGCGAGTACCCACTGATCATCTCGACGAACCAATTTCGTCGCTTCAAAAGCTGCCTGTCAGAGATCATCACTCAAATCGCCACGAAATGCTACGAAGGCGAACTTTTGTACGACGAGTTTTTGATGGACTACGTTCTTCAACTGTTGATCGAAATGTCGCAGAGTTTTGTCCGTGCTTTTAGGCACACGGGCACATTTTGCTCGATGAAGTTGATGTCTTCTCTTGTCCAGGTAAACTGATTTCAAGATCTTCTGAATTTCTTATTATAATGATTCTAGGCCGCGTTGAACGTCAATAAAGAAATCGAAGACACTTCGAAGCAATACGAGATCGAGTACTCCAAAATGGGCGGCGAAAGATCTCAGGACGCACTGGATATGTTGAGCGACAGGAAAACAGAGCTCGAAGGGCATCAACAAGAAGTCGAACAGTTTCTCAACAATGTCTTCAAAGATATCTTCATCATGCGCTACCGAGACATTTGCCCAGAAATCCGAGTCATTTGCATGGACGAAATTTCCGTGTGGATGAAGACTTTTCCCAAGGTCTTTCTATCCGACCAATATTTGAAATACGTCGGCTGGTTGTTGAACGACAAGTCAAAGGAAGTCCGACGATCGTGCTTGACCGCTCTGGGCGCGCTGTTCAAAGATCGAGAGCTGTGCCAAGATTTGGCTCTTTTCACCAAACGATTCAAGAAGCGGCTAATTTCTATGACCTGCGATGTGGATCAAGAATGCGCCGTTGCCGCCATCAAGGCTCTCACAAATGTCCTCGTCAATCGCCTTGAGCTGAGCCTCGATTTCTCTGACGAAGATTGCGAAAGTATTTACCAACTGGTCTTCCACGTCCACCGCCCGATCGCTGTGGCAGCTGCTGAGTTTTTGAACAAAAATCTGCTCACAGGAACTGGCTATGAAGAAAATTCGTTCACAAGGCGGGGAAAGCGACGATCAAAGAACGCACCACATTTTATCAATCTCGTCCAGTTCTACACAGACGCAGACATTCATCAGCACACGACGTATCTGGTCGACGCGCTTTGGGACGTGAATCCGAGTTTGCTAAAGGACTGGGAATGCATGACGCAACTTTTGCTCGATGACGACAGCGCACTGAAGCATCAGGACGAAACCGCGCTTGTTGATCTTCTCGTCCGAACTGTCAAGCAAGCTGCCAGTGGCCAACCACCCGCCGGAAGAACAGGCGGTCACCAGAAAAAGCACACTGGCCAGAGCGCTAGAACAAAAGTCGCAGAAGACCGATCGTTGCTTACCGACGAGCTCATTGAATCGCTGCCCAAGCTTTTCGCCAAGTTTGGAACTGATCGCGAGAAGATTATTTTACTGCTTCAAATCCCGCGATTCTTCGATTTGGACAGCTACACGGTGAACCGAGGGGAGAAGTTCCTCGACGAGCTGCTTCACGAATTGAAGCAGATTGTTAAAAAACACGCTGTTGAAGAGATTCTAGTGGAGGTTTCAGAAACGTTCGCGTATTTGGCAAATCCTGACGCCACGATCTGTACAAAAGTGCACTCGGCTGTTACTCTTCTTGTCGATCATTTGAACGATAACTTTGTCCAGACGATCAACTTTATGCAGCAGAATGAAAATGAGTTGAGTGGAGAAGATACAGCCGTTCTTGGAACTCTTGCCCGGCGACTTTCATTGCTTTCTGGAAAGAATGATTTGACTCACAAGGGATTGGGAATGACCGCGATCGAATTGTTGAAGTCAAGAATCATGGCGAATGAAAATGGAATGAATTTTATTCAGCTTGATGCTGGGCTAACAAGGTAAGAAAATGCTCTTTAGCTTTTGTCTTGAGAAACATTTTAGTTCTCTGATGAACATGATCTTCACCGACTGCTGCTGGTGGAAGATCAAAATTGAAGAAGGTCAAATCGACGATCAAGAAAGAGTCCTTCGAAATCTCCGATTCATGGTCGACCAAATGCTTGAGTACGCAGAGATTTTGCTCAAATCTTCATTGCCTAAGGAAACGCACGAGTCAGTCTACTGCAATACTGTCGATGTTCTCCAACTCTTTGCGCCACAAATCGCTCATAATCCTATCTTTGAGCCCGTAAGACTTTTTATACATGACAAAATAAAAAGTGAATGTTTTATAGCTGATTACCTCTGCCGGTGACAGTCTCATCGAGTGCTTCAAAATGTTCTTGGGCACTTACGTATTTGAACCAGCGATGAATGGATCCGCCAAAAATACGACCGAAAGCCGCGCTGACAAAAATCAGGATCTCGTCAAGCGCCGACGTTTCCTTGCGGCTTATTGCAAGCTTTTTGCGTGGAAGTATGGCGTTTGTTCAATTACTTTTTCTTACAGAAATTTAGGTGGATCGACATGGTTCACGGAGCCGAAGTGTTGATGCACTACTTGAAATGTTACCAAGATTACGGAGACATAATCAAAGAAGCAATTTCCAAAACTCGAAATATCGATCAAGGAACCTCTGCCTATACGCTCGTTACTGCCCTCCAAAAGATGTACCTCAATCTATTGGATCAGAATAATGGTGTCTTGGACAAGTCATCCCAAGACTTTGCTCAGTTGAAAGGTATAAAATTCAGAAAAATATTCGACCTTACCGAATGATTAAGAACTTGCCCGTCGTTTTGCTCTCACATTCGGCCTCGATACAAACCGAACTCGCGATGCTGTCAGTGAACTTCACAAATGGGGCATTGAATTTGCATGCAAGGTCTATCCTGGAGAGAATTTGCCTCGCTACATGAGCTTCTTGGACGTGCTGACCGAATTCTCGACGAAGCTCATCAAACAGGATCGACCAGTCATCGTTAATCACCTCAAACGAAGACTTCCTCAAGGGGTCGAGCCTGCTGAAGAAGAGGAGTACTGGATTCCTTTCGTCACTTACCGGTAAAGCCAGGAATTGAACATCAGGTTCAACTCTTTTAGGAACACTTTGGTCCCAACAGAAGGAAGGCTGCGCAATGTCCCGGCCCGAGGAGCTCATCGAGTCAACCAAACACCTCAATTTGTCCCTGCTCAACAACAGTCTATGCAGAATCGTCAACGGCGTCTATCCAATAGTTCCATCATGTCCAATGATTCCGTAGGAAACGACTTTTTTTTATAATCAATTAACATGATTCTAGGCCGCATCGGATATTACTGCTGGTATGTCAACCCACCATAGCTACATGGAATCCACTGCCATTCCTCGGCAACAAAATCAGTCCTCAAGGTACAGTAACGTGACGTCAACTCCCGGGTCAGCAGCATCAACAGAGACTCCTGCAACAAGATCAAGCACCCTCACTAAAAGTTCGAGCAGTATTCGAGGAGTTCTAAAGCCTCGCAAACGGCAAATTCAAGACTATACTCCGCCTACCGCAGAAATAGGCGCACTTTCGATTTCGACTCCGGCGGTAGAAATAAGCGCCAAAAAGCCGCGTAAACTAAGAGGCGTTCCCCAGTCCACACCAGCAGGCCAAGGCATCGACCCCGAAAAAGGCCGGGGAACCTCGTCCCGTAGAGTCCGCTTCCAAGAAAGTCAGAAAGAGAGTACTACCGGAAGCTCAGTCGGTAGAGGGCTTTTTAATGATAAAAGCAGCACAGATAATGCAACTGTCAGTCCTTCTCAGGATAATAGTGCAGGAAATACTCAGTATGAGAATGTTGCTGACAGAAACGACGGCGAGACTACAGATGAAGACATGGAGGACATCAACAACCGCCTCCAGCAGTCCGAGATTCATGGAAACACCGAATCTGAAGCGTCGGAAGTGGAAGAAGATTTCAAACCCCGAGTTAGCCAGATTCAAGCTCAGAAAAACGATTCACCAACCGCAACTGATTTTAGAGACTTTCTCGCTGAGGAGCAGACTCAAACTCAATCTCCTAAAATTCCTATTATCAAGCCGGTTTTAAAGAAACGCGCAAGGTTCACCAACCGGCCAGATAGTGAAAGCGAGGAGGGTCAAGAAGAAGATGATTCTGGAAGCGCAACAGAGACGGAAGCACCAGAAACTCCAAAAGTCAAATCAAAAAGACAAGGCGGACACCGACGATCTAAGAGTCAGAATTTGTCTCATCGTGATAGTAAAGATACATCTGATTCGGACTCAGGAAGTGCGACCGAAACTGAGGCCACGCAAAAGACTCCGGTGATCAAAAGACTTGGTCGGCCTCGATCCCGTCATCACAGATCCATTGTTTCAAAATCTCCTGAAACACAAAATTCCGAGCCAGGTCCGAGCGGTCTTCAATCTGATCCCTCGGAGCCAATCTTAAATCGACCTGGTCGACGAAGAATTCGAGATAATATCTCGACCTCGGAATCCGAAGATGAGCAATCCCAGGTCGAAGAAGCTCCCGATGTTTCTCCAGAAAAATCCGAACCAACTGTTATTCGACGAGGACGAGCTCGACGTGCTCGTAATGAGGATCCATCCTCGGAATCTGCTCTTGAAACGACGATGGAAGCTAAATCGGATTCCGAAGACGATTCTGATAAAAAGAAAGACAGCGACAAGGAAAACGCTCCAGCTCCGGTACAACGCGAGCCTACTACACCAATAGTAAAGGCGCGCCCTGGTCGACGACGCAAGATGCATTCGTTCGACACTTCTGACTCAGAAAAAGAACAGACACAAGAAATTGTACCGGATAAAGAAAAGCAAACTTCTACTTGGTCTACTGGGAATTCCTCTCTTCAGGAAACAATAATCGCTTCCGCTGAAATGTCACCAGAAAGGGCTCGTGGTGCCCGGAAGAAAACTCAATTTCAGAAGCCACCTGCAATGTCTCCCCGGAAGAGTCAGTCCTCCCATCGAACTGCCTCACAAGAACGAGTACAGATGGAAACTGGGTTTGAGCTTGAATCGCCATCAGATGATCACGTAAGTTCGTCTGTGGGAGAGCTGCAGATTGTTGAAAGCGAGTCGGAGAAGAATGATCAAAGTGAGAAGGAAAATAACGAGCCGAACATGATGGAAACTGAGGGAATGGTGACTCCCACAAATTTTGTTCGAGCTCAGGGTATTCGAAGAAAGAAAGGCTCTCAAAAGAATCCAGCGAGAGATAGTGTTCTTAGCTCGGATACGCGACACATAGAGTACCCACAAACTCCTTCAACGACGGTTGCGACTACGTCTACGTCCTCCAGCTCCCAGAGCCCTGTTGTCTCCCAGAAGCGGACTCGCTCCTTCCGCCGCCGTTCCGAAGTCGTCCCAACTGCTCAAGAGCCACCTACACCGACTCCCGCTCGTCGACGTTTGAAGCCAGTGCCTGAAAACGACGAAATCAGCATTGGAGGCTCGGATAGAATGCATGTCGATGAACTGCGAACTAATCAGCAGTCGCAAAGAAAGTCTCTGGATGCCAGAGTTCATTTGGAGATCAAGGAAGAGTCCGATTCGGAGATGTCAGAAGCCTCGGCATTCTCTTCACAGGAAAGCGGTTCAACTTATAATATATAAATATATAAAGTAAATACTTTTTTTACGTCTTCTATTCTTGTTGACCCTTGAAAAGTCTCGCGCGTCTACCGCGGCATATGATATGGAGAATCCAGTTGATACTCAGTATCACTCTCCACAAGCTGAGAGCGACGAGTACGGTACACCCGATGAAGAATTGGAAGAGCAAAGACCAACTGAACGTATTCTTGAGAGCCAAAGTATTGCGATCTCAACTGATAGAAGCAGTAACATGCGCACCTATTCTTCTTCTTCACGAGCTGTCAATATGTCGAATCCTTCAACGAGACCACGGACATACTCTTCTTCTAGCCGAGCGATAGAACGAATGTCCGAAGATGAGTCTGAGTACAGCGATGCTGGAAATGCGAGCTTTCAAGCTCACACGGGAATCGGACAATGCGCTTCCTCCGATATGATCTCAGACATCGGCACCGTTTGTTCTCCGCCAAGTCGCTACATGCGAGAGCGAAGGAAGGGTTTTTATTTTTCGGGCATAAAAAGAAAGGCTTCTCATTTGAGAAAAGATTCAAACCTAGCTAAGAAAACAATCAGACTCGATGACCGGCAATGCAAGCTCAACCAACTCGCGCAAGAAGCGATAAAAAGCAAAATTAATAGAGTTCACAAATGCAGCTCCACATAGTTCAAATTACTTTTCACATCCCAAAATTGATAAATTCAAATTCTGCATTCCAAGCATTGCCAGCAGCCAGCAATTTTTTTTACGTGTAACCAAGAACCCATAATCTTCAATTGAAGGAGTACCACTTATTTTCATTGTTTCAGATTTGATGAGACAAGCCACCACCAGTACCAAAACTCGCAGCAACAGTTTCATTCAACGAACCAGGTGAGTTCAACAAAATTCGACTGAAAATTACCTTATTCCGTTAGTCGTACCAACAGCATTAACACTACATGATGAAAAACGAAACCTTTCTTCCAGCAAAATACTGCCAAAAACCTGCTCCCAGAAGAGTCAGCTCCTAGAACTATTCCTTACTGAACTTTCATTATCCTTATTCATTATCCTTTCTTTCCCTCTTCTTTCCGAAACTTCCGAAAGGACTTCTCAGTGAACTTGCAATAAATTCAACATTCAGAAAAAATGCTCAGAGCTCCAATAAGTGGAAATAAGCGCATTTGGCTTGATTTTTCGATTTCAAACTCGCCGGCAAAGCGCGTCAACATTTCCTTATTCGATAACGCTTATCAAGGATCGTTTTTATGTTTTGTCACTTAGACCTGAAAGCTTTAGGCGAAATTAACGCATTTCAAAAACATGCAAAAGCCCCGACTGCGAAAATCTTTGAAAAAATAAAATCGGAACCGGGATGGATGATCGGCCCGATAAAAGGGATGGTCGAAAAAGATTTTTTACTCACAGGAAGCAGGGAAGATCCGAGATCCGCTGGAGTTATTAAGTTTATCGATTATGAGAGGCTGATATTCGACTCGTCAAGGTTATTTCGAATTTTTGATGAAAAAAAAAACTAATTATTCAAGTGATTCTCATCCGAATTTCTTCTTGGGTCATCATAACTCCGGTCTGGTGTCGATTGAAAAGGATAGTGCTGGCGTGGAGCTGTTAGTATCCCTCGGCGCGTGCCCCTATTTCGACCGCGAGCCCCTTGGAAACCTCCCTTCCTCACGTGAACGGGTTGTGCTTGGAGTTGTCGAAGACCTGAATAGCATTCAAGATTTTCACGGAATGGTAGTAGCCGAAGAAACGGGCCTGCCGGTCAGTGGTTCAGTTGAAGTTATTAACGCCGGTGTGCCAAATGAGGATTTATCCGAAGCCGAGCTGAAAGAGCTCAACAAAAGAATATCAAACTATCAATTTGAAGATTTGAAGCCGAGGTAAAAGAGCTTTTCTCATTTCGCCGAATAAAATCACCTTTAGAAATCGACTCTTTTACAAAGTTGTTTCTGGAAGTTTGGATTTAATTACTTTCCGAGACATTTATAAATGGACTACCTCTTGGGGAATCATTTACGGATTCATCATTTTCCTGATTTATTCCTGGCAAAAACAATCTAAAAAGTTCAACAGAATCGACTGGGCCGCAGCCACGGCCAGATAAATTAAAAATAATGATTTTTGAACTTTCAGAATGTCAAAAAAGGCGAAAGCCTTAGATAAGTCGCCGAAATCGAAAGTGGCATCGAAAAAACAAGCCCAGAAGAAAGCGTCTTCGATTACAAAATGGGGAGTCGGTTGTTTTCTTCTCGCCCTGGTCAGTGGTTTGCTGAATAAATTCCATGTGGAAGTCTTGTTTGAAAACGAAAAGCACTTTTCGCATCTGTCGACGATGGAGCGCGATATGGCCTTTCGAACAGAAATGGGGCTGTATTACTCTTACTACAAGGTTTGTTTTCAGTAAAAATTCTATCCTAAATATTCATTGATTACAGGACATGGTCGACGCAGAATCTTGGTGGGCCGGCTTCAATGGAATGATCAATGACGACGTCAGCGAGCATCCAAAAACCATCAATGTTCTCAAACGGTTCAACCTTTGGCCGGAGCTTTTCTGGGGCACTGTGAAGCGCGTTTACAACCACGTGACCAAAACGCTCAAAATCAAGACCCAGGATTGCTGGCAAATCAACCGTGGTGAAGGCAAGACGCCCGTTCAAAGCTGCGAAGGTCTAGGAGATGATCACTACTTCTATATCTGGCCGATTTGGTGGCTGACTGGCTTCTTGATGTTTGGCGTGTTCGTTTACGGTAAGATACCCTTTCAAAAGGGCCACGATTATTATCATGAATTAGGCGCAACTGTGTCCGAAAGTCTCTGGGGTGGCATCATTTCTGTCTGCTGCTACTTTTTCAACCATGGCGAAGCGACGCGTGTCATGTGGACTCCGCCACTCCGCGAGAGCTGGTCCTTTCCCTTCCTCATCATTCAACTTTTACTCGTTACGAAAATCATCAAAGCTCCATCCACCAGTTCATGCTTGTTTATTCCCCTTGTCGTGCTCACTTCGCTATTTATGATCACTTGGCAATTTGCGCAGTTTGCCCTGCTCACTCAGGTAGAAAATAATAGATTGTCAGTGTTGACCTCTCATAATGATTTGATTCGTAATTTATTTGGGATACGCGTTTCGGCGACTATTGTGCCTTCATCAGTCCCTAGTACAGATATAAATTTCACAGCTCAGAAAAAAGAAAGAATACTCTCACCTAGAGTTGGACAATTTCGAATGAGATAGAAAGTTGAAAACAAAAGATGAAAACTCGCTTTCGCGGCAGATGTAATGGAGCGCCAGAGAAAGCGAGTTTCATTCCTATGTTCTTCCACACTTTGAGGTGTCCAAAATTCAGGGAACTCTTTGACAAATATTTAAGTGAGCCAGACACTCCTAAATACAAACCTACGACTTCTAGAGCTAGAATTAAAACAAATTTCTGCTTCAAACACAAACTCGTTTCTGTTATCTCCAATCAACCGTACTACAAAGACCGTACTCTATGTGAAGCGTTTTCAATCAAATTAAAAGATCCAAGCTTAAATAAGCAGATCAAGTTCGCTGAAGTTAAATTTCTGTAATGGAGCATTTGAAACTCGCTTTCTCTGGCGCTCCATTACATCTGCCGCGAAAGCGAGTTTTCATCTTTTGTTTTCAACTTTCTATCTCATTCGAAATTGTCCAACTCTAGGTGAGAGTATTCTTTCTTTTTTCTGAGCTGTGAAATTTATATCTGTACTAGGGACTGATGAAGGCACAATAGTCGCCGAAACGCGTATCCCAAATAAATTACGAATCAAATAGAAAATAATAACTTGAATTACGAGATTAAACATATTCTAAGACGGCATCCGTTATGGCTACTTACTTGCTGGGCTTCATTGGCACCGGCAAAATGAGTCTCATCGTCAAAGGCCAGGCAGCAGCTCTAGCAATCAATTACGTTCTTCAATGTGGAAATTCTATGCTCCTTACTTCGTTCTTCGCGTCTTCTCTTCTATCTGTAAATTTTAATTGAGTATCAATTAGCTTCTATTTCTTTCTCAGGTCATTATTCTCCTTCACTTCGACAGCAAGTTCGAAAAGCTCAACATCTTCCTGCGAATCCCAATTTGGCTCGTCCTCTGGGTTGCCGGCACCCTCTCAATCAAATATGCAATCGCCTCCGCTTTGCAAGTCACCGATGATTCGCATATCTTCGACATCTTCCGTGCAAAGTTTTCGACATACAAGAACTTCCACACTCAGCTCTACACATGTGCGAAAGAATTCGACTTCTTGGAGTGGGAAACTGTCGAGAAACTGACAAAAACTGCTTTGATTCCTGCTGTCGTTGCGGTTTTAGTTGTTTTAGGAACGACTATTTTATACAGGTAAATTTTCTGAAAATGCTTCCATTGACCGTTTTTGAAGAGAATACTCCTGGTGGAAAAACCCTGAGTCTACTCCAGCAGAAGTTGTATCCACTGGCTCCGAAAAGTCAAAGCCGCTAGCCGCGGAACTCTACACATGCATCCAGGGCCTTGCTTTCACAAGTTTAGCAATTATGATCATGCGTCTCAAGCTTTTCATGACTCCGCAGCTCTGCATTGTTGCCAGGTATATCCTCACTTTCAGATCATTTTTCAACTATTTCCCAGCCTTCTCGCCTCTCAGAAAGTCTTTTCTTTCATTCCCCGTGAGCGCCAAGTGTCTCTTCTTATTCTTTTCCTCGCTATTGGTGGCTTCACCGGTGTCAGTAACATTCAAACGCAATGGGGCAAAATCGGCGAGTACGAAAACCCGCAGCAAGAAGACCTCCTCGAGTTCATCCGCGATTCCGGTAAAATTGCCAAGGATGCTGCTTTTGCTGGTTCGATGCCAACCATGGCCACGGTTAAGCTAGTCACGAAGAGAAAAATTGTCAACCACCCGCATTACGAAGACACCGAGCTAAGAGAAAGAACCTATCAAGTCTACACGATGTTTTCAAGACGACCAGCAGAGGTAATCTTTTTCCTTCTTTCAGACAACTCATTTTTTCTTAAGCTTGTGCACAAAGCCCTAATGGACTTGCAAGTCGACTACTTCATCCTCGAAGAAGGCTGGTGCGTGCGCGGAAAGGGCACACCATGCTCCCTAGCAAACATGTACGATATCGAAGATGTAGAATTCCGAGGCAATGAAGCTGTCTGTCACGCTATTCACAAAGACCCCGCTCCCTATTTCAAGCGCATCTTCAGAAACCCAACGTATCACATCTTAGAGGTGGTCAAAAATCCCAAAGTTTAATAAAGTGTTCCACGAAAATGAAAAAAATGCTGTTCTGAAATGCTAAAAATCCTAGATTTTTCCGTACTGACCTTTCAATGCCTTCCAACTTTATGAAATTTCTGACTTCCCAAACTTGTGCTTCCTTTATTTATTACACTGACACGGAGAGATGCAATAAACCTAAAATGTGCCTGAATTGGAATTGAATGATTGGATTTCACATTCAATGGTTCTTCCTTCATAATTTCTTTATTTATAAGCTCGAATGTATAATAAGAATATCTAGTTCCAGTTGAATGGGTTTGTCAGTGGTTTTAGCGGCTTGGGTCCCGCCCAAAGTCCTCGCATCATCAATTGCCAGTAGATAAAAGGTATCGCTGCTTTCTACAAAGATAAAAAAGTTCGGATGAAAGTGAGCGTTGTATCAAAATTACCTTTGTCAGGTACATAGAGTAGCGATTCTTTCCCTGATTCAAAAATGTAGATTCCATCACTTCGCCGCCAAAGCCGAACTCGGCCATTATACACGTGTTTTGACTCGTTACCAACGGACAGCTAAGGTGTTTTAGTATGTAAAAGAACATAAACTAGTACCTAGTGTAACCGTCGTAATCTTCACTAAATTTTTCTTTATTGAAAAATTTCTCCAAGTTCTCACAAAGAATAGCGTGTTGAGAAGTAATTGCAGCAGCAGTTTTCGACGTTTGGATAGAAGTACAGTCGCCGACACCAAAAATGTTTTCGTAAACAGTGTGCTGTAAGCTTTTTTCATTTACAGACACCCATCCAGCAGCGTCAGTAAGTTGCGACTCATCGTCGCGGAAGAGTTTTAGCGGCCGCTGGTTCGGAGTTATATGCAGGAAGTCGTAATTTGTTTCGTACATTTCTCCATCCGCTTTTTTGAACTTTGCCAGATTGCTCAAATGATCCACTTCGACCAAAGTGTGTTGTCGATTCAAGTTCACTTTCTCCGATTCCACCAGTTTCATCAACGCTTCGGCGTATTTCGGCACACCGAAAATGACAGGCAAAAATGTATTGAACTCAAGCTCGTATTTTCCAACAGAAGAGTCGTTTTTCCAAATGTCATTGGCGATCCACATGATCTTCTGAGGGGCACCAGGGCATTTGATCGGCATTGGGGGAAAAGTAAAGACTGCTTTTCCTCCTTTGAAGCTCTTGATTGCTAATTGAAATGGTTCTACATTAGGGGCCATCTAGGAGCGCATTTTTGATCTGCGTGAACCACTCTCCTGGGAAGGTCTTGAGCACGTAAGCCGGCGAATAATTCGAGCAAACCTTCAAATCTTCCTTGAGTGCTTCTTTAGCGCCTTCCACCCCGGCATAATTCAGCTCCAGCCCAGTTGCCAAGACAAGTGCATCGTAGTTCAGCGTGCTTCCGTTCTCTAGAGTTATTTTGTTGTCTGCGGGTTGGAAAGAAGCGACGTTTTCTTTGACATGAGTGGCCGATTTCGGCAACAAGGATGAGATCGGTTTGCCAGAGTCGGAAAGATTGAACTGACCACCGCCGACGAGAGTCCAAAGGGGCTGGTAGTAGTGCGTTTCTGCCCGGTCAACAACCTGAAATAGAAAAAACAAGTCCCGGGAAATGACTTACTGTGATGTCATAATGCCCTTTTCTTGCCAGCCTAGCGGCTGTAGACATTCCACCGCTTCCAGCACCGACAATGACGACTTTCGGCCTCAGTGTTTTCGCAATGTTCAGCGTGGATAACTTCATTTTTCTCTATTTTTCTACCCGCTCCTTTGATTTTCTCCACTCGATGACTTTATAACTCTTCTCTAGGGTGCGCCCTAAAAGACAAATTCCAACAAGACAGTCTGCAAAAAACACACAGAAGATTCCAGAAGCCTCCGGGCGAATCGAAGCTCAGGAAAATCAACGAAGAGTACTGTAAATGGCAAAATCGTAAAATCGTCTCGTAAAATCGCGAAAAAAGGCTCTAGATTAGAGAAACATTGACTGTTTTGGCTGTTTGATTTGGTCAGTTTTGTGTGTTTAGTTTGCGTCCAGCACGATTTTTTTTTTTGAGGCGCGAGGTGGGCGGATCCTCTGGAGATATTTTCATAAAGAATGAGCCAGAGGAAATTTGTACCTCTCCCTGAAACAGAGGCGATGCCGGAAGTCAGAAAAGAGATTCTTTTGTTACGAGGGCCGTCTGGCTCGGGAAAGAGCACGCTAGGGACAAGGTTAAACTCCAAGTTCGCACCCTAATCTCCCATCACACCCACTTGGACTTTTGAAAAGTGGGTTTCGAAATTACCAATTTGGAAATATGATCCATCTTAGTTGTCCCGCTTTATTATCTCATAAAAATCTGATCTTCTATTCTTCTTATTTTAACCTTTCAAAAGCACGACAGTTCCAGTCCGATTTTTCACGCAAAAAGCTCCGCGTCGCACTCTTATCCGCCGATGATTTCTTCATGAAAAACGGCCAGTATTGTTGGGACCCTAAAAAGCTCTCGCTGGCGCATTCTAATTGCAGGTTTCGATTTTGATTAATAATATATTGAGTAAAGAAGGTTTTTACTAAAGAGAACGAGTGCGGCGAGCCATGGAAAATGGGCTCGATAGAATATTAGTAGATAATACAAATATGAAGGATCAAGGATATTAAACGCTCTTCAAGCAAAGGAATTATATAATTTTAAATATCCTTGTGAAAGATAATAGAAATGGTGCCATATGCAAAGCTCGCGCTGGAATTCAAGTATTTCATCAGAATTGAAGAAGTAGCCCTTCCAAAAGGCTTTAAAAATTGGTACGGGATGATTCCAGTTCTCGAGGAAAGAAATGCGCATAATGTAAATGGCGAAATTCTAAAACGGCAAATCGGCAACTTCGAGAAATGTACAGTTAGCCAGCTTGTCAAAGCAGCCAGGAACGGCTCACTATTTTAATTTCCTTCGGAAGACCCCCGTACTAATGATCAAATTCTTGAGCTTTTGCAGAAACCCAGGCGACGCGAGGTCGAATCCTCAGAGTCCACCTCCAGCCGATAGAAACAACAACCTTTCAAATCAACCCTCAACCTCAACTTCCTCAAGTCCCTCTACGACCGGTCTCTTCGGAAAAAACTACGAAAAACTCGTTTTATACTGCGAAAAAAACAAAATGCGGCTGGAAATTGACTCTCAGGAAAATAATATAACTGTGCTGAAACTTTCCTATCCAAGAGTCAAGCCCATTTTTGAACGATTGTTCAAAGGGAACTCAGTCGAAAACGCTGCAAACAACACACTCCAGCAAATTCAATAAATTCTATTCTTCAACACACAAGTGGTGGCTCAAGTACTTTTTCACGTATCCATTACACTCTCCCGGGGGCAGGGGTGGATATTTTGATATCAAACCAGTTTTTCAAAACTGTCGAATCATTTATTTCATCGTTTCAAAATTTGAAATTTCAATTGAAATTGCAGGAAAAAGCCGATGAAATGACTGAAATCTATTGAAAATGAAAAAAAAGCGTTTTCAAAAGATAAAGCTTCGTGCGGAGTTTTGAAATGAATTTGAAACTGCAATAATTGACATTTCAATCAGTTTTTCTTGTTTAGCGACTTGAAAAGAATTTGAAAAATGTAATTGAAAAAATGAATCGTTGCAAATTTGAAGAAGGCGCAGAAGGAAAAACTCAGCGCGCCTGCCATCCCTTTTTGACTCCCGCATTTCCCAAAATCCCGTATTTTTAAAATCCTAAATTTCTGAAAATCCCGTATTTCTCAAATCGCCAATTTAGGATTCTGCCGATTCAGGATGATGGGAAATGCGAGATTTTTTTTTCTTTTGAGTTAGTTGCTTCACCAAATTTTCATTTATTTATCATATAACTTTATTTTCTTGGCTTCTCCACCGCTAATCCCGGCTTCACCAACTTTCATCCCGGTTTCAAAAACTTCGATCCTCGCTTTACATACGTCAATCCTGGTGGCTCAAACATCAATTCGGGCGTCACTTTCTTCAATCCTAGCTTCTCAGATGCCAGTCCCGGCTTCTCAGTTCTCTATAATTGCTTCTTGAATATCGATCATGGCTTCTCCAAGATTAGGTTGGCGTTGGTAAAACCTAGATTGAAACTAATGAAGCCGGGATTGACGTCGAAGAACCTGGGATTGACATTAGTGAAGCTATGATTGAAGTCGGTGAAGCTAGTTTGAAAAGTCACAAATTTTGACTGAGCATGAGCACGGCTGAGCACGGAGAGCTCAAATTTTGGCCTTGAGCCTGAGCACAATTGAGCATCAGCGTGCTCAAATTTGCTGAATAGGAGCACGACTGAGCAACGGCGTGCTCAAATTTAGCTGAGCCTGAGCATGATTGAGCACCCGCCTGCTCGAATTTCGATGAGCCTGATCACGCTGAGCATGCTCAATGCTCATGCTCAGAGCATGCTCAGGCAATCTTGCCACATAAAAGAATAAATAACTCAAGTTTTCAATTAGAACCATAAATAAACTAAAAACCAAGAGAATTTAGATTTTTGAAACGATGGGTGTGGGTTGGGTTGGGGACAAAACTGAAATTGATTATCACAGTGTTCCAAGCCTTTGTCAAGCCCCAAAAATCAAGGAACGGGGCTGAGACGGCCCACGCTCAGACTTTTCAAACCCTGGCTAGGATTGAAGAAATTATTCCAATTTTCGTCGAAAGAATGGTGAGCTGAGCGAACGGCCGCGCGGTCGACCGCTCAAAATTTTTGATTTTTCTGTAAGAAGTGTTTTGAACAATTATTTCTAATAATTTCTTTTATTATTTTCTTCATTTACTCACCAAAAACACTAAAGAAAGTGTTGACTTACCGCTCAACCGCTCACTGATCTCAAGTTGAGCGAGCGGCTGAGCGGTCTTAAGAAATGACGGTAATGCTGAGCGAGCTGACGGGCCGCTCATTCCTTTACCTTTCGACAACAAACACCGACGACAATGTGTCATATATGACACATCTCCTTCACTGGCCTCTAGACTCTAGAGTCTAGAGGCAATTAAAGAAACCAAAATTAGACTCTGGAGTCTGGAACAGAATTCAAGCCTCAACTGTAACCCGAACTCGAACCTAGGGTCGGCGCCGACCATCGACCAAATCGACATTGTCGGGTGTCGGGTCGGGTTCTGGTCGGACCGACCCGACCCGACATTGAGATTTGTCGTTGGTCGGTCGATGGTCGGGTTTTTGTCGGGTCTGTGGTCGGTTTTCGCTCATTCTCGGGCATGTTTTCTGACATAAATTCACTTCTGTTATTCGATAATATTTTCATATTTTAATGTCACTAGCGCCAAACCATTTAGAATTTAGGACATTTATAAAATCGAAAGTTTCATAACCCCCATCTTTCGATTTTGAAGCTTTTTCATCATTCTCATTGGTTAAAAAAAACCGACCACCGACCCGACCAAAAGGCCGACTCGAAAAAGTCTGCTCAGCTCAGTTACCTCCGAAATAGGCCAGCTCCGCTCAGCTCAGAGAACTTTTTACTCGGGTCAGCTTAGCTCAGCTCAGCAAAAATAAAGCAAAATTTGCAACTCTGCAGATAAGGGCCCTATCTTTTTAAAAAGCATTAGCTGAGCTAAGATAGCGGAGCTGAGAGGAAAGTTTAGCTGAGCGTAGCGGAGCTGGCGAAAATTTATTTGGCCGTAGCAGAGCTGGTCAGAATTTTCTTCACTGTAGCTGAGCAAAAACTTTTTTTCCGTAGCGGAGCCGTCAGCTCCGCTATCTCCGCTACGCAAATTTGCAACTGTGGCCCCACATGTCCCAGTGTGTAGCTCAGTCTATGACGGTAATTTTGAGCGCAAGAATTCCTTGTCCCGGAAGGTCTAGGAGGTGGAAAGTTCGGGAAGGCGACCAAAAATTGGTACTTTTGAAGAAAATTTTGCTTTTTTCTATAATTTATGAGTCTCACTTCACTTTTTATACCTCTTCAACGCATTGTGTCCTCCAGTGTCCTCCAAGGCTCAGCAATTTGAAATTGATTTGAAAAATGAAAAAAGATTGAAAAATCTGTCCAGGTTTGAAAACCTTTCGCAAAATGCAAAATGAAACAGTTGAAAATTTCAAAAAAGGCTTGGCGTCATTATCATTTGAAATAAATTTGCAATTGCGAAAATGAGTTGAAAAAAGGATTATCTTTTGAAATTTCAAATCAAAAACGGTTGAAATAATGATTTGATATCAAAATATCCACCCCTGCCCGGGGGAAGCGAACTTGCCCTTGGGCCACAGTCGAGCTTCACGCTCGGGCACATTCCTAAACGAGCACTTTTCTCACAAAATTTTCCCACTTGAGCGCGTTTTCAGTGGCATATATGTTCGACTATTGTTCAGTTAATGGAGAGTGGAAGTTTTTAGAGCTACTCCAAGTAACTACTCGGATGTCGCCAAAATTCTTTTTTTTTTGTGGAACTTATCGAATACCACGGTAGTCATCATTGACAGTTTATTCAGTAATAACGTCAAAGAATGAAATTCTTATTTTTACAAGAATCAAATCCTTTAATGGAGCTCAAAAAGCATGAAGGCATAAAATTGTTAATCCTCCCTTTTATGAATCATAATCACGATTTCTACCTATTTAGCGGCGGATCAAAGCGCCGCCCCTAAACGAGGCTTCTAGGGTTTGCCTTAGAATTAAGGAGGTCACCATCGACGGTGCACCTGACGACTTATTCTAGCGCAGCTTATCAATCTCGACCATCACTTGAAAATATTTAAGCTTATCGCATCAGCAGATCGCATTTTAGGGTGCCAGTTTCGGGAAATTGCAGCAACGCAGATAACGGCACCAAGAAATTACGATTTGGGGTCGTAACTTCGAATTTCAGACAATATAAAATCATGGGAATATATTTTCCCAGCGCTGAATCGATGAAATCAAGGAAGAAAAAAAATGTATTAATTAAAAAACGAAGATATTTTTCTTTATCTAAATAAATCATTTTCTAATAAAGAAATAGCAATAGTCAAATATTATCAAATTTCCTTTGAGTCTTCAACTTTCCATGAGAGCGAGTAAATTGCTCTTGATCTGCTATTTTCTCGGTCCTTTGATGCTATTTTTATTTTGGCTCAGGCGTTGAGCTCCTATCCAGGGATTTTTTGAAGTTAATAATAAATTTCCCCTTTGTTTATAAAATCCCAGCGAAAATTAATTGACGATTTGTGAAATTACGCAAAAATTGCCCCTCCCTGTGAAGTGCAATTCGTAAAAGAAAAATAAATTTAGTCTTCCCAAGGCGACTCACGTGATTGATTGGCTGAGGATAATCTTGGAGGACGACGTTTTCTCAGATTATTATTAACTTTCGGTTGTTTATGAATCAGGTTATGATATTCTGGGAACAGAAAAGTATTAAAATATTCTCATATAAAACTAGAACTCTGATGATTCGGAATCAAAGGGCCCAATTTATCTTCATAGGCCAATATTTCCTAGATAAAATATTAGCAGAAGCTGAATACTACATAGTCCGTACTCATCAAAGTTCTGAGCAAATTCTGGGCGATTATATTTGTGTATAAAACCTGGCAGGCAATTACTGGCTATTCAATAAAGGAATTTCCACTTCTTTGAAGGTCCCATTAGTTTTATTTATATCAAAACTTGGCTCTTTCATAAATTTATGACGCAAAATTGCTTTGATGTCGCTTTCGATAAAAGAATAAATAATTTATTTATGATAATAATTCTGGAACTAACCGTCGAACTTTTTGATAAATTTCTTCGAATAAAATATATTGAGGGTTGATAAGCCGTCTATTTTCCAGTGAGTAGCTGAAGACAAAGACCAGGAAAATCGCCGCAAAGGGTCTATCTGTAGTTGGGATCTGGCGACTTTTTCGTAAAAGGTTGAATGATCCCACAGGCGGAGATAACAAACGAGCGCCAGTTGGATAAACCCTCGTTTTTGTTACGCGGCGGGTGATCAAGAAACGATTTTGAAAAAGGGGATTTTGAAAAAAGTTATTTTTATGCTTCAAATTATGAAAATCACGGTTTCTCGACCAGTCTTGTTCAAAATATATTTGATAAGGAAATATTTTTTATCAAATTTAAAGCTCATCACTCCTTGCTGGAGAAAATTAAACTCCTTGGGATCATTCTCGCGTAATTATTTTATGATTCTGTAACTAAATATAATCTTCAGTGTCTTCAGTGAGGCATGAAACAATTAAGTTTCGAAATATCTTCAGCGATTTAATCGAATATACCGTCAAGCGTTTCAGGATTAAACTCGACAAGTTAACCAATGCGTTGTTCACCTGAGGGCCACTTCCAAGAATTCGTCGATGGAGTTGAAGATGGTCGAGGAAGTTAACCTCGAGCAGCTGTGATACGCTCTCGCGATAAACGGAGAAGGGGCGCTATTCCTGAAAACTGAGGAATCAGCGCGGCCGGCGGGTGGCGCTGCCCGTTCTATATTCCCTCGTAAAATGTTGAATGTGGAAATCACTTAGCAAGTTACTCCTCCTCGCTCGGTTAATCGAGAGAAACGAATCGTGAACAAATTATAACCGCCAAGTGTGAGAACAACCCGTAACGCAGCAATGGAACGTAACAACGGACCAGTCGCAAACTGCGAAGTCAGAATCGGCGACTCGAACGCCTTCCCCTTCGCCAACTCCAACAGAGCCCACAACATCGAAGTCTCCCAAGTCAAGATTCTCGAAGCCAACCAGGCCATCCAATTCGACTGGAGCGGAAACAACAACTACACTAGAGCATACAATGACGAGAACCAACAACAGGAGTCCCAAACAGTCCCCATCAGCGGTAAGTCAAGTCAAAATTCAAAGCTACCGTACCCTTTTCCGCCCTAACACTTGTTCCCTTTGTGACCTCGGCGAGGTCACTCATTTCCCGCCCAAGAGACCCTCGTCAGAAGCACCTTGTCATCTTAGGCGAAATGCTTGAAATGCTAAAATAAGCTAAATCATCTAGCGCCATCGCTCAAAGATTCCGCGATGGAGGAAGTTAACTTGAATTGAAAATTGAATTCTTCATTTATTTCAAATTTTATTTACTAGTTGCTGTTTCTGAACCAAACAGAGGAGAGCAAAATCGACACCGACAAAGCCCGCCCAACGGCTCTGACAGTTCCGACAGTGGCTCCCGCGAAGGTAAGTCCAGAACAAAACCGCTAGCTTTCGGAAAACACCTAAATTAAGAGGATTATTCTCCTCCGATTTTCCCCCGTCAGAGTTTTTTTCCCGGCGGAGAGTCCCCATAGAAGTCAGATTTTGTGCATCGCTGCGCATCAGGACATAAACAAAGTCCCAGCTCTGTTTTTCAGAAGGAAATTCGGGCCAAGTTGATTGATAAGATTTTCGAGTTACGCTAGAATGCCCATCTAGGTTCACTAAGGGCCTGAGTTTTTTATGACCGACAAACAGAACAACAAACTTCAGCTGATGTAAATAAACAACTCGGAATAGTCCATCGGAATATCAGCTATTTTTGGACCTTCTTCAAAATATTTTTTTCGTAAAGAAAATTAATATTTTTCAAGTTCAAGTTTTAAATCGGTGGCAGTCCCTCATCTTTACGTCGTTTTTTTATTATTTAGCCGGTGAATAATGCACCCTTTTCTTCAATTCTAATGTCTCTCTCTATCAAAAAGCTGCATGAATTTGCACAGACCGCCTTTCATCTCGCCCTTTTTGATGAATCTTCAAATTCAATAAAAGTTTTTATCCTCTTCTCGCGGCCCAGTTTAACAATTTTTTATACTTTCATTTTTCACTTTTTGAAATTTTTTTCTTCAATTTTAAGCTTTTGAAATTTAGAGAAATGTAATTTTAACCTTCTTAGATTCTCTTTTTTCTAATCTTTTATTTAAGGAAATGGTGGTGTTAACCAACTCGGTGGAATGTACGTAAACGGTCGACCACTTCCGGACCCCGTTCGGCAACAAATCGTTGATATGGCCCAGCGGGGGGTCCGTCCATGCGATATCGCAAGACAACTCAGAGTCAGCCACGGATGCGTCTCCAAGATTCTCGCCAGGTAAGAACTCCCTGTTTTGTCCAGCGTAATGACTGTAATTCTGCTGGTAATCGTACATAACAATCGCTAATTAGTAATTGCGCTAACTAGGCTAATTCTGAGGCTCATTCAAAACCTTTTCTTCCTGGCTCGAGTCAATACTAAGTGCGAAAGTTTCCACGCGCAATGTCAGCCATTGTTATTGCTTTATGGAACCTAGTCCCCTTTGTCTCTTTTCTAAAGTCCTCATTTTCAGATTTTACGAAACTGGCAGCATCCGGCCGGGCGTAATTGGCGGCTCCAAGCCCAAAGTAGCCACCCCTCACGTCGTCAACAAAATCTGCGAGTACAAGCGAGCAAACCCGACAATGTTCGCCTGGGAAATTCGCGACAGGCTCCTTTCAGAAAACATCTGCAGCCAGGAAAATGTCCCAAGCGTGAGCTCGATCAACAGAATCGTGCGAAACAAGGCGGCTGAGAAGACAAAGATGATGAGTCAGATGCAAACGAGTATTCCTGCCTATCCAAATGGAATCCAGATCCCAACTCATCCCGACATCGCTTCTATCCATTTGATCAGCCCGCACCATCTCCAGCATCCTCAGATTTCAATCCAACAGAACTTCCATGTTCAGCCTGCTCCGATCACGAGTGTTCCAAGCAGAACTCATCACCAGCAAAAGGTAAAACAATCTGCCAATAGTCTGGCATGTCTTCCATGTCTTCTCTATCAAATCTAACGTTTCTCTTTAGCAAGTTCACCAAGAACAGCCCAACTACGTCCAAGTGTGCGATTTGGCCGAGCTTGGCGACATGGCTGAGCTTGCCAACTCGCCGAACTCCCTCAGTCCCACCTCCGTGGACCACTTCGCCCAAACCGCCCAGCAGCAACAAGCCAACAATATCGACGCTCAAAAGTGGAGCAAAACTCCAGACAACCTCAGTCCACCCGTCACTTTTGTCGCCAAGGCTGAAACCGAGAGCTCACGCGACCACAATGATGTCAACGCTACTCCTCTTCAACTTGAGAGTCAGCCTCATCATCAGCAAAACGGACAACAGAACGAGTCTCCTATTCGCGATCAGACTGAGCAATTTATCATGACTCTCGAGACGAAACCAGAGTCTGAGATCGCCGATGACGGAGCTATCACAGTCCATATACCTCCACCAAATGGTGAAGCATCCCCGCCACAGTACACTATCGGTAAAAAATCGAATAAAGCATCAAAGATATTAACTTTTACTTTTCAGATTTGTCTACTCCCAACAATTACTTCGCGCAAACTAGTCTTGGCTCCGTCATTCCTCAACTCATGACATGGAACACTGAGCAAGGTAGCTATTTTTAACAAAATAACGAAAAAATAATCGATCTTTTCTTTCAGAAAACGACTATGGCACCAGCTACTTTGACTACAGATTCAACCATGTCCAGCCTAAATTGGAGCGTATGACTTTACCAAGGTAAGAATCCTCAAAAAAAAGCAATAAACTAATACTTTGTTTTCAGTGAAGCTGGCCAAATTTAACTCATCGTGAGTCTAACTGTATTTAATTTATCCCCGTGGAGAAAATTCATTCAACTTCCTTCGCAACTTCTACTCAGCTCAAACGCTCACTTCTGTAAATACGAAAGCCTACTAGCCTGCAAAAACATCAAAAAAAGTATCAATTCTATTTTTTACTCGCTGTACAACGAATTTGAAATAATTTAAATAAAAAATCTTCTAAAAAGAAAAAGCGCTGTACAGTAAAAACCGCTGGTTTGGGACACCTAAAAATCCTTCTGGTTTGGGACAGTCGGGCGAATTAACGATCAAAGGCACTTTCTAGTTTGGGACACGTGGGTGGACTAGGGGTGTCCCAGACCAGCGGTTTTTATTGTATTTTACGAAAATATGAAAGTATATCTTGAATGTGAGAAGTTCACTCAGCCGTAAAGCGACAAAGATATAATTTATGATAGACGAATATAAAATTGAGTTTCTTACTGAAGTTTTACTTTATTACCCGCTTCTTACTCAGAAAGCTAGGCTCGGCAACCTGCGTAGAAAACCTGAGTCAGATTTTGAAGAGCTAAAATGAAAAGCCGCGCAGCGGCTATTTTTAAAAACGAAGCCGCAAAGCGGCTTCGCAAATATTTACATTAATCTATCAAAAATTCTGGCGAATACCCTGACTCAGGTTTTCAACACAGGTTGCCGTGCCCATTCAGAAAGATATTAAATAGGCTTAACTTTACCCACTATTGAGCATTAACTTATTGACCCTTTTTGCAGCAGAAGCATTAATAATGTAGCATCGGGACATGGCGATTTAAGCTGCTTAGATCTCATTAACTCGCCTTTTAAAAGTTTAATGTCCATCAAAATCGACCTTGTTCTACTTTCCATGTCTCAGGCAGTGATGACTGTTGCTTCGTACTGCATGCTCGCATCCGATTAATTAGCAGCAGAGAAGAGGGATTAATATTTGACCGTGCTGTCAATAATTCGAAAGCGTATTCAAAATTTATGGAGCCGAACTTGTCACACACTCGCTGACCGGCCCCCTTCTTTCTGTGCTCTGCAGATAGAGCCATCCAACCAAGAGAGTCAAGAATTCATCGAAGATGTTCGCAGCTGGTTTGATGTCTAACCGAGTGACGAAACGCTCGGGCGAGAAAAAAAGGTTTGATTTTCAGGACTTTCAATCGGACAAACGGTTTCCTATCGAGGTTCTTTCAACCTGCATTAGATTCATTCCATGATATTGAACATATTTATCGATGCGATAATATTTAGCTCGTTACGCGGGCAACTGTCTTCTCTCAAGAGAGTCTTCGTGTTCATATAGAGCAGCTATTATTATTGAAATCGAGATTCGAAATTGAAAAAATATTTTTCTCAGAGAGATGGTATTTGTAGCTACAAGAAAGGGTCTCTTTCAAATACACAGTCGAGTCTGATTCAGTGGTAATTACCTTATTCCATACTAAAATTTCTAGCATAATGAGGCTTATGTACCGGCTTATGTAAACTAAAAGAATATTATTTCCCGAATTCCCTAATGACGAGCAATTAAAAGATAATATTCATGAGAACCCTGAATCAAGATATAGGAGGCTTAGTAGAGATGCGAAAGTTATCGAAGATGAAATTAAAAAAGAGAGGTTTCGACTAGCAAATCTTTTAAAAAAATTATTTCAAAAAATCTTCTAAAAAAGACTTTCAGAAAACAGACTGGAGACATTCGGAGCAATTTCTATCTCTTTGTGAAAAAAGGAAATGTGGATCTAAAATGCGTGTCTACGATATTCGTCATTTTAGGTAAACTACCTGCGGTTCAATTAGTGCAGTTCGTTAGGGTTGATCATCGTTTGCCTGGGCACATGGACAACATGGTTCAACGGATTCGCTAAATCGCCGTATTCAACTCGCGCTGGACCTATCTTCATGGGCACGGGCTTTTTTGTCCTTCTTTGCGGATTGGCGAACTTGCTCGAAGCGAGAGATGGAAGAAATAGGCACTTCATCGTTGGCGATTGCTACATGAACGCTATTTACAACAAAGACAGGCCGAATGGGGGCGGTTTCTTGAAAATGCTGCCGTTTGTTCTGACGACGCAGCAGTCGGCATTGGACCAAGTTGATCACGACCACTTGATTAGAGAAAAGATTTATATGGACAGCCCAAAGGAATCAATGAAGACTAAGAAGGCCAAGTCAGGTTGGATTAACCTAGTCACATCAGATTTCGGTCGATTAGCAGTAAAAAAAACTGAGAATACTTTAGACCACCACAAAACGATAGAATGGGCGGATAAGCACTGCCAAAAATGCATGGAGCAGAGTAAATACGCCGAAGAAAAAGGTTTGCGGAATTTTCCTCTATGATTTCACTGTTTTTAGGAAATGCGGGTATCTTACGATTGCGAACACTCGATAAAGACGAACCTAATTCTCCTGCTTCTGTTAAAGATTTTACTATTAGCACGACAATTGAATAAATAAGCTTGTTATCTTACTATTATTAGGCTCAATTAATGAACTCTCGGTAAAAAATGTCGGTTAGCGATCGTAATCGGGCGCCAGACAGATTTTTTTCAGCATTTGAAAAATAACCGGTTTTGCGCCATCTTCGAGCATAAAAACCGACCGTCAACAACACTTTTTCCCAGTCCAAAAAGAGCAATAGCGCGAGTTAAAGCCTTTTGAATTTAAAAAATTGAGATGAGCAAAGCAAAGTCACCGACTCAGGTAAGGAAGTTTAAGTTGAAGAAGAGATGAGGCTTGAGTTCTTGAGAAAAAGGTTGATAAGCTAGCATTTAGGATCTGAGCAATTATAAGCGTTGCGAGAAAGTAGGCGAGGGTACGTACGGAATCGTCTACAAGGCAAAGTACAAGCCCACTGACGAGTTCGTCGCGCTGAAAAAGATCCGTCTCGAGGGGGAGGAAGACGGCATTCCGCCAACGAGTCTGCGCGAGATTTGCGCGCTCAAGGAACTCGCCCATCCCAACATCGTCAAGCTGGTCGACGTGATCCTCGAGAAGACGAGAGTCTACCTGGTGTTTGAATTCCTCTACATGGACTTGAAAAAATACATTGACAACCAGAAAGAGGAAAGCAGCCGGATAGACAAGTCGCTCACGATGAGCTACTCCTACCAGCTATGTCAGGTACTAAAGATCCACTTTAGAAGCATTCTTACTCAATTTTCTTCAAGGCTCTTGAGTTCTGCCATGCGCGGAGAATAGTCCACCGGGACCTCAAGCCTCAGAACCTGCTGATCGACAAGCAAGGGCTGATCAAAATCGCCGATTTCGGGCTGGCGCGCGCATACAAAATCCCGTTGCGCCAGTTGACCCACGAAGTTGTGACGATGTGGTACCGCGCGCCAGAGATTCTGCTTGGAAAGGAGGTCTACTCCACTCCGGTGGATTGCTGGTCCTTGGGAGCTATCATCGGTGAAATGCTAACGAACGTTGCCGTGTTCCCGGGCGACTCTGAAATCGACCAGCTTTTCAAGATATTCAGAGTTCTCGGGACACCGAATGAGTCCATCTGGCCGGGAGTCACTGATCTTCAAGGTGAATACTAAAATAATGAGAATTATTTAATGTTCATTTTCAGAATTCAACTTGAACTTCCCGATCTTCCCGAAAGGCGAAATTCCGAATCCAGATCGCTTCGACTTGCCCTCCAAAGCATTAGATCTGGTGCTGAAGATGCTCGTCTACGACCCAAAGAAACGGTTGACTGCGACTGGCGCACTCCGTCATCCCTTCTTTGAAAAGTAATCAGTTCAATAATTCTGATTCGAGTTCAGATAATATTTCAGGCTGGACAAGACGATCTTCCCTGGATATCATTGTCCAGCAGTTCCTCCTTTTGACGAAAAGGCTTCGAAGGCAAATGCTATCAGAGGTCTTGAAATCGTCAAATCATGAAGAACCAACATCACCAATTTCATCATCATCACGAATACCACACTACAAATCTCTTCATCTCCACACTTCTTAAATTCTGTAAATAATAACTCAATTTTCCACTGCTCACAATTTCATAACAACAATACACAACAAGATTCATTCAAATACTTTTGTATCTTTTTAATTAGATTTGAAAGATATCAACACGGCTTCGCGGAACAACCGGTCTTATCTATTTTAAAAGTCTACCGAACCCGGTACCCGGCTTTCCTTAGAGGCCTTTCAGACCCTGACACAGCTTGCCGAGCCCAGCAGGCGGAGTTGTTGTTGTGAAGCTTGGGTAGCGCTCCCGGTTCGAGCCGAGTGGTCGGTGCTGGCTCGGGAGACTCTCCGACGTTGGTCGGCACGGGCATGATGAAAAAAGCGTAGTCACGAACCCGTGCCACCCACTGACGAATCAGATGTCAATCACGGACACCTTTGCCTTCGAGATTTGATTTTCTCCACTTCGAGAATTGCCGTACTCACTGCAGAGAATTTCAAGATTTTCTCCTGAAGCGAAAATAAAGAGAAACATTTGAAAACTCCTTCTGAAAACTGCCTCTCTTCGAACAGTTACTGTTTGATACAGTCTTTTTCTTTTTGTAAAAATTTTCAAGAAGGATAATTTTTCAGATAAATAAGGACTCGGACACCATGGCGGAAAAGCAACCTCCTCGTGGGCGAGGTCGAGGCCGTCGAGGGCCGACAACTCAAATCCCTCAACCTCCAGCAGCGGAAAGCACCTCCTCTGACGAAGGAATCTCATCTCAGCCGGCCCCACAGCAGAGGCCTGCCGCTACTTCAACCTCAAGCTCGAGCGGTCCTCCGAGAGCTGGACGCGCTTCATCACGTGGTCCTGGACGTATCGCCGGCCGCGGTGCGTCACGTGGACGAGGACGAACCGCTGCTATGGCAAAGAGTGCCACAGAAACCAAAAAGGAAGCTGAGGACTCTACATATGCCGCTTCCAGCGGTTCTCAGCTGATTCCTCAGACCAACACGAAATCTTCCACCTCTGACGAACAGGTTCCTCACGCTCAAGGAATGACCCCTCAAGACCACCATGTCTATCTCGCCCGCCGCCCAGGTTATGGAGTGAACTCTGTAGCGAAGCTCGACGTCGCCTGCAATTTTTACAAGTGCAAGGGATCACCGTAAGTCCTGAAATTGACTAACTCGTCTGTTATCTCCCTTTAGACCCAAGAAAATCTACCTCTATCGGCTCCGTTCTGAACTCACTGAGGAGCGTGACGGAGCAAGAGCTCCAATTTTGGACTACGAACGAGCTATGGAGTTCTTCGGGATATTCGAAAAGGTGTTCTTCGATCAAAGTTCCAGCTCTTCTTCTGACTCTCTTGAATCCACCTCTACTGACGAAGTGCGCCCAAGCACTGGACCTGTGGCCTATTACGATGGCAAGACGCTCTTCTACTCAAATGTAGACAATTTAGCACAGATTCAGGTACAATATAGAAATCGTATTCGTCCACAAGTTAAAATGTAATTTAAGGAAAGCATTGATTACGACGTCGACTATCCCAGTTGCCGATCGATCCGGGATAAAGAAAAACCATTTCCAGTTACCGTCACCAAACTGAAGGTGCTTTCCGATATTGTCGAAATCTTCCGACAACGACAAGGGCAGCAAATGGACCCGATCCTTTTGCAGTACTTTGAGGTGCTTTTGAAGCATTCGCTTTACCGAAAGGTAAGAGTAGTTTGACTTTTCTCTTCCTTGATTTCATTTCTAGCACTACACCCGAGTCGGCACATCATTTTACATGCTCAACCAAAACATCCGACCGCTCAACTGCGTAATTCCTGCGAAAGAAGTCTTCACAGGTTTTCACCTTCAGATGAAGCACATCTCTTCTGGCTTGGCGATCCAAGTGAAGGACAAGTGCGGCGTCTTCTACAAAAGCATGCCGCTTCATCAGTTCCTCGTGAGTGCCACACTATGAGCTTATGAAAATTAAGAAACTTTTTCAGTGCGATTATTGGAACAGCGAGGATCCACTCTACCCTGAGTTCTGGAGGAACTCCTACAATCTGGTCGAGTCCAACAAGATCGTCAGGAAATTGAAGGTCAACATTGTCTCCAAGACCGGCTCCAATGGCAGAACCAAGGTCATCAAGGAATTGACCGATCAAAGTGCAGCGAACCTCTGCTTTGAAGATCAAAATGGCCGAAAGATGAATGTGGCAGATTACTTCATGAAGAAAGGGGAGGTTCTCAACCACCCCCAACTTCCATGTGTTTCCACGGGCAACAAGCACTACCCTGAGTATTACCCGATGGAATGCTGCCACGTGGTTGCAAGACAACCAGTGAAAGGTTGGTTAAATGAATTGATTTCTTTTTTATATCTTTTCCGAGAAAATATTTCAATTAACAAATTCTTTAGGACTCTTGGATCCAAACGCCATCTCGGCATTGATCCGCGTTGCTGCCAAGCCTGCTCCTGAGACCTTCAACGCAATCAAACAGAACATGCATACGGCGATGCAGGCAATTGGAGAAGATATGCAGAATATCGACATGAGCGTCGACAAAAGCATGGTCAAAACGCCTGCACGAGTTCTTCAAGCTCCAGACATGCACTATGGCAATGGGAAGCAACATCCAAATAATGGAACGTGGCACCCTAGAAGTTTCATCACTCCGAAGAAGATCGACAATTGGGGCGCCTGCATTATCTCCCGCCGCGGTCATCGAGGAGGGCAGGACACCGTTCGTAGAGCCATCGATGTTCTCTATAACGCTGGACAAAAACTCGGCATGGAAGTGAACTTCCTCGCCGATCGGTCTATGCCGTACGAACTCCAGCCTCATCAATTGGACGAGTTCTTGAAGCACTGCTCTGATAGCAAGTACGAGCTAGTCCTTGTTGTTCTCGACGGCAAGAACACGGAAGAATACGCTCAAGCGAAATTCCTCGCCGAGCGAAAATACCCTGGTCTTCTGACGCAGTGTGCACAAATGAAGACCCTTCAGCGCATCAATGAGCAAAGCGCGACGATGATCCTTATGAAGATCAACGCGAAGCTCAACGGTCAGAACGCTGAATGCGATTTGACGCTGGCGAATCCGACGGGCGGTGTTTTGTTTACCCACGACCACCCGGTCCTTGTTCAAGGTAAACTTTTTTCTTTCTTTGCAGTCGAAATAATCTTGTTCTCAGGTCTCGAAATGAGCGTCCTCCCTGGCCAGGAATCTTTGGTCGGTATGGCTTCTTCTTACGACCAGAACGCATCGATGTACACGATGCAATCTCGAATGACGAGCAGCAACGCTCACTGTCTTGAATTGTTCGATATGCAAGTACAGAGCATCAAGACCTACTACAAGATGACCGGCAGGAAGCCCAAGTCGATCATCTTCTTTCGCCCGGGTGTGAACGAACACCAAATCAGCTCGACCGCCGGTTATGAGTGCACCAAGATTCGAGAAGCTTGCGAAACTCTCGAAGATAACTACCGGTACGTTCATTTTCTTTTATTTCAGTATCCTATTCTATGTTAGGCCGAAGATCACCTACATCATGGCCACCAAGATGCACGCGACCCGATTCTGCGCAATGGACAAGATGTACCAGATCGGCAAGTCCCAAAATGTGCCTGCTGGTACTATCGTTGACACCGACATTGTCGATGTTGAGAAGTGGGACTTCTACTTGACATCGAGCCAGGGAATTCAAGGTTATTTCAATTACTTCATCTACTGATTAATAAAAAATATAGGAACATCGATCCCAACAAAATACACGATCTGCGTTGATGACAACAAGCTCACCGCAGATTCAGCAGAGGCGCTTTGCTATTATCTCTGCCACGGGTTCGTCCGATGCAACCGTGCGATTTCCATGCCAAACTGCATGAAATACGCCAAGCTCGCCGCCGACCGTGGTCGAAACCACTTGAAGGGCGCTGCCTACGCCATCGAGCGGGTATGATTTTCCTCAATGATTACTGATTCAATTACAAAACATTTAGGACGTCCTTAACGAGGCGAAGAAAGATGAGATTCTGAATCTCAAATATGTCGTCGATTGCAGCGGTGAAGCTCAGGCGGCAAGAGTCGTCAATCCTCTGTACAGGCGAATGTTCTTTACATAAAGAACAAGCTTTCTCCTCCCTGCCTGATTTCGTGCTGCCTTTTGGAAGAAGACTTCTTCTGAATCCGCCCTGATTTTAATACCCCTCCCTCGTGAAAAAGTTCCCCTCCAAAAGTTCAGACCTGAAAAATAAACTTACTTGTGACCATGAACAAAGTTTCGTATGATTTTTGCAGACTTACCAACTTTATCAACCTAAAACTTGACGAAGAAATGGCTCAAAGACACAGGTTATCATCACGCTTTTTCAGTAGTTAAGAACGCGTGTGCTTCTCATAATCCCTTTTAGAATATGGCTTATCTCTGTGAAAACTGGACGACTCTTTAGATAAGACAGTCGCTTCCATTATGCGCGAGAGGAAATCTGGCATCGTGACTCGTCGGCCAAGTACCTCCTATTATGTAAGAGGCGCAAGCCACAGCGACCGAAAACACTTGAAATTATTATTTAGCGCATATTGACAGTTGTCATTCGGGTTGCTTTTGTTTTTTCTGCTTTTTTACAGGAAAAAATTTCAAATATCGATCTGATCAACTATTATTCGCAGGAGTCTTATACAATTTCCGATACGAATTTACAATGTCAATCTTTTAGAATCTCCAAAAAGGATCCTCCAAAAAAGCCTATCGCGATGTCAATCAATTTTGAACATGTAGAATTTTTTGAAAATTTTCACGAGGATGCCTTGATATTACGCCTCGGAAGTATTTATCGCTCAGTTGCGGTCGACAGTGGGGATATTTCTCGACCACTCTGGCGTGTGTTTAATCTTTCAATTAGCGACTTGTAGCGGACGTGTTTAGAGGTGGATATCATCTCCTGTGCCAAAGTGTCGACTTATCTACCAGTGTTGGAAAAATGTTATCGGCCAATCATCTTGGTGGCACCGTTTAGAACATCAAAAGACGCCGGATTGACAAAACTCGACCATCAAAAACCTCTAGAAAGGGCCCTTGCAACGTTCGGTAAATAAGGGAAGTTTCCTTGCATCTGAAAATAAGGCAACTGGTCTTGCTTTCAAGCTCAGATTCATTTGATTTCGAGCATTTTTTTACCTTTGACTCAAAGAGTTAGGGCTAGGGTTATGGTTCAAAGGCTTTGGGTTTTAATTTTAATCAATCGACGAAGTATATTTTTAGTATCCAAATGTCGGAAATATTTCCGCCAAAAGCAGCGAAGCTTTTTACACCATCCCTCGGAAAGCAAAGGGCTACGACGCTGAGGAATGAGGATGAGTCTTGGGAAGCGCGCGGCTCACTCGTCTCAAGAGCTGCTCAAATCATGTGGAAACAACAGGGGCGCATGGGGGTAAAAGCATAATGCTCCGAACTCCATCCGCCAGAGGGCGCTCGAAAAAAGAGGTGGAAGAGCGGAAAAGACGCTGAAGAGCGCTCTTTGCAAGGAGCCGGAGGAGAGTGCGCTGAGGAGCGCCGAGGGAGAACCTCCGGAGAGTACACACCGGGTGAGCAAGTACGGAAGGGAGCGCGAAGCCAACTCATCCCAGCGTGAAGTGTGTCAATCTCTGTTCAAACACCGCTATCATTTCTGATCGCGTAGTACCCCCTGAATGAGCTTAATTTCGCTAAACTGATTTTTCACGCTCTTTTTTTTGAAATTATTTATATGCTAAAACATCTTTTTTAGAGTGAAATTAGTGCGCTGAATCTAAATAAAGGGTCAAAAACACTAAATTTTGATGATAAATTTAAAAAACATAACTCTCAGGCTCAGGGTGGCACAACTTGTCGAATTTAAGTTTGATAATTAAAGTTTAATTATTAAACCTTTCATTTAAAATTTATTGAATAGGGGCATGAGATTTTGGGTCTCATTTTTAAGGGGTTCACCAATCTAGGAACACTTATCATCGATCACAAAATGAAGGAAATTGAATTATGTTCGGTTAAAAATTTGGCTTTCACTTCTAAAAATCTCCTTGACTTCAGCGGGAAGGGCCTTTGCTCCTATTTTATACGCTTGTTTTCCTCATGAATTTTTAATTTCCAATTGGAATTGGATTGGAAAATATGAGGAATTTCTTTGACCCGGCGTCTTCGGGAATAAGGTCAACGTTTTCTTTCAATTCCGTAAAATCCATTTTCTGCTCGAAAAGAGCTTTCTTCTGATATATATATGCCCAAAGAAACAACGCCATCATTCTTACTCGCCTCTAGAATTGATAATAAAGTTGATACTGGCATGGGTAGAACAAAAATATCCCCTCCGCCCCTGCTATGCTCACTCCCAGGTGTTACGTTCGAGTAGCGTATTGAGGGCTTATCGCCAACTCATCAGCTCTCCCTGGACTCGCAATGTTCGGAGGATTCAGAGTCCTCCGCGCACCTTGCGCCCTCATGCGAGAAGAGTTCGGAGCATTGTGCTCGACATCCGGCGCATGGCATGTTTGAAATTTATATTTGGACTCGACACGCGTCAGAAGTGATTGATTTTCCCACTTATGGGGAATTTTTGGGGATGAGAATGAGCCCTTTGTAGATTTTACTCTCAAGGTCGGGATTGATTGAGTGTTTCGTTTTAGCGCTATTTTCTTGGGGTCCATCTTGGAAGATCTTCTATTGAGTCCGTGATTTTATCCGAGTGACAGATATTAGCTTTTAGAGGGTTGAACTATTTCTTCAGTCATCGTTAGGCTTACCGGACTAAATTTCGACCCATTTTTCTAATAAAGCTGAGGGGTCATATGATGCAGTTTTAGAAAGCCCAGAAGCTGGGCTTTCATTTGGGCACCATATCAAGGGGTCTTGGTCATGCCCGCAAGGCAATTTATTGGACCTGAAGTTCCAAAATCGGCACTAGAACTCTTCTAACTATTTTTCGAAAGCGGGCCGGCCTCGAGAGCCGTCAAGACTCATATATTTAGAAAGCTCAGGCTCTGAGCTTTCAGTAGAGCCGCAGAAATCTTAGTGCAAAGCCGTCTTTGGCCACCTAGGGGCGCTAGAAGTTCATTAGTTGAAACCGGAAGTTCTGGAAAACTCGGTTTTAGAGCCCTAAACTCTTTTATTTTGTTTATAAAACATATATTTACAATAATTGAGGCTATAAAAAGCTAGGAAACCGCAGACAGACCGGATGGTCAACCAGGTGGTTGATCGCGGTTCAACTCTAGAAATCTTCTGAAACATGACAATATGGGTATTTTTCGACGAGAAATCAAATAAAAATTGAAATGGAAGATGAATTGCGGCCGAGCCACGCAATTGACCTCCCGGTTAAGAACTCTTAATCAGAGTTTACCCGAATTTCCGGTTTCTCACCCAGCTTCTAGCACCCCCAAGTGGCCAAAAACAACTTTGCACTAAGATTTCTGGGGCTCTTCTGAAAGCTCAGAGCCTGAGCTTTCTAAATATATGAGTCTTGACGGTTCTCGAGGCCGGCCCGCCTTCGAAAAAATAGTTAGAAGAGATCTAGTGCCTATTTTGGAACCTCATGTCCCATGAATTGCCTTACGGGCATGACCTTGACCCCTTGATACGGTGCCCAAATGAAAGCCCAGCTTCTGGGCTTTCTAAAACTGTATCATGTGACCCCTCAACTAAGCTAGAAAAATGGGCTGAATTTAGTCCGGTAAGCCTAGTCATCGTTCTTTCAGTGAGTCAAAAGTGAGGGCTAGTTCCGTTTTGTGGTCGAATTGCGTTTAATTTAGAAGTCAATGATCTATTCAAGCTCGTTTCGGTAATCAGTTATGAAAATTGGCGAGGCGCCCCTTCACTTCTCTTTTTCCTTTTTCCTTATTTTGCCATTTAATTACGCAACCACTTCTTAATGCGGCCAGATAAGCGTTCTAAAGCAAGAAATAAATTTCAGATATTTTACTCCATGAATATTGCGAGGGAGGCTTTTGCTGGCATAATTTGTACCTAAAATACCCCGATGAATGTTTCTGCCTCTGTCAGGGACGCGACATGACGGTGATCTTGGAAATGGCAATGATTTCTAATGCAGACGAGGAAAAAGTCAATCCCGCGATTGCTTCCCACTCCAGTAAAGATTTCACACTTTCAGTAACAAAAATAAGAACAAGAAGCATTCTAATTGAAACTAAAGCCATTATCAAATAGCTGTCGTGTTTTGTAATAAGAGCAGCTGAGTTGAGATATCCTCCGCATAAGAAACTTCGAGCACCCGAAACTTTATCATTGTGGTTTAGTCGCTCTTTGCTTAATGATGAGAAATCATGAGAAAATTAAAATGAAAGAAGTTTAAATAAAACTTTTGCATAAAAGTCTTGATTGCCCAAAATGAATTTTCTGAGGCTCGTCTGGCTTCCGGTTAAATTTGGATGCGCCAAAATACCAATTTGCGTTGTCCTTTGGCTTTTTCTCTCCATTGGAAAGCACCAAAACTTCCGGAAACGTGCCACAGTATTACGCAAAAGAAGCTTCTAACTTTGTTCATCCTTGAAAACACTGTTAGCCGAATAGAATGCCAACTTGCTATCTCGAAATTGCTATTTCGAAACTCCTTATGAAACTTCCTCTAAAGATTCTCCCTTTGTAAGTTCCAAATGAACTCCGGGCTCGGCAGGCTATGTAGAAAACCTGAGTCAGGGTATAAAGAGCTTAAATGAAAAGCCGCGTAGCGTTTTAAACGAAGCCGCAAAGCAGCTTCGCAAAATTACCTTTTCACTCAATGTGAAAATTCTAGCGAAGCTGCTTGGCGGCTTCATTTTTACGCGGCTTTTCAATTTAGCTCTTTAGACCCTGACTCAGGTTTTCTACACAGGTTGCCGAGCCCAGGCCATACGAATCATATGATACGATTTCAACGAGAACTGCTTATTCAAATAGAACCCCCACCCGGTCTTGTAGAAATGTCTAAAAGCCCCACTTCCTTGACAAGTGTAGAAAACTGGCTTTAGGTTCCATATCAATAGAACCTTTTCACTCCTCGAGCTCGCTTCTATCAAATAATCGCCGCTAATTAGCATTTACTGGTAAAATTTATGCAACTACGTGGTCGCCGGGCTAATTTTTCGGACT